GCATAAATACATATACCCATCAAAACACATACATACATATGCAGTATGTACATTTGTATATAGACTTACAAGTATTAAAAAATTTTGCTAAAATTTCTATAAGTCCGATGTTTTCCCGAACAATTCGATTTCAGCTGGGAATTTCTAGCTGCAAAGTAAATGTATTGTATATAGTTTAAGGCCCGCTGCTGGATATTAACATACATATTATATGTAAACATGTATGTATATAATGTGATTTTTCTTCTCAATACTGAAAACTGTCAGATGTGTTCACATATTATCGACAAGTTGTTCATGTCATTCCTTTGTTATCTTTACATATCATGTATTATATATGTATCCCTTGTATGCAAATATATATGCATATGCATTTATGCGCTTACATATATACTTGTACATAGATTGTGGGCAATTTGTTGATAGTGTGGCTGTCACTTAAGCGTTAATTCGGCGTTAATTATTCGCACATTGTATTTGTGTTTAGGAAACCCCAAAGGAGGGTCAAAGTTAATTTCATATACACTATATGCATAGTGCATACATACAAATGTATGTACATAAATTCCTTCTTATATGGCAAAGTAAAACGTGAACAAAATGTAAATATTAATTTGCCTAATTTAAAATACATTGTTAAGAACACAAGCAGCATATAGTGGTAAGGTGGAGGATGAAACGAAATAAGTTAGAGTTTCTGTCAAGGATGTAAAAATAATTGAGTAAGTATGTCTCTATATCGGCAATCTTAACAAGCTCATTTTAATTACAGTACCTCTAGATGCCTATACGCTAATAACAAGAATAAAATTGAATTATTTGAAACCAACGTAGAGTTTGGTCCTTCTACATTTCTTCTTTCAAAATAAGATTATATTATTTTAGATGTCAATTACTGTGTTCTAACTTTTTACACTGCCTTAAATTATTATACCATATTGCTCGTCTACTTTGGCACTACTCCTATCTTATCTATGGGTGTTTATTATTAAACTGTTGATAATATGTCTGTAGATGAATTACACTCACCCTAATGCGTGTACATATATGCCAAGTAATAGGTATATTTCACAGTTACATTTATATTTTTATTTGTATTAATCTAATGTGTATGCACTATATGTATGTTCATATATACCCCTCAGAGCAGCATCAAAGTCAAAAAGTAACCTTCTGTAGCTTATATCTAGAATCTTCAGACTAAACAGTTGTCAAAATACTTGTAAGTATTTTCTTTTATCTACTAATTTTTAAATGCAAGCCAACTATTTTGCTCCATAATGAACTATATATGTGTGTTGTTGGTCTGTTTTGAACTTGTATGAAAATGGCCGAAATCCAATAATTGGGATTCCAGTTAATTGTATGGAGAACGAAAGCCTGCTGATTATTTGAGCTGTATCTAGTTAATTTGACTGCAAGGTATGTATGGCATACATATGTATATGATTTGCTAATTATTTTGCACTTCGACATTTTGCAGATGTCACTTAGTTTGGTTATAATTCAGCGTCAGTTAAAGACATTTTACGATCTATAAGTATTTTTTGACAATTATTCCAGTTCAAAACGCTTTTATTTTCAGATAAAACAAATCTGCATGGGTGGTCTACGTGTGCTTCCATACTATTTCCATTATTTTTATTTCTTATCAGTTTTGGCGTGGAAGTAATGTTTTTTCTTCACTTCAGTGTGTGTGGTCGTTTATTATACAAATGTATCACCCAACATATACTCGATCTACACGCGCTAATCATGCTAAGTTGCTTAAATGTGTACATATCTACACACAAAAGTATACACATATGAATATTTTTTGTAATATTTGTGAATTCCTCGCCATAATAATATTAGTCGGGTAAAGTTTATTGTTTTAGTAAATCATTCGTTGTTCGATTTCTGTTTCGACACGTATGACTATTTTATTAGCTCCTTAATCGTTAGTACCTGAGGAGCATGCGAATAACATCACAACAATATCACGAGTGAAATCAATAAAAATATGTAAGGCATGTCTATGTTCAGACACAACCGAACACAACATTCTGAAGTTCTCTCATCACTTTGGTGTTTATTTATTTAGATCCCAGTGAAAATAAAAACATACATACGTATACAGATTATCTAAACTTCAAAAAACTCTAAATTTTGCCATTGCATTGGTTTTGTAAATAATTAACAATCTTCATCCGACAATGGAAGCAATCTAGGAAGTCGCCTGCCAATGCCCGATGGATGTTATGAAACGAAATGAACGACATGCGTATATAAGTACTAGATTTTTCAAAAACGGAAGTAGTTAACAAAGGAAAGTCCAAAAATTATTTAAACTTATCACAGTCACTATGGAACTCAAACTTACTATGATCATTCCAACCCGATAGATAATATTCATAAAAACTCGGTGAAAACGAAACATGGTTTGTTGAGCGTGGAGAGTAAAGTACCTTCTGAACGGCTAGATAAAATAATACTTTCATTAAGAAACGTAACAACCAGACACAACAATTGTCTCAAATGGATGAAAGGGCCAATAATGGGGTAAGTTTAGCTGGAATGTTGCGGATTATTAGGCAAAAACTGGGGGAAATATACACAAGCACGGATAAGCTACAACTCAAGCAGACAATCAAATTTGTGGGCATACTTTTTCAGCACATTCGCAGTACATAGACTTACTCCTCAACGTGAGTACAAAGAATCAGACTGAAACCACATCTGTCTAATCGTTCGGCGTGTCTCTGACACTTGTAGTCATGAAGACCCGTCGTTGCTTGCTGACAAAACAAGAAAAAACGTTTACTTCGGCTGCTAGAAGCTATAATACCCTTCACAGGTGCATTAGGAACTATATTTATAACTAGAAAACGTAACCGGCCAACGGTTTGCATCCAACAGAAAACATTTCGCTAGTACTTTCTAGAAACTTTGTTTGATATAAACCACCTTCAAGTCAAATTACTTAATAGGGAAAAAAGATGACGATATTTCTGCCTCGGATATTGTAGCCTGTGCAGGGTATATGCAGAAAACTGCAACACGAGCTCTATAAAAGCAAATGCAGACACAAGCATACATTAACGAGAAGCACTCTTTTTTGCTCCACTACCATCAAAAAAGCAAGCAGCTGTGGTGAATTAAGAACAAATCACGCTTTAGTCCATCTGCATTGGGAGTTTGCTTTCTGCTGTCAACCATTTACTGGCACTTGCAAGTGTATTTACATTTTGTTTGTCAAAACCCTGTGAAATGACGGGAATTCAACATAACCTCACTTTAAAACGAATTTCAGTAGTTTGTAACAATTTTTTTTTTTCTCTATATTTAATTAAAAAGATATTTTGTGACATTTTCTTATTCCTTCCATATTAACATTTGACTTTTCAACCGAACGAACTGATCAGGTAAGCACAGAGAGTTTAACCCAAATTTATCGGAGAAAACTCTAATTGGATGAGATTGAGTTTAGGCGAGTGATAGGCGATCTATGTAATACTTTCAAACCTGAGGAATATTACTGAATTCATTAAACTGGAAGTGTCTGTAATTAGAACTCAACAAAAAAATTCAGTTATTTTTATGCAAAACTCGCCTCGGCCATATTGTAGCTCTCAAATAAGACTGGTTTGCGTTGCAAAAACCAAAATACTCTCAGACTTGTTGTAGTAATGTAAATATGGATTCGAAATCAAATAAAAAATCCAGAGCATGCAAAGTATTCTCACAAAACAAAAGCACTAAACTTGTCGGTCCGATACGAATGTGAACACAGCAATGCACAACCTGTACATAAGTAATCGCTTCAACGAAATACGCGAATTTCCGTACAGTACATTGGACCGAACGACCGACTGATTGCCGTGCTGACGGTTAAAGTGTGGCAATAAAACCCAGTGGAAGTCACTGTCAGCGCTCGAAGAATTACGGCCGTTAAGACAAAAAAAAATCGCAAAAATAAACAACAATTGAGTTTAAGTTTGAAAACGTGTCTCCGCTGGCCGACAGTCTGGTCGTCGCCGTCAATGGTGTTTCGCACGTTTTGCGCGTTTCTTTTGGTCTCCAATGGCTCAAGTTCGGTGAGACTTAATCTAGTGTCTACTGTACATGCATTTATGAGTATGTGGGGCTTGCTAGCTTCCTCGGCAGTCTCCCCGACCTACACATTTTCATGTATGCGAGAAATTTTGTTTGCATGTGTTTATGTATGTGTGTATGTCATCACACACATCACCTCAATGTGTGCATGCTCAAAGACGCTCGACTATACGTCGGTGTTTCAAGTTTATCTTCACAACTTTTTTTGTTGTCGAGATTACTCGTCTGTTGCTGTTTTGCTTGTGTGTATTCTACTATTTTTCTTTTTATTCATACACTATTGGTGTAGGTACGAGTACTTAATTGTTTTTTCTCCATTTGCGAAATTTTTTATTTTGACCGTTTGCGCTTGTGCACGCACACATGATTTTTACATAAGCAACAACAATAATAATGCAGAACTCGGAACAAAGTGAACCGACACAGTCTCGCCTGAAAACCGGTTAATAATATTTGTGCTTATATTACAAATACACACACGTATGTACACCCAAACATACATATACATATGCTTTCATGTAAGTTCATTCGCAGACGTGTGTGTAAGTTTTATTACTAAAGTATTAGTCGATTAACTGAAGCTAAAGTTATGTTGGCTGGTAAGGCATTTGACATGGGTAAGTGGTTTATTCGGTTGATATCAGAGGCATTAGAGGAATTCTTATGTTTTTTATTTATCCAGACTGAATCTAGAACAATGATCACAACTACCAAGTTCGATTTAATCAATTTCCCTTCCTTATTTGTGGCTTCTGCCCTCATCTAATTCTGTTAATAACCCTGATCAAGCAATTTTGTCAAAACTACAGTTTTAAATAATTTGATTGGTATACAACGTATACACTTAAAAACATATGCAGATTTAAATTTTACATATTGGTTCTCTTGTAAACTTCGTTAGTTACCTTTCGTTTCATGTAAAGTATTTCATTTTGAGCCTTTAGTGCTTCCTTGATCTCGACCTCCTTCAGCTCATCCAAAATCTTCTGATATTTTTCTCGATTTTCGACATCCAAGGCCACATGTAGATAGTCGTGCCAATTGCGTGAATCAAAGCCCCAATGACATGTTCGATTTTCGACTTCCCGATGTACATGGCCCACAAACTTCTGTGGCGAAAACCATCCCTTACATTCCAGACACATAATGCAAGTTGGCTTTGTGTATGAGTAAAGTTCGGGTGTACAGATACCATCACATTTCCCGAAACAGCGGTGATATACCTTAAAGGAGATGGCACCTTTCGGGATGTCGTCATCGCTAATGTAATTATTTCGATCTACCCGATGTAAAAGTGCTGCACACAAACGCTCTGCATCAGTGCGTGTTATCAGACCGGATGCCTTTACATCCGTGGGCAAAATTTTTGCAGCTTTAAATTCCAACAGTTGATCAGGTGAACATTGAGAACAATAGATGCCCAATTCATCAAATATTCGATTTATTTGATCGAGTGTAAAATCGGCTAGCACATTGTTTAGAAACTGAGGCAGACACAAACGCATTTCTCCGCCAAGCGAGAAACAACCAATAGTTTTTCCTTCCAATCGCGTTTCGTATAATACACCAGACCCCGAGTCTGGTGCGGTAAAGATGGGTTGTGACAACTCCGGTGGTGGGGGTGGTATGATTTTAACTGTGGTAACAGGAGGCTGTGAAGGAACTGTTTGGGATTGAGGTTGTGTTGTTTGTGACGACATCGACAATGGAAGTGACAGTGGCAACGATTGCGATGGCAATATTTCAGCCAGCTCATGTGGTTCGGGTGAGCTGAGTACTTCTTTTTTAATTAGCGGTGCGACTGGTAGCAAGGCAGAACCCGCAATTGGTGAATTCAAGCAAGATTGTGATGATACTATTTGCGGGCAGTTAGACGATATTTTATGGACACCACTGGAGGAACCGTTTGATGGTAAATTCCCAACCGACAGGTGCCCGGAACAAAGATTACGAACGCCACCAGTGTTTAGGTCTGTGTGGTTGCCACCGCTGCCACTTACGCCAGTCAAAGTGGCATCAAGCGGGCAATTGGGGCCGGTCTGGCAGCCGGCAACGGGTAACGCATGACCAGGTCCCTGCAAACTTTTTGGTGCACTTGTCTGATACTTTTTGAGCACTGTGTGAATATTGGGCGTAACGTACTCAGTCATTTTTTTATTATCCGTTTTTGGACACTTCCTTCTGACGAGGGTAGTGCTGAAGCGGCAGTCTCAGAGGCTAATAAAAATCTGAGTAACTTCAGGTCGTACACCAACTCAACAGTATAATTTACCGACTCTAACTTTTTACAAAGGTTCACATCCAAAAATTTCGGCTTTAATCGCACTCTTCTTCACTTGGACAATTTTAATCGATTTGTTTACACTTTGGCACATTATGCAGTGGCACAAGTTTAATCTTCTATTATATTTCTTTTATTTATTAATTACGTGCTTTATTATGCTTTTATGTTATATTTTTGAAAATTTGTATATACCAAATTTTCTTTACATATATTACTTTAATTTTTTCACTGCTTTAATTATTTTCGCATACAATTCCGACGGCATTTTCGTAGTCAGTCCTTTCATTCGTAAAAGCGACATACAGCACCAAGACCGCTTCACTACTGCTGACACTCTCTTCCACCCCCTGCTTTTCTGTGCTTTTGCAACTTTCGTTTTATTTGCTGCTTTGCGCACTTTACAAACAGCCCGGTTTTTGGCAGCGACGAAATTTCAAAGCAGCGCTGGCAACTAAATAAAAACAAATAATTAAAAAACTGTGCCTATTTTTAAACTCACAGGCACAGCAAAAATTAGAAATATTTCTTTAATCCCCATGTCTTTATTTTATTTTTTTTTTTTACTCCTTTTAATTATTATATTATAATTTGTTGCTTTGAGCAACCTATTCACATAATATACAAATTTTGTATTTATCACTGGGATGCTTTTACTATTCAAAACACCAACTTTTAGTAATTTCTGAAAACATTATATGACATCTTCACATGCATTGCAAATTCGCAATCACTGCACATTTCACTGCCTATTTGTGCGACATATCTCCACAAATAGGTATATTCATACGCGAATACATACAAACATTTGTATATATATATATATATATATATGTGTGTGTGAGTAAAAATTTATGCGTTTGTACGTTTGAATGTATCTAGATAATATGCGCATGCAGAATAGTGCGCTGAACAAACGACCTCGCGACTGACCGTTCGACTGATGACCAAATTCTGACGCTCTGAGGCTGAAATGTCAAAAATCCAACTGGATTCTGCTACTTCTGCTGCTCTCCTTTTCTTTTCTTTATTTCACTCGTTCCGAACACTCTTGTGCCAGTTGTTGTACTAACGAGAGAACGCGATAATGTATACCGATACGAATTGTTTGAGTGGCCCCAAAGAGCGAAGCAGTGGCTGCGATGCTGTACGGCTTAATGCCTTCTAAGTTGGTGTGATTGGGGACGGAATCGGCAACGGTGGCCGCGTTGGTAGCTTGCGCGTGTTTTACTCTCTCAGTCGAAATTTCGTTGCGTTCGGTTCTTTTTTGCTTTGCCTTGTGTTTGTTGTTCTTGCACTTTATTTATTTGCTGCTTTTCTGATTAGAAAATGCAAGAAAAAGTATTTACAATTGTATGTACACAAATATATTGGAGACGTACAGGCAGACATATGTCTCGTCTGTTTGTCGACGCTAGTCGAAAATACTGACAGAACATTCAGCGAAAGGGAGGAGGAAGCACAAACACCACTACAAACAAATAAGGTGACCAAGTCGCAATTTTAAACACCCTTGTCTTCTTTTTTCATATAAAACTTGCTGGTTGATATTCCAAAACTTTTCTTTTTATCCTGCATACATACGCGCATATGTATTGCATTTGCTTTTGCTATTTTTGTTTTATTTTTATTTTTATTTACTGTCGCATTTGTGTTTGTTTCCGCCGATGTATGTATGTAAGTACGTCTGGCACTTAAGTGTGTAAAATATCGCCAAAGATTTTCTTTTGCTTGCTGTAAACACACACATACTACACATATTTTTCGCAAAACTTTACTTATCACATTTTTCTATACATTATTTCATCCACTTAAGCTAAAGTATGTAATGCAAACTTCAGCATATTCTGTACTTGCGAATACATAGGTTTTTATTATTCACAGCACTTCACATTTCGCCGATAATGTTACGTATTTATCACCATTTTTATATTTTGCGATTTAATCAATGCTTTTCGACTTTAAATTTTAAATTATATCCGTTTTATAATTACATATGTGCACAATAAGCACTTGAAAACCTTTATTTCAATTCACTTTGCAAATTTCTTTACACGATTCTTGCCTATTCACGTCAAAGAAATATTCGTTTATCTTTAAAATGTTTTGCGAAATACGCGACACACACTACCTTCTTCCACGAAAGAAGCAGAACAACAATACGGCGTTATCTACTACGCTGTGACGGCAAAGTTAGCGGCGACGCCAATCTGAAAGACCACGACAATAAGACTTCGTATCTCCCAGATACATTGGGCGCCGCCATCATGCTCTACCGAGTCATTGTTGGCAACAGAGAAAATGACAGAAAGTATTATAGCCAAAACAGTCACCGACATTCCTCCCTTCCGTACTTACCGACCATATCGAACCAAATTTGTCAAAAGTTATCCCCGTAGTTGCAATGCAGAAATCAGTTGTTCTTTTTTGTTTTCATTTCACCAATGTTGCCATTGTTGTATTGGTATACACGATTTTTCATACATTTAGGTTTTTAGTTATAATATTTCATAATCTAAAAGCTCAAAGCTAAAATCCAACTACTCAAAATAGTTAACCTATTTATAAATAAATGTATACGAATGTGTTTTGAATTATTTTAAGAATATTTCATATATGTTCACGTTAAATTTTTATTATTATGACGTACGGAAAGAAGGAATGTCGGTGACTGTTTGATTTTTTTTTTTTTTTCGTTGAGTATGAAAGTATTTATTAAGGTATAACAAATATGTTTAATCAAAGTTTTTCAAGTTAACAAGTAACTACTTTCATGTAAACATAGGATTTTTCAATTCTATAATGCTCTCAAAAACAGAAAATTTAATGTGAAGTGATAAAATTGAATTGGGTGACTTACATGTCACCCTGTCTCCACTTCACGTTTTTCGTTTCTTATTATTTTTAAATAACTCTTACCTGCGCAGACAATAATTACTTGTGAGCTATTGTTATTAAGCTATTGCCATTCGCAATATTAATTGCATAAAAAATATATAATTTCATTAAAAAATATGTTCATTATTCCTGCTCTAAAAGGAGTTAAAGCCATTTGCAATACTATCTCGGTTAAATAGTTTCCGAAATTGCATGAAAAATGCATCTATTTGTTTATTTGATGAACATTTAAATCAAAAATACTGGCAATAGAGAGTAATTGTGAATGTTCAGCGAGAAGAAGAAGGTAAACAAAAAGGTCAGCAATTTTGGCGGGTTTTTAGTTTAAGGCATTTCGTTCGGTCTGTCCAAAACATAAAGTTAAATAATAATGGATCTAAATGATGCAGTTCTAACTTGTGCCGTCAATATTTTATGGACTAATGCAGTCGGTGTGACAGGTAAAAAAATGGTTTTTAGGACAGCGACATTACGTTTAATACGGAATGATGTGAGGGAACTTTTCATTGAAGTCGCCGGTGAAAAAATTAAACCAATAAAATTCAAGCTGAAAGATGTGATGGTACATAAGAAATTTATGTCGGAAGGCAAAGCGACAATTAATTTCAAAATTGAGAAGTGTGCAATGTATTTGTCAAATGCTCCACCTGGCACCTTAATGTATTTCCTCCGCACGATATTTATAAAATTAAATGGTGGGGAACGGAAGGATGAGGCTACTACTCAAAAACAGTTACGAGCTCATATGTTGTCAGGAAAGCCTAGTAATTTTGAAGAGATCTCTCCCATAACAACAACAGAGATGATTATGGCCAGGAAAAAAGCTGGATTGTTAGGACGTGGCACTGCAACAACGCCATCACCACTGGCTGCTAAAAAGCGACGATTCGATGATATAAAGATAGGTGATGGAAAAGTGACTTCGAATGCACCTGCAGCGAAAAGGCTTTATCAAGATAAAAGCACATCGCTAGGAATGGAAGACAATTTGAAACTTTGTGAGGAACAGTTGGAAGTCTTACGTGCATGCACTTCAGGCAAGAGCGTGTTTTTCACAGGTTCTGCAGGTACAGGGAAAAGTTTCCTGTTACGTAAAATTATTTCAGCTCTTCCACCAGACGGTACTATGGCGACTGCATCTACAGGTGTTGCTGCTTGTCTGATTGGTGAGCCAAAACCAAGATACCTGCCACTTTGTTTATTTTTAATATTTTATTCAAATTCAGGTGGCACAACCTTGCATGCTTTTGCCGGTATTGGCGGTGGTGACTATGGACTCACGCGTTGCATTGAATTAGCCTCGCGAGCAGCAAGTGCTCAGATTTGGAGGAAATGTAAAAGACTCATTATAGATGAAATATCTATGGTGGATGGACAGTATTTTGAGGTTTGAAGGCAAATATTGATTACATATATTAAATAAACTGTGAATATTTGTCAACATTTCAGAAAATAGAAGCAGTTGCAAGACATGTGCGTAAAAATGACAAGCCTTTTGGCGGAATTCAACTGATATTATGCGGGGATTTCCTACAACTACCGCCTGTGGTAAAAAATGAAAACAATTCGAATCCAACGCAACGGTTTTGTTTCCAATCAAACGCCTGGGAGAAATGCATACAGAGCGTCTTTGAGTTAAAAGAAGTACACAGACAATCCGATCCAGAATTTGTAAATATATTAAATCATATTCGAATTGGGCATATTAATGAAGAAATTACAAAACGTCTACGAGCTACATCTAAACAAAAGATTGAAGGTGGTGGTATTCTAGCAACCCAACTTTGTTCGCACACAAACGACGCGCAATCCATAAATGAATCAAAACTTGAAAGTTTAAAAGGCGAAAAAATGTTATTTCGGTCTGAGGACTCGGATGCGAATATGGTAAAACAATTGGACTCACAATTGCAAGCCATTTCACAGCTATATTTGAAAATTAATGCTCAGGTAATGCTTTTAAAAAATATTAATATATCTGCTGGTCTGGTAAATGGAGCCCGTGGTGTTGTGGTGCGCTTTGAAAAGGGTGTACCCGTAGTACGATTTAAAAACAATCGTGAATATGTTTGTACTCATGAGAAGTGGATAATAAAAACAACATCGGGGGGTACAATCACACGGAGACAAGTGCCTTTGAAATTAGCATGGGCATTTTCAATTCACAAAAGCCAAGGTCTTACATTGGATTGCGTTGAGATGTCACTGTCGAAGGTATTTGAAGCTGGGCAGGCTTATGTTGCTTTGTCACGCGCGAAATCATTGGACTCTTTACGAATATTAGATTTCGATCCAAAACAAGTCTGGGCCAATGCACAGGTCCTTCAGTATTACAAGCTATTTCGCAGACGCTTACATGACAGTACAATGATACCACTAGGTGCAAAAAACATAAAACGTGAAAAAAATGATCCGAAATCGAGTGCTATATCCAAATTAAAGAAGAGTCTAATGGATAAACCATTAGTATCTATAAGCTAACAAATACGCAACTACTTGTTTAGATATGAAGTAAAACTTTATATATTAATTTAATTTAGCCTTCCAATATCTCAACTAAAATTTCTCAATCTGTATTATGATAATTTAGTTTAAATTTGACTAGTATTTATAAATTTTTTAAAGTGGCAGTACACATCAAGCATTACATTAATACTCAAAGAACTACTGAATCTATAATATTTTTTTAATCTTACAATAACCGATCTATGTTTTCTTATTTATATATACATTTATACTACAAAGTGATAATTTTTTTAGTCAAATATGTATTTTTCTCAAACACTTCCTATCATACCCTCTTATGTCAAATGCATTTGGTATTGTACAATACTTTTATTAAAGGACGCATCATTATATAATATTACACTGCTTTATAGCGAATTCAAACTATTGTGCCTATATATATCAGCAAGAAAGAAGTATATATTACGCTATATATTGAGTGCATAGAGACAAAAGACAATTGAGCATTGTTCTTAAAAGTATCATAAGTTTGCTTTTTAATTTCAATGCATGGTATACTGTCACATACATAAATGATAATTTTCGTTTGGAATCTGTTTTACTCTTCGTCCGCAGCAAAACTAGATGATACTTCCTCTGTTTTCATTCCACTGCCAACTTGTCCATGGCGACGCTCCCAGATCAAACGATGTTTCTGCTTCATGTATGCCGTTTTAGCATTAGCATAGCCACCTAAATCCCCATCTATTTCACAAATTTATTTCAAAAATTAGTAAATTTTTATGAAGAAAAGTTTTTATTACTTACATTTGATAAACCAATTTTCAGCAGCTTTCTCATATTGTTCTAAAATAGGCTTGCATTTTTTAATATGGTCGGGCGTTTCATACATTACACAATCTTCGAAGCGTTGGCGTAAAATCGACACGATTTCATTTTCAACCATTCGATCCCGGCGAAATTGTTGATCGGCTTCAAAACGGCAAACAGCATCGTCAGTGTAGCACTGGTCGATTGTAGGAACACGTTGAAAACGTTGATGATACCAAGCTTGCTTTTTCTGATTAGGCTCAACAATAGATTCTGTAAAATACAATGATACTCTATGTTTGATGAAACGTAAACAAACATTTGGGTGCTCATCTTGTTTGTAGTTGAGGTTATGTTATTATGTAATGAAGTAATCAAAACCGAAATTAGGATTTAACAAAAACATAGCTATGCACTTAGGGATGCAGGCTTTACACTTTGTATTTCTAATATTATTTACAATACCACACTAGAGTTCCTACCTCTGAACCATGTTACTGGCCCATCGATAATATTGCTTACTGACTGGGCAAAACTTGCCATTGGATTCCGGGGTTCGGGCATCGTCTACTAAAAATGCCAAATGAAGAATAAAATGCATCTTATTTATGTATTTAAAAGTATGTACATTAATAAATGCTCCTTACCTAGCGGTAAAACAAAATAATTTTCACTTTTGCCCACAGTCACAAATTTTGATTATGCTTCAAACAGCAAATTGTCAAACTTCAGCTGATAATTTTTTTTCTGGTTCGCGTCTTCACTTTGTATTCTACGTTTCTTATTATTTTTTACTCTTACGTAGTACCTCCACAGACAATCATTATTTGTGAGCTATAGTTATTAAGCTTTTGCCATTCGCAATATTAATTGCATAAAAAAATATTAGAATAATTAAAGTTCGTTCGGTTTTTTTTATTGATTTTTCAAAAGATGATAACTTTGTGTACATTTGTCTGATTTAAGTCAAATATGCGCCGTTTTGTTCGTAAACTTGTTGGCAACGAGATGCCAACGTCATTATACCCCTCTCGTAGAAGACTGCGTCCCTATTGCCAAAAAACTCGGAGAGCCAATTTTCACAGGCCTCTCTTGAGGCCAACTTCTCACCATTAAGCGCGTTCGCCATGGACAGGAAAAGATGGTAATCACTTGGTGCCAGGTCCGGACTATAAAGTGGGTGCATTAGAACTTCCCATCCGAGCTCCAGGAGCCTCTGGCGAGTCACCAAAGACGTGTGTGGCCTGGCGTTGTCCTGATGGAACACAATTCGGCCTCTGTTGATCAAAGATGGCCTCTTCTGGATGAGTGCTGCATTCAAGCGGTCCAGTTGTTGGCAGTAGAGGGCTCAATTGAGCGTTTGCCCATAGGGGAGCAGCTCGTAGTAAATGATTTCTTGCGAATCCCACAAAACACGCAGCAAAACCTTCCTGGCCGTCAATCCGGTCTTGGCCACCGTCTGGGCCGCTTCCCCGAGCATATACCACGATCGTTTGCGCTCGATTTTGTGGCAAGTGACCCATTTTTCATCGCCGGTCACAATCCGCTTCAGAAACGGGTCGAGTTTGTTGCGATTCGCAGATGGAAATTCGGTCCATCATGTTTTTTGCGTTAGTTCGTGTGGCACCCAAACATCTTTTTGAATCCAAGGTTATGCAAATGGTTCCACACGGTTTTCTGGTTTATCTTTATTTCTTCAGCAATTAAATAAGTGCTCACGTGACGGTCTGTTTCCACTATTTCCATGATTTTATCGCAATTTTCGACGACAGGCCTTCCGACGCGTGGGGCATCTTTGACATCGAAATTACCGGAACGGAACCTAGCAAATCACTTTTGTGCTACACGTTCGTTTACAGTATCGGGCCCATAAACTAAATTAATGTTTTCAGCGGCTTTGGCTGCTTTTTCGCTTTGATCGAAGAAAAATTGTAAAATATAGCGAATTTTCTCTTTGTTGGTGTCCATCGAGCGCTCAAAACGAACTGAGTAAATCAATCGAAAAACTGTCAAAGACAAACTTTTAGTGCGAATAAACACGTTTTCAGCGCCGTATAGTATGACATGATGCGACACGTAACACTAATACTATGGACAATAACGCCATCTCTTAGATAAAAACCGAACGAACTTTTTACTTCACCTAATATATAATATTCAGTCAAAAAAAATCTTCATTATTCCTGCCTATTAACCTAATCCATGGCTTTCATAATTACCATTAACCACCCGCTTACCTCCACCAGCAGCGTGGAAATCCTATAAAGCATCGTTTTACCCTCCCCGCCCTTCTGCGACGTCTAGCGGCCGTAGTTGTAGGCTAGATGGGTCAAACAAGTTGCATCGTATAGAGGACACTTCAGGGCTTCCTTTTATTGGCATCATCAATCTATCCTAGTACCACTAGGAGCGCAAAAGGCGCAAACTGCACTTCTTTCAAACTCCGGGTACCCATCCCTATTCTTCGTACTTTATTGTCCATCAAAACACAAAAAAGATAGATTATCTGAAGAAGAACAAGATCTTCATTCAACAACAGTGTATGGTATGTATGTATATATAACGCAATTGAATGAAAAGTAGTGGAAAAGCACCTTTTTTTGTTAAAGAATTCGAGGAAAAATTAATTATCTAAATATTTTGAGGAGGCGATTCAAATATAGCGAGCTAGCTCCACAACAGCCGGTGCTACGATATCGGAATTGACCCGAATTATGGTCATCACTTTCAGAGCACCATCTGACAAACAGAGTAGCTCTTTATCCTCCTGATGGGTGCTGGCATTGAGTACAACCCGGAGGAATTTTTTTGCTGTGTGTAAGGAACCTCAACAACGGTCTCACGGAGCGTAACTAGGCAGCATAACTCCCTCCCAGTCTGATCTAACCTTTTCGATTATTTCCTTTGCGTTTACTTTTAAGACTTTGTTATTGTTATTGTACATATGTATGCATGTAAGTACATATATATTAGGGTGTGTGTTATTTCCTAAGGTGATTTTTTGCTGACGCCCTCAAAAACAATTATCCAGCTCTATATTTTCAACTTAAACCGCCGCCTAAATAATATTAATTTTTCCATGTATATAATTGGTGATTTAGTGATATTTTCATTAAACAAGTAAACAAGAAAAAATTATATATATTCTACATATTTTATAGTAATTTTCGCTCTACAAAAAATGAATTTTACTGTACTGGCACCATGGCGTATGAGCAACACAGAATTTATAAAAGAGTTATTTTCGAAGTTGTTGTAACGGTATCTAGTTCCCCCTTGAGTAGTAAGTTATATTTAGTTGTCGTCGAGGTCATCTAACGGGAGGCCCAGAGCTGCGGGGTCGGACCATAGGGAATGGGTATTAGATGAGTGGGATTCGTTGGGCATGCAAAGAGGTCGTTGGTTAGTGTCATGCGAAATTCATTGCATGCAGGACATATATTGGGTATGTCGGGGTCGATTCTGAATAAGTAGGAGTTTACCCTGCTACAGTCTCCAGAAAGAAGTTGCGCAAGGGTTTTTCCCATTCCCCCAACAGCCGGTTCTTCTACCTTACCGGAATTGACCCGGATTTTATCCGGCCAAGAGCTGTTATTTCGGCGATCTAGTCGTGATCGGTGAGTCGTGAGGCTTGCTCACTTAATGCAAAAGATCAAAAGAAAAATGATTAATCTACGGTTTAAATTGAAAATAAAGATCTTGTTAGTCAATTTTTTAGCAGAAAAGCTGAAACTTCAGAGGGCGTTAGAAAAAAAATCAACTTGTGAAATAACGGACACGCTAATGTACCTATACCATATACCATACATATGTATGTACATACAGTTGCAATTTTAGAACTTTCTCTTGCTACAAACTTGAAGGTTTTTATGATTTGGAAATATTAAGGTCGAGTGTGCTCGGAAAATTTGCTGTGATTTTTTTTGTCTACAAAAGAGTTTGTATACATATATATATATACATATATACTTACACATTTAAGGCCCATTGTGCGATAATATTTTCTCCAAAATAAATTTAAAAATTAAGTCTTTGTTTGTGGAGTTCATCGACATCTAATTTCCTTATCAACCGAACCTTTAGTAGATCTGAAACTGTTTGAAGTTTAGTAGGAATATCAGTACAATTAATTGAGTTAGATTCGAAATAAGAATTCGAATAAGGAATTCACATTTAGAGAATCCTGCAAAACTGAAAAAAATTAAGTGAAAGTTAAGCATTCGGCGAACACTCTCAATCTCACAATTATATTTGATCTTACAGGAAAAATCAATTAAATACATATTTATGATATTAGGGGACTAAGGACATTATAGATCCGGTCCATTCCATTCTCGTCACACAGGCATACTATTATCAGGAATTATTTTGGTTCGATTTGGAAAATTTTTGGTCACAAGTTGGTACACTTCAAAGGTACTATTGCAAAGTTTTATCCCGTTATACTATACTCATTGCTTCTTGATTTGTATACTGGAAAGTGAAAGATTATAGAATTTAAAATTATGTTATATGGGAAGTTGGCCGATCTGGCCCATTTTCATACTGTAACATAGAATGTCAGTATAATGTTACCTTCCGAATTGGGTTGAAGTCGGTCGAGCAGGACTCGAGGTTTTCACCTAAATGTGGGTGGAGCCACACCCATCATCCAATTTGACTTCGACGCCTATAAAGCCTTCTCCTATCATTTCGGGTGTAAAATGTATGACTCTAGCGTGTATAGATTTATCGCACTTTATTTTTAACAAAACCGTTATATGAGTAGTGGGCGGGGTTATCATCCAATTTCACACTGTCAGTAGGGGTGCTAAATGTATTTGTGGTGAGTGAATTTAGTCGTTATAGTTTTAGCGATTTAGGAGCGCCTATTAGAGGCGAGGACACACACGCCCACTTTTTCAAACTGCAGATGCTCCTCCCTAATGCTATTCCTGATACCAAAGACCAGCGTTATGTCTCATTGTGGAGCATCTTGTGGCAATTTATTGGTTTTCGATTAATGGTGTTTTGTGAACGTGGCAGTGGTCCGATTACGTCCATCTGCAATACCAACCTTCTTATGGTGCCAAGAAACATGTGTGTCGAGTTTTATCAAGATATCTCAATTTATACTCAAGTTACAGCTTGCACAGACGGACAGACAGCAACCGTCATATATTTATATATGTACATACTTATATAACCCTATATCTAACTCGATTAGTTTTAGATAATACATTTTAGGTGAACAAAACTATTATACTCTGTAGCAACATGAGTATAAAAAAATACATTGAAAAGCTTTTTTATTAAAATTAATTTGTTTATTGCAAATTTTACTTTGATCGCTCTAAAGAACTCAATATAACTGATAATTATAAGTTATAAATTGTGTGCATGTGTATATACATACAGTATCTTTGGTATAAACGGTGTATCAAGTGAAAAACCAACAAAATTTCACGAAAACATCGTGTAGGCTGACGAAATTTGAATGGAGAATTGCTCAGTTTCGTAAAATTCAAATAAAGTTATCTGCACATAAGTATAATATATGTATTTATGTGTACATATGTACATAAATATGTATGTATGCATGCAGCCGAATTCCGATGGCCAATGATCAGCTCATCTGGGTAAAAGGAAAGGAAAGAATGAAAAGCATACAACTTTAGTTTTCAAAGGATAATTTCTATCAGAGGATACTATATTCGGATGATCGGATTATTTATGCTTCTTCTACTTGCTTTTTTTTAGTGCTGCCAAAATAAATAAGAATAGTCCAGAAGAATTGAGCTTAACCGGTGAAAAAATGAGCAGTTAATTGTCACAACACTTTGTTATCAATGGAAATGAGTAATTTGAGCGACATACACGTACTGTAGATACACTAATATACTACACAAACATTTACATTATTATTTTGAAGGCAAAACAACAAAAGAACCTAAGTAGTCAGGTAGTACACGTCTGATAATTGTCTTGCAATGACTCATAATTGAGTAAATTGGGGGTCTTATCAACCCAAAATGAGCAATTATAAGTACATATGTATGTATTGACATGTTCCGACATATCTAGTATTTTACTGTTAGAGAAAGCGTGTTCTTGCGAAAAACAGCGTTTGTTGACCTAATTTTGGAAAAATCATTTAATTCATGCGAATTGCTGTACATACATAAGTATGTACAGATGTGTATAGATATTTAAATATGTATTTATATATGTACATATGTATGTATTTAGAAGCATACACTCTGTTGCTTGTATTTGAGTATAGCTAATTATTTATGGGTTGTGTTTCACTGTCGTGATTCCTTTGGACATTTTCTCTCATATTTAAGATGCTTGTGTTTTTTTTTTTAATTTTAAACGACCGACTGATGCCTAATCTGTTGTAAGTGTCTCAATCTTGTCATAATCAGAATTGACGCTTGACTGACGAGCTCAGGCTACTACCGGGGTCACAGTTGGCGGATAGTGGACGGCCTACTCTAAGTAGGTTAGCTGCGAATAGTAACACGCAGCCCCCGACCAAGAGCTGCAGGAGAGGAGGGCTTGGCTCATAATGCCTCACGCGCCCAATGAACCGTCGGCGAAGAGTCGAACAAATGCCGCCTTTAAATAAGCGTCAACAGCCTCACCGGGGCTGCACCGAGGGAGAACCTACCCACGAGAGGGAGACAACAAAGCGACGAGGGATCATACATATGAATCTACATATGTACATAGGCACGTCTGTGGTAACTCGGAGCATTGTCTGTTATAAAACTGGGCAACCGCTATTACATACAATCAGCCATCGGGACATAAACTCACAACGTACCGTCTAAGAGTCATACACCGTATGATTGTCTGTATACAAATGTACTCGTACATACTTATATATATTAATATATACATGCATACCCTTTCAGGTATAAAATGAATGCGTCTGATCTGATAGCATTTGTAAGGGATAAACATATCGGTGCTCTCTGTATAAAAAGGCGACGATGTGTTTGTGATGGTGGAATACGTGTCAGCAAACATGACGACAAAATGTGAGGATGGACCCGTAGAGTTATGTTCCATACACGATAACATCCACTACATACATACATAAATATGTATGTGTAATTTTATAATCCACTTCTTACCTGTACCTGTACCTGATGTAATTATATTTAAATCTATTCATACAATAGTGTCTGTGTATATATACATACGTATATATGTATTTGTATGTAAATACGAACGGCCTTCATAAGCCAAATGTCACACGTGTCGGCGCCAATATGTATTAGATTGACGCCAATGCGCTTTTTACGCCGTAGATATCTGGAAGTTCTCATTGTTAGCCCCTTGGAATAAAATATATGTTATATACATACATACTATAGGTGTTTGTAAACTGGTTTATGCATTGGTATAAACAGCCATATATGTATGTATGTACATATGTATACATGTGTGTATAATGGGAGCTAGTCCTCCAATAGTCCATATATACAGGTACTTGCTCACGAGACGTCACTAAAAAAGTATGTAGGCTTGTGTGTGTGTACATTTGTAAACAATGCTATGTACTTGTTTACAATCTTTATATGCAATTTCCACGCTTTAATTATGATTCTCATCTGTCGATCAACAACCTTCTCACCAATTTTGAGTATATAAAATTAGTATGTACATCTATGTAAATACATACATATAATAAAAATGTTACTGCGTCGTTTCGTACTCTCTCAAATTGTTTTGTTCGCTGCCGGCTTTTTTATCTCTATCTCTATCTATCTATCTCTATAGTTCGTCGACATTTTCGAAATGGCGTTGATATCTGAAAAAATATTTCAGTAAACGAAGTCTTAAACTTAATGAGAGATTTGAAATCAATGAAAATCATGATATCATCAATTTTGTTGTAAAACCGGCGGTTGTTGAAATTCTTTTCTAGCCTAGGTATTGTACATACGTACATACATATCTGTACTTATACTTAGTTTCGAAAGGTTTATTTATACTTAAATAAAAAATAGAACTTTCTATGATTTCACGTTTTTATACGATTGCAACATGTTGCTACAGAGTATAATAGTTTTGTTCATCTAACGGTTGTTTGTATCACCCAAAACTAATCGAGTCAGATATAGGGTTATATATATATATATATATGTATTTATAAATGAGAAGGATGACGAGACTTTGCCAAATGGCTTAGTGTACATATCTTCCAAACCGCTTAAGATATATCAACCTAACTTGCCCAGAAGAAGAGATATCATCACATCTCTGTGAAAATGGGTAAAATCGGATCTTAACTTAAATGAATGAAATCCCGATGATCCTAATTTGATATAAAGTTTTGCCAAAACCTGATGGTGCTCTTCCGCCTTTGTTCCTTGCAAGTTGCAAGAGTATGAAATGTTCGGTTACACCCGAACTTAGCTCTTCCTTACTAGTTTTTTTTTTTTTTTTTGTAATTTTGATAAGCTCATGAGTATTGCATCAGCCTCTTAACTTTGTAAGAATTTAACGTACATATGTAAATACAGTTTCCGTCAACGTGTGAATAATTAATTTTCGATACATAGAGTATGTAATTTCATGAATGAGATTAAGTTATAAATGAAATACTTCTCATAACAATAAAATAAAAAGAAAAGGTATTATAGTCCCGTAAGGTTAGTGAATTTAGGCCATTCAGAGTAAGAGAAGTCTAGCAAACAGCGAAGTCAAAAAACCTTCCACAGTGCGCAATAATTTTATTTATCAATAACAACAAGAATTTTTATACCTGTATGTATGTATGTACATAAGTAGATATACGAATCACGCTAGAATGCTTCAGTACAGGCTAGAACAAACAAAAACAACCGCGACGCCGACTTCAGCTTTATGACGCTCGCGTAAAATTGACAAACATATTATCGAGCGTGTGCTCACTCACCACCACGACGTTGCGCTACGCCAATGTTTTCGTATAAATATAAACGCTCCCCACCCAAACACAACAGTCAAGTTCAAACTTTCGTTGGACTCGCGACGTAATTTTGTCGGAAAATAAATCAGTTAAACATCAGTATACGAATACAAGTATAAGTACATAAATTCTGTTTCAAGTGCAAATTTGAAGTTTAAATAATTCTCAACACATTTTTGTTTTCGAAAACTTTATAAATTGAACGATCACTATTGATTTTGCGATTCTTGCGAAAAAATTTACAAATAAAGAAATTATTTTATTTTTAAATAAGTGAAATTTTTGATAGCAGCAATTAAGTGAAAAAAACTAAAGATAACTCAAAATGTCTGCATCGCCAACTGCTCGTCAAGCATTCACGCATGCCCTCCCGAAAACTAAAAAAATTTTTATCTCGGACCCCATTCAGATGCCGGAAGTTTATTCATCCACTCCCGGCGGCACACTGTATTCGACCACACCTGGAGGTAAGTTTCCAAAACAACTTATATTTGTTTCTGATTTAGATATTCGAGTGTAGTAAATTACAAAGTTATAGTTACAATATTATTTTGTGTACTCATTTGCCAAATCTGAATTCATGTTGAAAATTAACTTAAAAACTAATGCGCCACTTTTCGAAAGTAAAAAGGTGCTATCTTCTTTCAATATAAGAATTCAAATGTTTATACTCAAATAGATACATATGTACATATGAACCTACGATTACGTAGAAGTATTGAAGATGATTCATTGTAATGTAGAATTTCTAATCAATAACAGAAGACATACTCGTACATACACATAAACAAAAATGTTGTGCATAAATAAAAAAATACAAACACGAATCATAATTTTATTATATTGGAACTTATTTTCTATTGCAGGCACAAAGCTTATCTACGAACGCGCATTTCTTAAAGATTTGAGAGGGTCGCCACTAAGTCAAACACCACCATCCGATTTGCCTACATGTCTTCTTCGCGGAACCCCACGCACACCATTCCGGAAATGCGTCCCGGCCCCAGTCGATTTAGTAAAGAAGACACGGTCAATGAAAATAGAAGACCATGAACAGTTCCAGTTGGAATTGTAATATTTCAAGGCAGCATTAGCAAAGGTGCAGGCAATTCCAAAATACTGCCGTGAACTCGGAAATTCATTGAATAATGCTCTTGCTGAGTTGAAGCTTAAAAAATATGCATACATACAATATGTATTCTATATATTCACATACTCATAAGCTGAACTGTTCCAAATCATCCACATCCGCATTTTTTATTTATAAATAGTTATGTGATTTATTACCATTTTAGTTTTTATTTAATATAAATTTTATAAAACTTAAAAATTGTATGCTTTAGTTTAAATGCCTGATAAGAAATGAAAAACATTAAATACTATCAACTTTCGGTCATATTGACCTCTATAAAATGTTAAAGATTTTATTGGTTATCCAACATTTATGTGATTTTATTTGGATCATTAAATTAAATTAATTATAACTATTTAGCTGATTGTACTATGTACATTAGATATAAGCAAATGTATACATATGTACACTTGGATATAAACTTTTGGTTACTAACCAAAGCGAAAATAAAAGCCAAAACTTATTATTTATATCATGTAAGTGTAATTGTTCATGCGTTTCACGCTGCAGGAACATTCCCCTAGATGCATCACCAATGGTACAGCGAAACAACAGCGGTCACTGTTAACTATTGTTGTAATGTTTTACGGTACTAAAAGAACAGCAATTAATATCTCTCACTAAACAACAACAAATACCCTTCACAAATACAAAGGCCCCTTTCAAGAACTTTATTCCGAATGTTCAATTTGTATAGCAGCTATATGATATAGTGATCTGATCTGAACAATTTCTGCGGAGAATATATTGTTGCCTTAAATTATAATCCATGTCAAATTTCGTAAAGATACCTCGTCAAATGAAAGAGTTTTCCATACAAACTCTTGATTCCGATTGTTCAGTTTGTATGGCAGCTATATGCTATAGTGGTCCGATATCGGCCGTTCCGACAAATGAGCAGCTTCTTTGTGAGAAAAGGACAGATGCATTTTAGATCGATAGCTTAAAAACTGAGGAACTAGTTTATATATATACAGACAGACAGACATGGCTAAATCAACTCAGCTCATCATGCTGATTAATTATGTATATATTTTATAGGGTCTCCGATGTTTCCTTCTGGGTGTTACAAACTTCGTGGCAAACTTAATATACCCTGTTCAGGGTATAAATATGTTATCCTTATTCAATACTCAAATCGCAACATTTCATTTATATAAATATATAGTTTATTTATATGATTTATTTATTCTTATTAACTTAGATATATGTATATATATCAAATATGTGTGGGTACAAAGTCAAAATTCCTTGTCAATTTTAATACAAAATGTAAAACATGCATATATCCCTAAGTTTGTGTGTTCTTAATTCAGCTCGCAGGTCATATTGCTGACATCCTATTCGCCTACACTTCTGTGCTCACATCTTTTTTTACTGTTATATAACCCTTTAAAAGATACGATTAATGTAACAGGACAAACAAATACACAAATCAAATGAATAGTTTTAGGTGTTGACAAAACTTGATCTTAAACAAAATTGTATATTAAATAAGTATAATAATATAGAATATATTCAATAAAAAACACTTACGTATACAAAAGTTTAGTTACATTTACAGCGAAAATTTTAGACATGCAATATAAAAAACTTGGCAGACGTTCTAAAACGTCTTTATTAACAAGAAAGATATTAATTTATTTTTTAACTTATGTTATATCTACATATGTATTTCGATTTCATATTCGTTTTTGAACTCTTTGTGGTTCGAAATTCCCCATTGTTAATAGACGTTTTTATAATATGGCATTTGAATTAGTTCTTTTAGCAACACTATAGAGCAGAGAACAAATTAAACCCCCCCCCAAGTTAATAACTACATCTACTGATTAACAACCTTCATGGCCAATGCTATAGTGATGCACATTCAATTCGAACAATCCTGGAGTCGAAAATGGGAAGATATCAATGACAATTGTTTCAATATCTATTGGGCTTTGCAAAGTTGGGATAATGCTGAGCCCCTCTTTCCCGTAAGGAATTACACTGTCATGTATATACATAAATTTTTAATCTCTTAAGTTTTTTATAAATGAAATATTCAAAGCCATGCGCATATTCATCATTTGGTTTGTGGTAATTTATTATTGCAAGAATACAATTGAGAGTACTGCAATTGAATACTTTTAAAAAATCGAAAACTCTAAAATTTCACATTCGATATTGCAATTATAACAAACAAACTTTCGTAGGAGCTCTCAATTTTCCTAATTTTTTGCTGCACTTTATTATTGCAGAATATTTCATCTAGTTTACAACTGATTTGACGATATTTTTTATCTACAAATTTACAGAGTGGACATTGTTTTTTTATATACAGATTTTATAGTAAACAATTATTTATTAGTAACTGAAATAATTGTGTTTCAACAAAATGTCAACCAAAAATAGTACAATACAAAATTTATACCATAAGTTGATAATCGTTTTTCTTCTTGTATAAATTTAACAGCTAAACATATCACGAAAGAAATGCGTATTGCGTAATAAAATTTGCATTCCATTATTACATTGAACATTTCGATTTTACTCTAAATATCTTCATATAAATATAAATATTATAAATATAAAACAACATTGACATTATGTCTTTAATATTGTTTCTCAAAACTATATATTTCACAATAATTTGCACATTTTAAATGACGATCACTGTACGATACAGCTTTATATCATGACAACAGTTACAAAAGCGCAATTCAAAATTTACCATCGATCGCATTTGTTCAGGATTTTCATTGTGTTTTCCACACTAGGAACACTATAATATTTTGCAAAATTTATTATTACCATTAAATTTCGAAAGAATCGTCGAGCATGCTAACATTGCTTCCCAAATGTTAATCATTACGACAATTACTCCAAGCTTCGTTGTCATCTATCTTGCTGTATTTAAAAAAAATATATATAAAAAAAAAAATTGCAACACCATTACATCACAAATGGTGTACCCGAAAGCTACTTTTTTAGAGCTTTTTGTATCCACTTTAAACATAATTGGATCTCATAATTAAATTCATTGCGGGTCTTTGACTACGAATTTAAGCTCCATGTCTATAATCACATATACTTAAAACAAGGGCTTGAAAAAATAACCTTCAAACCTGTTGCAATTCAATAAAATGTTTACTACGGTTGTGGCAAATTTTGATTACCACTGCCACTCCCCCCAGGATAGGACGATGACAGCGAATTTAAGGAAGAGTGTGGTGTTGATACATCCAATGTATCACTAGAGGGTATTGGAATTGCGGACGATGAAGGCTGCTGCAATGATTGTTGCTGTAGCTGTGCCATTTGTTGTTGCTGTTGTTGTTCTTCAATTTGAAGCTGTTCCAATTCCAGCTCCTCTTCCAACTGCTTCATAAGCGAATCCTTATTGGCATGCCAATATTTGACAGGAATGCGCAGCGTGGTAGTCAGTGTGTCGTTATGCTCTTCGAGTGAATTACTTGCATAGTGTTCCACCAACTTTTTTAGAGAAACATATATATTATAGGGAGCTGCAAAACCGAATCCACTTTCGGTTTCGTAGATAATACAATGGTTTACGACGTTTTTGCAAACAATGGAAAGAGCATAATGTCCAGCAGAACGAGCCCTTATAAGGAATGTACCAGTAGGGGCACCCTTCAACAACTCCTCGGCCTCTTGGCGCAAACAGTCGCGAAGGAACCATAATGAATCATTATTATGCGGTAAATTCGTTCGACTTTCGTATCTCCTTTGCCAGGCATCGAAGCCCATTTCTGCGAGTAAGACAATATCTTCCTCCTTAATACCAGCTTCCATTAGGCGCCTACAAATAAATGGAAATAGTTAATGAATATTACAGAGCCATATAAACGTTAAAAACGTAAAAAAAGATTAATAAAACGCATTTTTGAATCTGACTGTAGCATGATTCTAATAAAATTTATCTGACCTAGTTTATTCGTTAACTTTTTACTTGGTAATTTTTATTCGAAAGCAAAATAAATATTATTTTTATTAAGTTGAAACGAACAAATAATCAAGCCATGAGAAAGCTAAATCTTAACTATATATGGAATACACAGATATTTTTTTCACCAATTGTTCTTTGTTTGTGTTTATCTTCTCGATGGTTTGATATGTATATGTATGGTGATAGGGGGGAAAAATATATTGACAAATATAAAAAAAGTCTGTAGAAAGCAACCATAACAAAGGCATAAAATAATAATAGCTATTATGAAATCTTTTACGTTCTCCTTGGCTAATTCAAATATATTTTATAAGGAAAATCAATCTAAAACATTTGATAATAGTTAACTTACTCTGTAGTCCGTTCCTTTTCCAGACTTAGCTCCTGCAGCTCAGGTTTCGCGGCATTGATTTGACGTTCCAGCCTTTTATATTCCTCCTTCTTGTCTTCCACATAACGGTTTAATTTTCCCATTTCTGCACATAATGATTGAAGCTTCATTTTTAGTAATGCGGCATTTGCCTGTAATTTTTCTTGATCCTGTTGACGATCTGCATAGTTGTTATTTCCTCCACTTGCACCACCGTTTGCATTCGTTGTTGTACCAGCTGTGCCGACCTGCGGCTGTATTGCCGTACATATATATGATTCTAACAATTTTATTTGATTTTTAAACATTTTTTCCGCCTTCAGAAAAACTTCTTGATCCTGCTTTTTCTCATTTAATTCAGCTTCGACGTTCTTGAATACTTTCATTTTTTGATCTAGTAAATGTTGCTGCTTATTTAATGTATGATGCAAACCAAGAAATTTATCGGCAAGAAATCGCAGATCACTATGATCGTCTTCCTCTGCAGGTTTCACAATTGGATTGCTCAACGTAATATCAAGCATTTTATTGTAAAGCTTTAAGGAATTTACCCTATAGTAATTGATCAACTCAACTACTGAATTAAACTTGCAGTCTGTGAAACCATATTTTCCATTTAAATGGCAAATTTTTATCAGCTTCTCTGTTCCATCTTTAATTAAAGTTAAAGTATATTCTCCATTTTTGTTTAAGGCATCACGCACCAGAAAACTGCCATCCGGCTCCCCAGATAAAATATTTTTCACTTCTTCTCGGGAAATTTCGCCCCAGTACCATTCCGCTTTATTAAGTTCTTCAGCATTATGATCATACTGTTGCTGACCGGCACCAGGTGCTTGCGGCCGCATAGTAGAATAATGCAACGGAGAAGGAAACACTATATTATATTATAAAACAAAAAAATTTATTAGTTTACTTCAAGATTTTGCGACATTATGTTTAAAAATAATACTCACTTTTTCCAGTTGTGGTTTAACGCAGGATATTCACAGAAAATATTAATTCTTATATGAATTTTTCGTTCTACACCAAGTTTTTTACTTGCTGAAGCTTAATTTAATTTGATCTTACACGATTCATACGATGTTTCAATTAACTTCATTTCAAACAAATTTTAATTTTTAGATGTCTTCGGGGCGGCTTTGAAGATCCGCGAGTAAAGCACACTTACATATGTACATACATAAGCTGAAAGCGAAATTATCTTAAAATTTTCATTCATTAATTGTAGTTGCAGAATGGGAATAATTTTCAATTTTCAGTATTTTGCCCAAAAGAGATTCATTTTTCAAAACTTATTTTTTAATTCCACTATTTGCCTTAACTAAAACCACATGCAAATGTAAAGATGATTCTTCTGCAAAATTTTTATGTCAAAACGACGGAACAAGAAAACCAATCAAAAATCGGAGCGAACTCGCCTTAACAGAAACGCAGCGAAAAATCAGAGTTGCAAAGTATTTTAAAAATTTCGCGGTAATAGAATTTATATTACAAAAGAGGATGGTAGCTCTGGAGCTTTGTGTAGGGTCTTTTATCCTGAAGCACCCTAATAGTTCAAACAGTCACCGACGCAAAACCGTGGACCGAATTAGCTGATACGACATATCTTATGAGAACGCAATGTAAATGAACACTCACCACCGCTTCTACAGAACGGTAGGGTATCCGCGAAATTTGGATTTTACCCGTAGAAAGGAGTGAGCTTAGAGTGAGAGAGCAATCTCTTGCAACGCAGGGTTGCCAATCTCGATATTTTGCATTAATTAAAAAATAAACTTGAATATATTTGAAATATTCCTAAAATAACTCAAAATTACAGTCGAATACATTTACTTATAAATAGGAAAACTATTTTTTTTAGTTTTGAACTTTCACATTATGAAAAATTATAACTAAAAAACTAAATGTGTGAAAAATGGTGTATACGAATAGAACAATGGCAACATTGGTGAAATGAAAACAAAATAGAACAAATGATTTCTGCGTTGCAACTACGGGCATAACTTTTTAAAAAACTTGGTTTGATACGGGCGGTAAGTACAGAAGGGAGGAATGTCGGTGACTGTTTGAGCTATAATGAAGAGGTTTCAGTAACAATGAGGAAACGGAAAAGTAAAAAATTTTTATTCGAATGCATCATACAAGATGTTTGACCAGGTTGTTGATATTATTACAATAATACAATATGTGAATTGATATATGTATGTAAAAATATTTATAATTTTCAATTAACTATAATTTCTATATAAAGGTATATAGTACATATGTAAGTACCTACTTTTACATATCTTATCTTGTAATTGTACAATCTCCATTAATTACTTTTGATAAAATTATTATGATAGCAACCAAAAGTATTTCATGTGGTGGCAACAACTTAGCATAACTAACGACTAGTTAAATTGGCGTTCTCCATTTTGGATAAGTGCTAGCCATACGCCATCTATTCCTAGTGACTTATACCATATTTCTTAAAAGAATTTATTACCCACTCTGCAGATCTACTTATGTATATCTTATTATATTTTTAGCCATATTTGTATGATCATTTAAGATACTCGCTGTGGATCCTGGAAATGTGTATTGAGCAGAGTAATTGCTCGTTCTTTTTCATTTCTTGTGTATTCGTTGTCTCTTAGTTTAAGTGCCATTTGACTTTCTTTTGTATATTTTGCTAGTGCCCTGTGTAATCGGGCTGATTCTGGTATCGATGCTATGGCTATGCTTTTCCTTGGCTTTGAGAATTTATAACTAGAGTTAAATGCTTCGATTATACTATTATTTAAGCTGTATATTTTCTGTTCCAGTTCTTGGAAGTTTTTACCTTAATTGATTAGTTCCTTTCTATTTAGATTTATGTCTAACATTAGCTGACCATTCGTCGAGTGGAGCATCCCGGCCGTCACGGGAATTTAAATAACATTGTGTTGCTCTCTCACCTATTATATGTTGCGATTTTCAGTGAATTGTAATATGGTAATATATCTCTGATTTTGCCGGCACAAATATGGTCACCTTAGTGTATATGGCTTTACTCATATCAAATAATGGCCCTAAGGAGAAATCTATAATTCTCTGATCTGATATTGATGCATCGCAGCCCTCTCTCAACACAACACCACCAATTTCAAACTTCCTTCCTTCTTTCTTAATGGTCAATTGTATTGCCACTAGATCTCTACTTAAAAGTTTTGAGATACAAATACAGTCTATACCTTTGTGCAATATAATACTAATTTTAGAACTATCACAGGTGAGATTCCATATACCTGTTGTGTGTCTATACACCTCATCCATTAGGTGCGTGTACCCTCAAGCCGTCCTGATCGTCTGCTCGGAGTTGCTACCCAATGTGCTTTTACCCTCAGATGATGTTCGACGGTGCTTTCAATGGGACACCTCTGTTCATCGTGTATCCTGTTGACGATGTCTTCCCCGCGAATCCTTTCTTTGCGGGAGTATAAAGCCCTTAACGCTCGGACGTTCTTGCTTGTTAATGCGCTCCCTTGTATCTTTCGTATGGTTCCGGCGACAAGTTTCTTAATTTGTCCCATCCGACCGCTTCTCTGTTACTCTTCCTTTCAGTGTTGTTGTTGTGGTTGTTTTTGTTCTTCATCTTTTCATATGACTCTCGTGGTCAAAATATTTGAAGGGGAAACAAAATAATCCACTGCGAGAGCGCCCCATGCCGCAGTACGGCCACCGTTACATTTCAAGACGGCTCGATGTCGACATGACACCGTTATATTGTAATACAGCTGGATTATTGTACCCGTCCTAGCTGCAAACCAACCAATGGGCACGGTCTACGTTACACCCTGGCTTTGGAGGGGTGGTAATGCTTAGTCACTACCTGCTCCGCAGCTTATTTCAATCAGATCAAAAGTTGACAGATTGAGACTGCACTGTGTCTCTCAACTTAATTTCTCTCGATAGTGCTGATGAGTAAGCAGTTTTGCTTATGTAGGTTAATATAAACAAAAACGCTGCCACATACATGCATATATATTTATGCCTTATATATATGTATATGTATGTATGTACGGAAGACAGCGCAATCCCAGCGATTGCCTATATTATATCAATTGATCGTAAACCTTAATACTATTGTGGAATATATTGACATTTGTTGATAATATTGGCTTAGAACCCTACAAATAGAGATGATCTACATTTGCATATACTTACGTATTGTACGTATACATACATATGTACTTATAAACATTCGTCCTACGCTATTCTGCTCTCCTATTGGAAAATTTCACTAACATTTTTTACACTCTCACGCCGGTAACATGAGAAGAAATTTCGAGCAAGCCTCCTAAAATACCATGTATATATGTATATACCAAATCTATATGAATGTGTATACAAATATAAATTTTATGGTGTTGAAGGAAAATTTTAAGAAACCACTCGCTTTTGTCCTCATGCCCTTAGTCCAAAAACAACAGTCCTAACTTGGTTTATTGGTGTCAAAATAGTTCTTTGAAATAATGTATGTCGATGTCATTGACACCCCCTCCCTTTAATGATCGCATTTTAGTCAGCAATCACCAACAGTTGTTGCACGCTTTCTGTCGCATTAAAAGTCATAAAGGTACCATCAATATATGTATCTATCTAATAACATGCGTGCAGTACGGTGTATGTATGTATTTAATTAAAAATGCTTTATACTTGTATGTCCATACCTATGTCGTGGAAGTGCACCTTTTTCTCCATATGTGCAAAAAGTGCTCGCAATACCACCTATCTAAAACCGCATTGCACTAATGGAGCAAAATAACAAAACTCGTTCACATTCATTGTTGTTGTCACAAATCAAATTTCAGAAATCTCTAGCGTTTGCGTCATTCGATGTTATTTTACCAGGCAAGCAGCGCTTAGTGTAAGAAATACACGTTAAGTGCAACCAGAAGAGAGCAAATCGGCATTTAAAAGCTAAGTATAAATATAGGTATGTATTAAATAAGCATATGTGGGCACATGCGTATGTATTTATACACTGGCACTGAGCAGAGCAGTATTGCACAACGAAATACACATCTATGTATGTAGATGTACATGTTTATATTAACGTATATAAATAAATGAAAAATGGTGCAGAGGGACAGTTCTCCCATTAGCAAATTTTCAAATGTAAGTTCGACATACATACATATATAACATAAGGGCTGTACATAACAATAGAACACGATATTTGAATTTAATATTCCAAGCTGAATACCAAATTTATAAATATTTAAAACTTGCATATACATATACGTATAATTAATAATTCATTTTGTACATACTTATGTATGTATGTTGTATAAATATATAGGAACATGTAATATATGTAAGTAATTGTTGGGCTAAACATGTGATTTATATTTTAAAAACAGTATTTTTCTTCTTAGCTTGGTTAAATGGAATATTTTCAAAGTCGTCCTTTATATTCAATTTCTCTCATTGACATACTTGTACTTACGTATTTTCATAAGTAAACAGATAATTCTTGAATACAGTTTGCAAATGCTTTATATACTCTCACCAACAGCTTTTGTTGTATGTGTATTGTCAGTACGTAATTAATTTAAAGAAATGTGACAGTAAAGAAGTGAGACATCCATCCTCTTACCTACCAATGATAGCTGTTCCACTAATATTTATATTTTATTTGAAATCGTTTTTAATAAGATCTGTTGCTGTTGTTTTCTGGAAACAGTAACCAGATGCATATGTTCCTTAGTCAGGCGGCTCGAATAGGCTGTTTGTATTTGAGATACTGAGATACATTATGATGAGCTCATAATGCATAATGTAATTTTAATGTAAGCACATATAATATATACATATGTATGTATAATAAAAATATGAAAGTGGAAAAGAATAATGAATCTTAGAGTTTGGAATGGACATTTGAACCAGAAGACAGGTGATTAATAGTTGTGTGCCCTAATAGAACACAATTAAATGAAATAAAAATAGATTGAGTGTAAACTGAAAAAGAGCTCTCTTAATGTGACTTTGACAACAATGATGAGTATAGTAGCCTAGACAATTCACTCACAGAGTCATTGTCAACACTTTGCCGAAGTAGATGTGCAAACTAGTGAAGAGGAAGTACTTACATATATTAGTGCATTCTAAAATAGTCGTTCTCTATGGGGCAGAAGTTGTAACAATGAATGGAAAACTCTTTGACGTTAGACAAACTGCATTGCTTCTCTTAGCAGCTAGCATATCTTCGTTATTAAGGCCCTTCGGCGTTCTAATTATTTTGCAGTGAACATCCTACCATTGCAGCTTTGTACACAAATTTGTGTGTATGTATGTATGTATACATATGTATATTAGTGTGTTTAAGAATCAGACTTAGAGATTTCGTTTAGTTAAGAGTTTCCCCTAAACTTTAGATAGGCAATAGGCAGAAGAAAATCATTTCAAGATTACCCATGTAGTTTGCTAGAATCTGAAGAAAAGTAGTCATCTACCAATAATCCTGGGTGATTGTAAAAGTCTGTCGAGTTCCATTACTGAACTCGCGAATGAAAATATATACCAACACTAAAACCAATGAAAAGAGTTTTGGAAAAAAACTTTGCACGATTTTTCTTCATCAACATTTTGTACCAGAAACGCAGAAGATGACAGTAAGAGGCATTTTTGTAATTTAAACTTACTTGGTCACGAATGCGCCACCCAATCGAGAAGTCGTACTGCACTGCTGCACTCTCATCAACACGAGCACATTGAAATACAGCCACAAGAGACACCAGTTCGATTCGTTCTTTTGTATACAAATATGATGTGCACAAATACACATGAATATACATATGCATATATGTAAATACATACATGGTTACATGCCTATGTACATATAAGCGATGACACAGACGCGAGATATGCTTGAATGCACTTATATGCACACGTGCATACGTATGTAGATCGCAAGTGTTGTTTCTTTAACAAAGTGCCAAGTGAATGAATTGTTCATATAAATACCTATAAGAAAATGGAATGATATGTTGTGGCCACCGAATTAGAAACTTTAGTTGCTAAACCATATTAAAATAAATCTGATACATAAGTATATACCTATCACTTCATAAAAGACATTTGTCCAAAATCTTGTATTTCAATTCGTTCTCTAAACATTCTTTATCTTCCTTTTGGTTCTACATACATAGTATATTTGGTGCCGATCCGACTATGCGTTGCTGTGGCTAAGGTATACATATTATTGCATAATATAATAAAACTATTTTACTGAAAATTTTAAAACATGCTGCTGTTTAAAAATATATATTTTTATTTTTTCATGAATTGTTTTAATGTTAACACAATAAATATATAAACTATCCTATCTTTTAAGTTGGATCAAACCAGACGCAGTGTACTAAATTTTATTAAAATCGGTTAACTAGTTTAGGAGTTAGCCCCGGAGAAAACATGACACGTAATTTTTATATAATATGGGTAGGTTGGTATTTTAGGCGAATGAGTGATAAACGATACCCACTAAGCCGAAATCTAACCAGTTCATACCAATTCCAAAATAATTCCAAGTTGGTACATAGAGCTAAATCATTGGTTTAATAAAAAGAAAAAAATCGTTCCTGAATTTTCAAAAGTCTGATGTTTTTCTGTCGGTTTCAGGCAGGAGTTTCTAGTATAAACTAAAATTTTCCTTGACTACTATACTTTAGATGTATGTATGTATATACATATCAATAGTATGGATCGCTTTTTATAATGTATATGTATAATATACTTGTACTAACTTAAAGCTAAATATGAATTTTCATGTATGTACATACATACATGTGTAGATGCAAATATCGTATATACAAGTATATAATATTTGTGTGCATAATTATGCAATTGATATGTTTGGTTTACCATTTGTTAGAATCGTGTAAATGAGCCTATGCATGACGAGTAGGTTTGTGTTTCACTTATCAGAAATCAATATCTTTGTGTGATACCGTTGCGGTGCAAGCATCTTTAAAATTAGTTGCGTTCAAAGACGAAAAGTAGTCTTCATGAAGAAATCGAATAATATTCTCGATTGGACAAAGATCCGCCTTATTCCCACGACTATCACGTGTGACTCTTAAGCTTTTACCACCTTCACAAAACTCGATTTGTTGTGTGACATCCCGACCATTGTAGACTATCCGAAAATAATAGTCTGTATGTGTTTCGCTTTTGTATAATTCAATAGCTAATCGAGTTGCATAAGGTATAAATGTGTTTCCAGTTTTTATTCCCAAAGCAGCAGTTAAATATTGCAGAGTCCAATCGTGGCCTGAGTACAGAACAAATTTAGTTCGATCGCCAGAGATCATTCGTAGCATATAGCTAACAATATGTCGGATCATACCATATGATCGAAGTAGGCCGATTCGCCTATAATATATATGCGCTACTTCGTATGTTGATTGCCAGTTTGCATACGCCATAAGGGCTGTGACGTGAGTGTCTTCGACACATCCCATCGAATTTTCACTATCAAGATCTTCGTTAAATATATTCTCCGGTACGAAATGAGGATCTGCAGCGTTTTCATCTTGGTCGATGTTAATGACATCATTTAAATCGATTGCACTCAGTTGGGTCGTGGAAAATAAACGCGAGCTATTTGAAATTATTTGTCGGCAAGGTAATGGGGCATCGTGACATAAAATCATGTTTAGAACGTCCATCACATCTTGAACATTGTTGATCCCATTTGGGGTATGTTGAAGCAAAGTCCCCCCTACCCATTGAATAACCTTACTGATTTCCGGTTGAAGGGTCAAATTCAATTTTTGTTCATTTTTCTGACGCTTGAATAAAAGTTCCGCTTGATGGCAGGTACAGTCTGTAAAACAAAACGCCATGCTCTGTGACTCCCGAATATTTAAGGATAACCACTTATCATTTGGCAAAAAACTGTAGAGAATAGCGAGAGCCGATTGAAAAGTTCTCCTATAGCGCGTAGAAAATACTACCACTTCATCAGAGTTCAGCAGAGAATTAGGAGTCGATGATCCACCCATTGAGGGTTTATTTGATGTTGGTTTAGTCAGCAATCCCAATGCGTGAGCGTAAATTTGATGCAGAATATCACCTACATGTAACATTTGAGCGACTCCCCTGTCATTTTGTAGAATAAATATAAATATAAAATTACAATTAATTTTAATATAATATGTAAATGTATGTAGGTTTGTATGATTTATATACACATGTAAGTGGTTTGTTTACGCACTTAAATGTCAACTGGCCTAAAAGACATGCACGATCGGATGCTGGCAACAAAGGAAATCCATGAAACGGTCCAATTTTATTCCAATACATGTGATTAGAGCTCGCAGACGATGTGGAATTATATAGAAAACTGCGATAGCTGTAAATAATTTTCGACACTCAGAAAGTGTGTAACAATTGTTATTTGCGTAGTTCGTATGGACATTTTACAATCATATATATATATATGTATGTATGTGTATGTGTATGTACACATGTACGAGGTTTAGATGGTAGTTTCCAATAGATGTTTGTAAAGAAATTTGTTTTTCACTCACCGATTGACTAAGCCGTTGTTTTCTGCACTGCAATCGATACCCATAACTCCTCGCATATGCGACATGGGACCACGGTCACCGTGCCTTATGACCATTAGTACACCTTGCAATTTCCAACCGTCTAATATGCCACCTTCATCGCGACGCACTAAATGTTCTAAAGGTGCACAACGCTCCTTAAATTGGCTATATTTCAAAATGCTTTTGTCTAGCCTTTGAGGATAAATTTCATCCGTATATTGTGCGCTGACATCTCCTGATGGAGAATGCAATTGTCCATTAAGAAATTGAATTGTATTACTAAGAGAATTTCCGTTATGACCAATATATTTGTACATTCCTAAAATAATTCAATTCCAATTATCCAATAATAATTGAAATAATGTTAATTTATTAAAATGCTTTTTACCGGCGATTAAAAGAAAAATCCATATACTGAGTACCAAATAACAGTGCAACGTACGATGTTGCGTCGAAAATCGAATCAACTCCTTTATCAACATGCTTTTAAAAGGCTCAGTTTTTCAATCACTCGGAACAAATATTACTCCATTTTCTTGTATTTGATTTATTAAAAAGTTATAACTACTTAAGTTAAAGCAAATCGTCTACTTAATAAATAACATACATACATATGTACATAAACACATATACCCACACATACATATGTACGTGTACGCGTAGTTTGATTCGTTGTCATGCGCATTGTTACTCTAAATAAAGTCTGTGTTTCTGTGTTCTTTTAAGAACGTACTGACTTCTTCCTTGAATGTGAAATTTTAGTGACCATAAAGCTGAACAAATTATAAAACCAAACAAAAATTTTAATAAGCCATTGATATCCAATTATTTTATTAACACCGATGCAATTCGTTTACAATTTTAATACAAGCATTTAAAGCAAATTTATGTTTGTGTAATGTGTATGACAAATTTTCAAAATTATCTTAAACCTTATTAATTTTGTGATGCGGTTAATGCCATTACCGTGAAGCGCATTTCTTGCGGGTCCCTAGCCATGAATCCTTTGCAGACTTTAGCTGCGTCTTCCACAAATGTTGCATCGGAAGTCGAACTATGCCTGATTGGAAATTCTTTTCGACCATCTAACTCATATAATATGCCTCCGTTGTGAATTAATGATATAAAATGGTGATTTACTTTTTCTTCAGGATTAGCAACAGTTTGGCCTTCGTTGGCAAGTTCATAATGACCCTCCGTAAATAAGATATCATTTTCCAAAGCTTTACCACGCTCTTCTGGTGTTAAATTTTTGGCGCTCTCAAGAAAGTTTTTCAATATTCCATCACAAAGTGAAATGCTAATAAGAGAAAATACAATACATTATTCATTACACTTTTAAGTGCATACAACACCTTTTGTTATTAGCCACACTATGTATAATAGCAACAGTGCCACAAGCATTAGAAGTTAGTTGTCGCATGTAGAAAAGATCATCAGGAAAAGTTCCAGGATCAGCAGCTAAGTTTTCATGTTCTTGTGCTCTATGCTTCTCATACTATATTTTAAAGAATATTTCCCAAAGCCAATTTACATAACAAAAAGAAATACCCACATTTTCTGATATAGGAAATAGCAAAATAATTGCTTTAACTGGTTGTGGTATCCATTCGAGCATCTCCGGTTCTAAGCTGACAACATCAGTAATTGACCACTCCTGAGACACCCCCAATTTATGAATATATTTTGTAAGTACCTAGTGAGCATAGGCATATAATTTTATCAAATTCGATGACTCATCATTATTCATTTTAATTGAATATATAAATATTTTTTATTTGCCTCAAATCGGCAAAAATATGCTTACATCTGGATTAGATTCAAGCGGCAGCCAGGCAGGCATTTCTTTAATATACTTAATAATTTAAGAGCCAAAGATTTTATATGATTAAAATATTTTCTAACCTTTACACTGATACTGTTTACTAACTGTTTGCCGGCAATACGTCAATAGTGCCACTTATTCATTTACTATTTTACTCATAACGTTGCCCATGCGTTGAAGCAAATCATAGGAATAAAAATGCTGAATGTGAAAAATATTAAATCTGGCATTCACACCATTATTTATGTTAGTTTTGATATGTAATTAAATATATTTATACTATAGACTTTATGAAAAAGAAAAGCAGGAGATATTTTTATTATATTTTTCATTCTCTGCAATATAGTTATCTAGAGCCACTTTTCGTGTTTCAAAATATTCGTTCATTTGACTAAAATGCAGGATATTAACACTCCTGTGCCTTCTTCACTGGGCGTACCTGCCGTGCGTTTCGATGTAAATAAAGAATTTCAAAATCGCAGTTTGTATCATGATCGTGATAGTTCCATTGCAAGACTTCAACGTAAACCATGGATACGTTCGAGTAATGAAAGGCGATCAAATCGGGAAGCACTTACTACTTTACTATCATCTCATGGTGATAACTCCAATGATTGTATAGAGAGGTTGTTGGCTGAAGAAATATCATATCGGGATTTGGCATCTCTCTCAAGCTCCGATTTGGAATTGATGGGTTTCAAAGACTGCAAAGAACGACAGGAGCTAATAACATTTTTTTCAGAGTTACCAAACCAGGATCCAACGTATAAAGAGCAAGTAAAATTGTGCTATTTATTAATTCAAAATTGTTTTAAAATTATTTTTAGAATATGTGAATTGCCTGAAGCAAAGACATATAATTGCGAGATTTTGGGGAAGGCTATTGACCATTTGGACAACATGCGTTCAGCTCTATCCGCGATCAACTATAAATTGAAGATTTTGCCTCCGGATGACATAATCGTAGGAGAAAAAAGTTTTGCGAGTCGTTTTGTGCTGGAATCACTAGCAGAGTTAAAGGCCCTAACTTTCGAAATTGATAAAGAGATTGACGACTTAACTAAGGTGTTGGATATCATTTAGGTGTCAGTTTTAGGAATAATCAGTTTTTTTTTTCTTGTAATAGGTTCAACTGGACAAAAGTTCTAGGCAGTTAACCGACATTAAAATTAAAAAACGTGCATACAGTTCTTTTGGTATTTGGGCATTCATCTACACAATGGCAGCGGCCGGAGTCTTTGCCTCATTTTACATTCCGAAATTAATCAGAAATTAAAGAACCATAATTTTTACATTATGTACAGACTAAATAATATATTTCATGAATTTCCAAATTGATTTATTATATTTTCATATATAGAATAATATTATTATATATACATATACATTTTTTTACAGCTTAATTCTTTTTGCTTATCGAAATATTTTTAAACTTTAAATTGTTTTAAAAGCCTAATATTATTTTGGAAAAATTTTAATATTAAACTTAATAGAAAAATGATGAGTATAAGTGTTTAATTGACTTCCTTATACATTTGTATTGCACATGGAAGTTGGTTACGACCGAACCATTAGTACAGTGCATCATTGACTATTATGTATATCCCTAGTGAATCATATTTAGCGGCAAATGATTTTAGGTGAACGTTGAAGAAATCTTCTTAAATTAAGTTCTGTTTTTTTTCTCTTCTTCCAAAAATGCAAACATTAAGTATGTCCATTCATCAACGTATTGTGGGTATTCCCATGCAGTTGTACAACGAATTAAATCTGATCTGTTCATACAATGCGGCAATTCACCTGTTTAAATTTAATAAGTAGAAAATTATTTTATTTTAAGGTCGGACTATAATATACTCACAAGCAACCCTTTGTTTTATATTATTTTCTTTGTTATAAGAAGAATATAATTGGTCTAAGAAGTTGATATATTGCGACAACGGCCATGACTGGTGAAAAACTTTATCTGTATTGTCGGGTAATTTACTTAATGCTATCAATAATCGAAGTGATTCTCCTGCAATTTTTGTTATATTTTCGAATACCGACACAATTATATTCAGCTTTTCTATCAGCGGTTTTAGATCTCTGTGATAAAGCGTTTCCTCGTTTTCCTTAAGTTGACGAGCAGATCCCTTAGATACTAAAGCACGGGTCTTAATAGCCTCAATCGAAATACAAATCGCGAAACCCTTTTTTTGAGCGATTTGCCATTTGAAGTAATTTATTTTTTGTTGTGAAATTATATCATCCAATCGATCTTTGCATGTCGTAAACGAATCTTGCATACACAATTTTCCACGCGGGCTAATCAAAACTGTTTAAAATATATAAAATAAAGTGTTGAATGAAATGTATTAGTACTCACATCTTACAGGGGTCAAATCCTTAATGAGATTTATGTCTTCTTCCTTTGCTGGTGTGCACGACATAGTTTATCAAAAAATTAAGGCAAATTAGCAGAGAAATACAAATATTTCAATGCAAAAACAGATTCATTACAAACATAAAGGGGCATCTCGACACGCAATTAAAGATTTCTAAAACCTGAATTGCTAGCAATATTGACAATGGAGGCTGCTCTAATGTTTAGCGATTGATGTCTGAATACATCAGTGGTTTGACAGAGCTTTTTTCATTTGAACACAAATTTGCAAACTGGAATTTAGCAAATGAAAACATGAAAAATAGTAATTAAATACATACATATATATGGGTATTATTTTATTAATATTTGTTAGTATATGTATATATCATTGTTTAGATTGACATCCTCCTCATAAAATTTTTAAACGCGTTTAGAGCTCAAACATGCGCTATATTACAGCTAGAACTTACCTACAATGTAGAACTTACCTGCAATGTATTTGACAGATGGTTAGCAATGTATTATACATTGCCTGTGGAGATGCGATGTTATGTTAGGACATGGTACAATTGTTGCATATAGAGTGTCCGATTTTATGCTAGTTATTTATCAAGATGTTGACAAAATTTTATTCTTAAATATCAAACAAGTTCAATTTTTTTGATCTATCTAATCAATACGTTTTGAGGGTTAAAAACAGCTAAATAATATTTGTAATAATTAAGAGCACGAAGAAATGTGTTAACGTAATTGTTTTATTAATTTAATTTTATTTTCTATATTTACCTTGAAGTAAGCTAACCAAATCTGCAATTTCGAATTGTCATATCATCTAAGAGTATGCAGCATTATATAATAATTTCACAATTATATATATACAATGGATTATACATTAAAAAATATTGAAAAAAGTTGAAAAAAGTTGAGCCGGCAGCTCTGGTTTTGGCTGACACAATCAAATTTTGACATCCATTAAATTTGTGTCTCAATTTCGGAAATAATAGGTATCAATTGTTAAAAAATATATATTATTATAAGTAACAAAATACATACTATAAATAATATAACAATACTCAATACGGAATTAATTGAAAACAATCCCTATCCTTCCATGTGTTGTTTAGAATTTAAATAAAAGTTATCTGTAGACAGAGGTGACTTCACTTAATATGTGTACATAACAGTCGGATTCAAAACAATGCCATCAATTTTAATAAATTTGAAACATTTCCGACGTTGAAATTTCAAATTCTTTTAAAAATAAAATCTTGTATCAGAAGTGTATAAAATATATGTGTGTCGGTCTGTTCAGGGAGTGCGGGTATCAATATAACAAATTGACATCAAAACAACGTGGTCGAATTGTTTCAGTTTGATATATTAATACAATTATTAAGATTTTATTTTATCAATATAGAATGGTAAAGTGTATTTAAGAGTGAATTTTTAAGCCTTTTCTGTCTGGGATGGTGTCCTCGAAATTAAATATGTACAAGTTTAACGAAGTACATACCACGATGTGTGGATCAGTAGTTCAGTCAAACTGGTTTGAATAAGATTGCATGTATAATACATTTTTTATACGCTATTCCCAATGCAAAGTGATGTACACATTCAAATATTAATATATGTATATCGTATATTCATTATGTGTATTATGGCAAATATCCTTTTACTTTGAATATCGTGTGAAGGATTATCATAATTCATTTAAAGCAGAGCGATCAAAAGAAAGTAATTCGTAAACAATATCAAATAAAACATTTGAATAATGAAATCAAAGTTTCCCAACTTAAAAATATTTTGCCAGTATTACCGTCAAGGTCAATTAACAAAAATCTTTAAATGTTATCCAAAATGTGCCTTTTGATAAATACGATTACACTATATCAATAGCAATTTCATATTATGTCATTTGACTAAATTTAGCGATCTCTCGTTTCGTATACGTAATTTAGTGACGCTTTCTTTATTCTTCTTTCGAAATATATGTATACATATATGAGAATGTTTACACACGTAACATACATCTATTGTACATCTAGAATAAACTTCTGAACAAATTCAAGCTATAAAATATGTAGTTTTCCTTCCCAAAATTAAAGTTGTACCTGTCTCAAGTCCGTAGTATATTGAATTGAATAATAGATAAATCCTAAATGTCGCGTTTTAGTTGCACAACACGGGATTTTTTTGCAACATAAATATTACAAGCATATTATTAGCAGTTTATTTACATGCAAAAACTCAATGCGCTACTGTTTTTAAATAGTCTAGTCCAAGACTACCCTAAATTTATTTACATATGTTAGTAATAAAACGGTAAAGATATAGTGAAATTCTAACTAACTACCTATGTAGATGCTAAACCGTGCCGTACCGTTCCCACGACAGTCGGGTCTACGTAACCGGAACGGGCCCGGGTTTATTCCGGCCAAGGACTGTCAACTCGGCAGATTTCTGCCGCTACAACAACAACAACAACATGCTAAACCGTAAAAATTCGGGAAAATTCCCTAGGGAAATATGAATATTTTTTTTCTGCGTGACAAAGGATATAAATAATGTTATTTTTAACTACTTATTTAGGGCTGTTTTTTTTAATATAAAACTTGTAAGATGCTACGTCACAACGGCTTAACTGGTATGCCCTTATATAAGTTAATCCTTGGTTTTGGACTATGCACATTGGGTGGCGCTATGTTATATACCTATTTCAAAAATCGGGATGAAGATAAAGATGTGTCACAACCAAAACCCGTGGTGAAACAAAAAAGAAAACCACAACAAGCGAAGTTAAACCCACAACGGATTGACGAGGAATCGAAGATCAACTTTGAAATATTAAATGAGCATATACCACTGTGTGTGGGTCGTGGAGGATCCAATTTAAAATCCATTGAACAACAGACGAGCACAAAAATACATTTACGGTAAATGTTATTCCCGGCATTACTATATCATCTAATTAATATAAGTATTTTATTTTCATTATTTAACTTGGATGGACGGACGTTAGGGATAAAAATGATAAGTACAAGATCTGTGATATATACGGGATGGCAGACGGAGTAAAACAAGCTCGTGCATTACTATTAAAAGAAATAGAACGGGCTCCAATTGTCAAGGAAGAAATCTTTGTGCCACAAAGTGTATGCGGAAAAATTATGGGACGATGCGGTGAGGCAATGCAAGAAATATGTCGCATCTCATTGGCAAAAGTTGCTGTGGACTCAGGAAGTGGTCGTAGCGGAGGGGCTATGGATAAACGACGCATTCTTTTAACTGGAAATCAGCAACAGGTGAGAGAATATATATTTTTAAAATTAATGTATTAAATATTTATGTACATATTATTTGAAGTTTTATTTCTAAGTGAAGCATTTAAATAAAATATTTCCCTATTACAGGTAAATATTGCACGAAAATTGATTGAGGAAAAAATTGAAGAAGATGAAGACCTTCGGCGAGCCGTTGAAGAAGTCGAACATAGCCGCGAGCCGCGTCGTTCGCCTTCGAACAGCATCAATTCAAGCATGTATTCTTCGCAAACGTCTTTGAGTTCGCATTTGCCTCCCCGTGAAAAACTTCTCGCTTCTCGTAATGAGGATAAGCCAATGGAGATTTATGTATCTGCTATTGCATCACCTTCCAAATTTTGGGTACAAATTATTGGTCCACAATCAAAGAAACTAGATGACATGGTACAATCAATGACAGAGTACTACAGTGAACCAGAGAATAAAGCCCGTCATCAAATCGGGGAGCCATATTTAGGTCAAATTGTGGCAGCCGTATTCAAATATGACGGAAAGTGGTATCGGGCAGAAATTGTGGGTATTTTACCAAATCAGTACAATCCTAACGACGTAGTACTAGATCTTTATTTCGTTGATTACGGCGATAGTGAATATGTATCGCCCCACGAGGTATTTGAGTTGCGTACCGATTTTTTGACTCTAAGGTGAGGAAGTCAGTTTTCAATGTTTGATAACTTTTAATTTTATAATAATTACATAGATTCCAAGCAGTGGAATGTTTCCTAGCAGGTGTTAAATCTACCATGCTGAATGATCCAGATACTTGGGATCCGCCATCAATCCAAAAATTTGAGGAACTTACACAAGGCATGCTAAATTATTTCCTGTTGTTTAATTATTTATAAAAATGTATATTCTAACAGTTGCTAATTGGAAGAAACTCATTTCTCGAGCAACTACTTATAAAGAGCGACAAAGGGGTGTAGCTGGTTCTGCCCGCGAGAGTTCTCCAATACCAGGTGTTGAACTTTTTGATTTGACAGAAGGTAGTCAAAAATTATGCACATTGTTCTCAAAGTTATATATTAAGATAACATGGTTATTATTCAGGTGTGGAAGTCAACATTGGACATATTTTAATTTCACACGGATTTGCCTTGCCTGCCGATGACCTACCACGACCACGTTCCCCTTACTATTCAAACCCATCTTCAATTGTTCACCGTAACGAGAACTTGTCAAATGACAAAGGGAATAAAAGCATTGATGAACATTTTCTGAAGGATCAGTATGATACCATACGAACAAATAACAATTTATATGCAGATAGCGCTGATAACGAAATTGTCACATTAACAGACGAACAAGCAGCAGATAATCTAACAAATTTGTCTGCTTCTAAGATTTTGATGAATAAGAAATCTACAGAAGCATTGGAAAATAGTAATTTACATATTAAAAATGGAAATTTAAATCGATAAGAGCGGGATCTTTGCTGATGCCGAATTAATTAAGGCATTGATTACTTCTCATGTTGCTACTTTTGTTATAATGTATCATTTAATTTTACATTTAGTACTTAAGCGGGTGAATATATGTATATAGGTAAATGTTTGAATGTTACAAACATATATGAACATCGACTGGACAATTTTGCAACATATATTAATTGATGTTATTGCTTCAATTTTGTTATTTAGTGCCCTTAACAAAAACTTGCGGGAAACGCAATGATTTAAATTTGATGTAGGAATATATTTACGTCGTTTTTTTAGTGGTAATTTAAATTCGAAAATAATTTGTTAAATTTTAACAATACCTACTTAAGATCTCTCTGTAAAGATCTATTTATTTTATTCAATAGACGAAATTGTTTCAATTAAAATTATCGTACAAATTACATTTTTGTGTACATATGCTAACATACATTTGCATTCAGCAAGCTGAAAATATATTTTTTTCTAAGTCGTATACAAACCAAATCGTTTTTTGTACAGAAGTAAATATTATAAGTTTTTGAATGACTTATTTATTATTAATATAAGGATTTCATATTGGGTTTAGTGAGACAAAGTGGTTTAATGCTGATGGTAATCAGTAATAGAAAATATATATATAATATAATGTTTTTGTAAAGTTTAGGCGTAATAATCGCCAATGAAAAATTTTTATTTTCTGGGAAAACGATCACGTAAATATACAACAAAAGCACATTGTGGTACAGCACATAAGACTTGGGTGGTTTGGTGAGTAAAATCCCTACCCTCTATATAGCATAAACCGTTTCCATTTTTATAATACATTTTTATTTTTATTTTTTTGTTTAGCAATAAAATAATAATTATAATAAATTGTTTCTTTTTTTCACAATTTAGCAACTTAAATATTATGTTTATAGTTGTGTTTTGTTTAATTTTGTGTTTTCATTGTTTTTGTATATCATTTATTCTCTATTATTTAATTTTTATATTTTGTTTTGTGTAAAGCCCTACACTCTACAAACTCTTCTTTTATCTTGCGTTGGCTAATCAGTTCAGTTCCTGCTCCAATTGTAATGTATAGGCCGTACTACTGTCACGTCTCATTCCCAGTCAACGACTATGTACTCGTATGTTATTGTTATGTGATTTATCATTCAAATTTTCTGCTTCATATTTGATAATTAGTTAAATATGTGACAAGGCTATATCTATGCGCGAATTCTAAAAGTTACGTATTTAATAGAAAATTTTAATTTTTATTTGCTGTGATAAATTATTTCTTTTATTAATTTTAATCGGCTTTATTTATCCGTGGATATTTAAATAATGAATTTATATATTATACTATTTAGCGTTGATCACATCGCGTTAACTGTTAAATTAAATGTAAATCAAATGTAATTCTGTCCCAAAGTTCATTTCTTTTCATTTAACTAAAGTGTGGAAATGGTTTGTTTTAGATTTGCATATACTAAAATTTTCGCATTTGGCTGCATCTTTTTTGTAAGCCTTAAACTAATGCCTACGTTTTAAACATATACTTATATGGGTTTTGTGTCGGCTGTTTCTTACACAATAACTTATTAGTACTCCTACTAAGTTGCCAATCGCAGCCCTCGTCCATAATTATTGCTGCTAAGATCTGGTGTTACCTTCATTTATATACTTTTACATTCACTTCAACTATATTGATTTTACTTATTTATTGAATCTTCTTTCCATGCGATTGGAATTAGATTTTTATAAATAATTTAGTATTCTTTGTTTGTTCTGCTGTTCTTTTTGCATTTATATAAATGTATGTATAGTATAATATATGTAAATGGATGAAGAATTCTCTTATAGGAAATAATCCGGTGTTCTTCGTGTAACGTGAGGTTCACCACGACGAGGTGCTGGGTCAAATTGTAGGCTGTAATAAAAGAAGAGAAAGTTATATACCCGTTTCGTGGCCTTTTTTTGCTATTTCATATAAAAAAAAATTAAAATCAATATATGCTGGTGACTTGAGATAGTTAACGGTTTAACCTAATACTCTATACAGATCGTAATTACTCAAAGATTTCAAGTTCCTCGCAAGGCAACTCGATCTCTTGCTGCTTTTTTAGTTCAATCTAACATCCTCTTGATGATTTTAGAAAGTGGGTTTGCTAAAAGTTGGTTGACCGTTGATGGAAAAAAAGACGTGGGAGCACTTAAGCTATCATTAGACGCATTGTGATTCAATTAAGTGGCTAAATTGCAGTCATTTCGACGAAAGTGCACAAGGAGTCAAAACAGGCAGCTGCATACTCTGACAGTCGCTATATATATGTACATTTTTTTTTGAGGATTATTTAATGGTGCAATATTCAGCAATAGTGTTAATGGAGACTACCTCGAGATGGTAGAAGCAATCACCCTACGGCACTACCTCTTACGATTTTGTCTACTCAAATTCTACTAATGACTGTCATCTCTTAAGCCGTGCTAACATAATAGAACTTTTTCAGTGAATGTACATATTTTGGTTGCCTAATGAACTAAGGGGAGCGATAGATAATATTGTTATTGAAGGATGTTGCGTATAGGATCGGGGTAATATAATAGATATGTATGTGTGTTTGTAGGTACTTACAATGAAAACTTTAGTGAATCATCTAATTCCATTAGGGCCGCTTGATTGCCACAACGATAGCAATAATTAGGCGCTGAGAATATTGTAACAACATTGCGATCATGGCACCAATTATATCCTTCCATGACTAACTGATGAGCACGAGATACGAGTGTCAGTCCATTTGTGTTGTTAAACGTTTCCGAAATGTCCTGTTAATTTTTTTAAGAATAAATATCTGTTCTTACAAACATGTACAATATATAAAAGAAAAATACGCTTATATACCTGACCAAATGTGTAACCGGCGCCACGGGGTGAAATGCCCCAACCACCCCTATCATCGGGGTCGGACCACAGTAAATCGCACATGGGACCCTCATGCGGCACTTCTTGAAGTCGATCCAAAGCACGAATATGGTCCAAGCTATCGATAGATGGACTAAGCCCTCCATGTAAACAAAATATTTGACCATCGACTAATGCCGTTAGTGGTAAGTAATCAAACAAATCAGTAAAATATTTCCAAACGTTTGCATTGCCATATTTTCGCAAACATTCATCATAGAATCCATAAACTTGAGTAATTTGTCGCGATTCGTGATTACCGCGTAGAATCGTTATTCTCTCACGATAACGAACCTTTAATGCCACCAGCAAAGTGACGGTTTCTACTGAATAGTAACCACGATCAACATAATCACCCATAAACAAATAATTAGTGTCGGGAGATTTGCCACCTATCCGGAATAATTCCATCAAATCATGAAACTGTCCATGGACATCACCACATACTGTGACTGGACATTTTACCTCCTGGACATTAGATTCCTTGGAGAGGATCTCCTTCGCCTGCAAATTAAATTAAAACAAACTTGAATTAATTATTCCTTCTCATTTATATACAGCTGTGTTCATGAAAATAGTAGTCCGGGTGGGTATTAACTATAAAACAAAAAAAAATCAATCAAAAAACTATGAACCTCTAAAAAGTAATTTTTAGTTATTTCCACGTATATACACAGTTTTATTTTTTCATATAAAAAACCTACAAGATTTATTTAAAAAATCTTAGTAATTAGATTAGTCTGTTCAAGGAAATAGTAGTGTCTATTTTCTTGAAGAAAGAAAAGAACAAAAAAAAATCCAGTTAAAGGTACAAAGCCTTTATTTTTTAATACATCCATATACTGACGTTGCATAGGGTGTATCAGATCCGTACAACGCTTCAAATCGTTAAATATCTCCCCATAAATTTTCGATTTTATATAGGTCCACTGCCTGCAGTGACCGGGACATAACATCGATCTTTTCTGATGCAAACCACTCCTTAGCTGGTTTGATCGTATATTTAGGGTCGTCAAAGGTAATTTTTATAGGCATTTTCCAACTGGAAAACGGTAAAATAACATCGTTCAGTAGGTTTACATACACAGGTGCCATGGTGCCATAGATCAAATGTATAAGACCGACACCATGGTGCGGAAAGCCACCCCATACCAAAATGCTAGACCACCTTGTTTAAAAGTTTAGGTAGTATACCTGGAATGATAAAATGTGTTTGGTAGTGAGGTGGACCTTGTTCCTAAAGAAAAAAGCGATTCCGCTTTCATCAGTACATAGCACATTCCGCCATTTTGTAGATGGCCAACTGAAATGTTCTTTTGCGAACTTTGTTCTTGCAGTGCTTTCCAGGGTTTCTTTATCTTCAAATTGTTTTCAAATATTTTCCTACGATTGGTAAAATTAATCTTTTTTTTTCATTTTTGAAGATGCTTAGGGCTTGTTTTTTTACACATAGTATAATCTGTCTGTCCCCTAATATACTTTTTTTTATATTTACCCCTCACGATTCTTCGCTTTATCTTTGTATTTTATAGTATTGTGAAGCTGTACCTCACTATTGCTCAATTCGCTGTAGGTTCTGTCTTGTTTCCTTAGCTTCACCATTATTCACGCCTCTCGAAGGAACAATATCTTCTTCTACCCACTAAAAAGGGAAATGCACTGGGATTTTAAAAAAATTTTATCAGAAAATTATTCAATCCCTTAAATACACTTACTTATAGCAATTATCCAATCATTTTTAATTTATCCACCCCGGCAGCAGCTCGCTTTTTTTTAGAAAATGCAAAAATACGTCATAGAAAAAACAGTGGAAGCAAAAGTAACGTGATTTATTCGATTCCACAATTTGAAGTGTCTATTCTACCAAAATAATCACGCTTGCTGACTTGACAAGTCGGTATATGCTAGGAAAGTAATTTATATAAAAAATATTGGAAATTCTTCTTATTTCCAAACGAAATGCCATATTTATATCTGAATAATATTGCTAGTATTATATAACTAAAATTACAATCTACAACAATGTTTCTTGTCAGCAGGATTGCAAATAATGCATTAAAAAAATAACTGAATTAAATTTTCTTGTAATTTTTTAATCCCGCATATCCAATTAAAAAATAATATAAAAATGTTTAATCCCAAATACCAGATTAAAAATTAAAAATTTTAACCCAAAAACCGGGTTGAAAATTTAAATCTTAAGCATATAATTAAGAATTAAAAAAGATTTGGTTTTAGAATTAACATTTTTAATCCCAAATGTTTTAATTAAAAAATAAGCATTGTCGCTTTGCAGATATCCAGGACAAAAAATTATAAAAATAATTCTACAAGCTTAATTTTTTCATCATTTTCATTGTAAACATCCTAATTCATAATTATTTTGAACAAATCGAACTTTAGCCAGGTTTTGCTAGAAAAGTTAAGATCCCCATCACCAGGAATATTATCAAGATTAAAAAAGAAATAATATAAGTATATTATGGATAAACCTTTTTCGTGACAGAAGTACTTTTGGAATATTTATAGCACAATCCTTACTATATGCCTAACTACAATACTTGCAAATTTAGGAAACTATGAAGAAGCAATATATGTATGTTCATATATACATAATTTTAACAAAACAATTTTTTTTTTTCAGACTCTAAAAAGTTGTTTAAATCGCGGTCCCTATCGTTTGTCTTTGAAAAAACTTGTATTTCGGACACTTAAAATATTCTTGTTTTTTTTCTCTTAAAAAGGATTCTTCATTATTGGCATAACATCTAGTCACACCAACAAATAAAAGGAGAAATTCGTCTAAACCCTTTTAAACCATATTACACTTGTTTAGATAAATCCTTCATCATGCAAATAAATACATGGTCGAACAAAAAATAAATATTACCACATTGTATCTACATACAAAAGCATATACATACGGAAGTTTGGGAAGAACCGTATTTTTATATGCATAGCATAATCTTTTTGGAGGAAATACATTTTTCAATGCTAAAAATCAAAGTTTTCGTTGAATATAAACAAAGAATGCAATGAATACACGACAACAATCTTTCTTGGATGTTTGATATAATAAATTATTACTAAAACATAACATTAATTATGTATATCTATGTACCTATAGTTAGAAAAACAGGAGCAAAGAGAGAAATTGTTATATTTTTATTCGGTACTCATTTTACCCACTATATGGAAATTTTATAAATCATTATTTGAAAAGTTTCATAATTTCTTGTTTATTTACTCATTTATATTTTACGAAAAAATTGTGTGATGCACGCAGTCGACCTAACCTCAAACATGTTAAACAACAATTATATTATCTCTTAACATATTTAAGTACTTAATTAAGTAGTACTATGTACATATAAACAGCATATGGCAAAATTTTCTATTTTTAAATTTGCGCTGTGGTTTCAGTGGAAACACGGTTAGGCCATCTAGGCTATATTACATCGCATTACTTCACTCTAATTGAGAAAACAAATGAACAGTTTCCGTAATGGGAGTGTCTAATTCAAGCAAAAATTATATTTTAAATAAAAAATAATATCTACAAACAGATCTTATAAAACTTGATTTCTTCACAAAATTATAAACATTACTCATTTTTTATAACTATTATAGCATTCAATTAATTATTAAGTTCGTTTGATTCTATCCCTCATTATCATCGCATATCTCAACTTTTCGGCTTACATTCTGCTATGGCTTGTTATCCCTTTCACACTACTACTTTCATACTCTTTTTTATTCTAATTCAAGATGGCTGACGCACTAACGAAACTGTCGCGTGAACGAGCAAACAGTAATTTTAACATACATAACTATGCACAAATAAATACGACAAACAAGCACAGGTAGCATGTATGTTTTGTAGGAATTGATTTAAACGTTTTTTTTATGTTAACCTGATCGGAAAAGTTAACGGCGGCACACTATTATTCATTTTTATTTTGGTTTTTTGACCGAAATTTCTTTTAACGTATTTCCTAACAAATCACTTTCATCCAAACATACCTTATCACACAAGGTTCGCACTTGCGTTTCCGTCAATTGATTGCATTCGTTCAACTGCTCAATCCATTGATCCAGATCTTTTGTTGTTGCTTTATCCTCCATCGCAGTCGAAGACGAGGAAAAAGTCTCGTCAATCTTCGTGGATTCAATTTTGACGGCTTTTGATTTACACGAGCCAAACAAAAATTCAGAATGAGTTTACAAAATATTTCTGGCGTAGAGTATAGTCGTGGCTATTTAAACAAAACCAAATCTGAAGCTTTTATTTTTCACTTTTAGAATACAAATTTCAACCAATATATAATTAGACACTAACTCACTAACTTGGACTCGAATCGAATCGCCTTTAACTCAACCGCACGAATGAAAAATAACCGATGACTGACTGTCTAAACGAAATAAATGCACGACCGACACGCACTATCCAATATACCAGCACAATTCGAAAAGACCGAGCTGCTTCTGCTCCCTCTTTTCACTCTTTCACGCTTGCTTTCCACAATCTTGCAAAAATGTGGAATCGTTTTCCAACTCTCGTGTTTTACGACAAAATATGTGATGATTCAATTACCAAGAGACAGAGACCACACTACTCCAAAAATGCATTTACAATATGTCGATTATTAATCGTTGTTGTTGTTTTTTTTAAATACCAATCCAATTAATAGTTCACTTTTTTGAAAACACTTTTCTTTTTCTCTTCAAAGGCCTTAAATCAATTTTCGTTATAAATTTCTACAAGAGCACACTTTAGTTTCTAAAATGTGAATTGTTAATTTTCAACTTTAAAATTTTATTTCGATTGCAGTAAAATTTTTTCGAGGATGACCGAAATGAGTTTAAGTTGTTGGCATTGGTAAACTAATGGCAGGGATGAATGATTTTTTGATTCGAGAGAGTGCTGTCAAAACCCACATATTTTATAACATTTGTCAATCATGCCACTGTCGAAAAAAAAAGATTGGGTATTTTGAAAATAACTCTTGGATATTTTGAATGAAGTGGCATTATTGGTAAACTAATGGTGAGAAGATAACAGGAGAGTTCATAGTTTAGAAGCATTGCCAGCTTGAAATATTTTATGGCATTAATACTAAAGATATTTTTTGCTGACTTTATTTAACAACGATATTTATTCCGTAACTAAATCAGAAAATACGTGTGGTAAAATAATTAGTTTGTTTTAAATACAATTTTTTTTTGTTTGAAAATGTTTATTTTAAGCTATGGCAATCTCTCTTTTCTCCTCAATTCTTGTGAGGTACATTCAATCGGTTCACAGGTGACGTGGGGCAGAGAATGTCTAATTGTGGGGTTGATTAGAAGAAGCAGAAAAGAGAAATTTACGAACAGGTGAAATATATAAGAATCGTGGAAGATTAACTAATAAATTTCTTCTTAAATATTTGTAAAGAAAAATTAGAATTATAATCTATTCTTATAATTGGATTGCTTATAACAAACGCAAACACATATTCATACAAGTGTTTTATTATACTTAATGCGTGAAAATACTTCACACCTGGAAACGAAATTTATTCAGAAGATTTTGTTGGTCTGCTTCGTACTCACTAGAAAAACGGAAATTGTCTGTATAACAATGCCAGAGTATTTGCATGAGAACAGAATATATTTACTGATTTTTAAACAATATCATTTGTTCTAAAGGCCAACAGCTCCACAGTAGCTGTAACATTCTACATATATATACCAGAAACTCCTATAGAAATCGTTTCGAATGGAAAGGTACATAAGCAACGCAACAGGCATTTTAAAAATAAATAATAAACTTAAATAAACATATGAAAATCATCCAAAATTTGTTAACAAATTATTATTTTTTTGCAGTAGCTAAGAGCCATAACCTGGAAATTTTGTTTAAAGAAATCTATCAACAAAAGGCGAGCAAGAGTAAGTATTTCAATAGTTGTAATCAGTTTAGTAATGAATCTCACACAATTTTACTTTCAGAAAGAATGGCTTCTGCCACTGAGCTCAAGGAAAAAGAAAATGGCACTGAAAATAAATACATTAATGTGAATGATATATCTGATGAGTTATCATATCAGCATAAATTAATAAACGATGCTTCGAATGTAACCAATCAACATTCAGGAAATGGATTTTCACTTACAGAAAACAAAAGCAAAACAAAAACTCGTCAACTTAATGGAACAACCTCATGTACACATACCACTTCAAGCAAAGGGACATCTACTGGTACATTCATGAAATTGAAAACATATTTACATGCATTGCGTCCATGGTCATTATCTGGCAGTTTGGTACCAACATTGATGGGATCTGCGCTGGCTTATCGTTCTCAATGGGCCGCTGATTTTAGTCTGATAACATTTTTTTTAACTGCCTTCACAGTAGTTACAGTGCATTGTGCAGGCAATGTGGTGAATACTTACTTCGACTTCGTGAAGGGTATTGACAAACAGAAAGCCGATGATCGAACTCTCGTTGACCACATTCTCACAAAGGATGAGGTAAGTAAAAGTTTTGCACTTCCCTTGCTTCTTGTTTTCTCTGTTTGCTTTCGAAAAAACTACTGAAGGAAAACATTCGTCAGGCAAAAAACATGGGACAATCGAGCACATACATGCTAATTAAAAAAATTCTTAACTCTCTTCAATGTGCTTTCTTTTTTATTACGGCTTCATTATAACATTCTAAAATTAGTCTTTTTGAATACCGCTCGTTGACCGGTTCTGTTATCATTTTATCCGCATTCATAAAAAATGGATAATTAGGTGTTCTCTAATTTTTTACATATCTTAATTTTTTAGGTAGTTTCCTTGGGAGCAATTTTATACATGGCTGGTTGCGGTGGATTCATTTGTTTATCCTTTCTTAGTCCAGCGAAAATGGAGCACCTAGCACTAATTTATTTTGGCGGCTTATCATCTAGCTTTCTTTACACTGGTGGAATCGGTTTCAAATACATCGCTCTTGGAGATGTTGTTATATTAATACTTTTCGGACCACTTTCAGTATTGTTTGCATATATGTCACAAACCGGTCACGTGGATTGGACCGCAATTTATTACGCTCTTCCTTTGGCACTTAATGCGGAGGCTATATTACACAGTAATAACACGCGAGATGCTGAAAACGACCGTAAAGCTGGAATCGTAACGTTAGCAATACTTATTGGACGTACTGCATCGCACGTCCTTTATGCTTTGCTTCTCTTCACACCCTACAGTGTATTTGTTGTATATGGCCTGAAATACTCGCTTTGGTTTTTATTGCCGCTTGTGACAGTACCACAGGCATTTCAGATCGAGAAACGTTTTCGTAACGAACATACCATGAGTGCTGTTCCGCGACAAACAGCTAAATTAAATTTCTTTTTCGGTATACTCTATGTGGTAGCAATATGTTGTGCTAGACAACTACCCGATTTCAGTTATCGCAAACATTAGTGTGTTCAAATTGTTTATAATAGTAGCGAAAATTTGCAAGGCTTCCACAAAACAATTTATATGAAATCATAGAGGAGCTAAAACAAATACTACAATGAAAACTGACTGTACAATAAATTTTTGTAATAATTAGAAGCAAATATTAATAACTTTCTATAAAAATGAGTACATGAAAGTACACCTTACACAAATAGAATCTGAAGTTTTATTTATTATAATAAGCTGAACGAAGTTTTATAAAACGATTAAAATATTAAGGTAGTTTAGCATGGAAATAGGGAATTTTTCGTAAGCGTTATAAACAAATATAATGTATATGTATAACATGTGTACGAAACAGAACTAAATGAATATTCACTTCTAAATTTTGATATCGAGTTTTGCAGTTTTTATAGAGTACAGTTCATTTCCAACTATATAATCAAGATCCAACATTCTATTCTAAAATGCCTCACTAACTTGAGAATTATGAGAGTGTGCCTGTTGGCAATTGAATACAATCGGTAATAATCGCGCGCCCAATAAGGATTTTTATGTTTAATCCATTATAATAGTAAGCGTAATAACATATTTTTACCAAAACAGATGACAGTTGTTGTTGCCGATATGTAGAAGTTTTTTCATTTAAATTATAACCAATTAAATATATCTTCAGGTAATTTGAGAGAATTTAAAAATACTCATACGATTTGCATGCTATGCGATTCTTGAACCCATTAATTTATATTAACAATGTATGTAATCTCGTAATTAATTTCCTTAATGATTTGGTAATCTCATAATTTTAAAATTTCATGTAATATATTTAATAAATAAAAGTGCTTTAAAAAGGAGGACGAATGAAAAGTTGATTTTTATTTCATACTAGTAGATTCGATCGATTTCGATTCGGTATAAGAATCCAAAAGATTGTACTTATTTAATTTTGAAAATGATTGATACAAATATATAAAAAATAATGAGTTTTCCATTTTTCATTTTATTCAAAATACATACATATACCTATTAGTATAGATAATAAGATAACAAAGTGAATATTGTTCATTTTAAAATAAATTTAATTTCTCTCAAAACTGATAATGAACATACGCATTCAAAATATGTTTACATAATTTATATTGCGAATACTCGTAAAATAATGTCATAATTTTGTGTATAAATGTGACGGAATGGGTCTTTACATAGTTTTAGTCATGGTGTCTTGGGACAATATAAGCACTAAAAGGTTTCACTGCAGCTGTTGCCCCATCTAAAGGCTCATCATCAGGCATTTCTCCTTGTAGTGGCAGAAAGTGAAAGTGTTGGATAACTGTCGTTATGAACACAAACAGATTCTGCCTACCCAGTATGTCACCCATGCAACGGTGCCGTCCAAATCCAAAAGGATTGTAGGCCTCTGGGATTTTTAATTTACCATCCATTAAATAACGTTCTGGGTCAAATTTACTTGGGTTAGGGAAATCATGCGAATTCATCAGCATACCTCGAAAACAAGCGATTACCATAGTATCTTTCGGAATAGTGAACCCGCTCAATCGTGTGTCACGCAGAGCCCGATGGGGAATACCAAAGGTGTTACCCATAAACATACGTACAGCCTCCAAAACTATAGATTCACAATATGGTAATTTTGCACGATCACTCCATTCCGGTAAACGATCCACGCCAATCATTTCCTTTATCTCAGCAAAAGCCTTCTCTTGTATTTCTGGGTTGCGGACCATATGTAAAAAGGCGAAACCCAAACTTTTATTGGTTGTTTCAGAACCGACTAAGAACATATCAAGGCACACAGCTAGTAGTTGCTCTTCACTGAAAAATTCGCCTCGCTTGGGATTGTCCAATTCACGCAAATAACTGTCCATCAAATCGCGGGGCATGTCAAAGTTTGCGTATGTTTTGCGATGATTTTCAACTTCTTTACGTAAAAATGTATAAATCCGTTGATGATTTTCTATGAATGCGTTATAGCCCGAATAGTTTGGTGCGATAAACCTAATAAAGGGGAAATGGCTGAACAGCGCCCCTACCATATCCACGTTTTGAAATAATTCAAAAAGCATGGTCAGTAGATCGGTTATCTCTGCACTTTTGCGGTTGTAGCGTTTACTAGCCATCATGGACCACAATGTATTTAATACATTCACTTTGAGCAAATCATGCATGGAGACTTCGGCCTGTTTACCACCCTGTTCGCTAACGATCTCCCTCAATTCTTCCAACAAAAACGAGGCTTCATGTTGAATAATATTCACCATCCCAGCACGCGAAAAACCAAAATCTTTAAGATGTCGCAATATGAAACGACGTTGATCCACCCATAGGTCCTCATCCGTCACCAATATGCCCTTCTTCGAATTAAATGTTCTCATTCTATAGAATATACCATCTGGTTTGCCATCTAGATCCTCATTAGTCATCATTTCGTTTATGGTATCACAGTAATATGCGATCACAACTTTGTCTCTGCCGATCTTTAGACCATATAATCCATACGGATTTATATAGTACTTAGCTAATTCGTCAACAACTTTGCAAAACATTCCACATTTTAATCTCAATTCGGAGATCTGCAGGGCGCAACCGACAATTGGATACCATTTTGGTCCAGGTGGAAACTTCGGCGGTTTCTTAACATCCCAGAGAAGAAAGAGTAAAATCAGTACGCTAAAAAATATAACGGTATAAAACATTACACGTTTTCAAGAGCGTAAAACTCTGATGTTTATTTATTTATTTTTTTCTTCTTTGGCTTTTCCGCAGCAGCACTTCCGGGCAAAGAAAACGCAAACAGCTTTCACTTTTTTACAACAGTTCGTTTGTTGATTTCACTTCGCGGCGTCGCTACAAACCAACACTCGCACGAAATTGTTGCAACGACTTTGTGTGGCAGTTACAATTTGTTTTTACCCCGTATCGCTGGCGCTAAGTATTCCGCATCTAACCTAGTCTGTGAGTCTTAAATAACTGAAGTTGTCCCGACTGTTGCGTCATAATTTATAGTGGGTCAGGCGAACAAAATCTACGTGATGCAAGTGTGAACACATACATCCGTACATGCATAATGTATATGTAAGTAAGGTGACTTAAAATTTCGCGGGCTAAAAATTAAAATTTAAAAAATTTCTTATATTCTCGCCACATGTAGCAGACGAGTATCATATATGGTATTTGTTCACCTAATGCCAGCTTAAAATAGCTTAAAATAAATAGAACAGGCAAATCTATATATATTTTTTTCAATTTCTTAGTGTCGTTCGGAATAACATTCCTTCGTTATCTCGACAAGGGCCCTCTTCTACATCAATGTTATACTAAAAAGTTAGATATACGGAAATGGATAATCAACGGTCATCAGATATCCGAAATATTTACATATTTCATTACCCACCTTCCTGACAATTGAACTTTATGCATTGAAGGCATTCTGATATTTTCTATGGACAAATTCCATTCACTCAATCCATATAAAATAAGATCCGTTTAATAAAAAAAGCATATCTGAACCATAAAACAATTAAATTTACTTTCGCTGTAAAAAAATATTGAATCACTTGATTCGCCCACTTTACTACAATCCCAATTGTTGCTTGCACACAGCATAACATTTATGAACCCTCCCAAGTGCAAAAGCATACAGCTTATTCAAGAGCATCTCAAATTATAACGGTTTTACCTTTCTGTTCCAGCTATTCGAAATTAATAAATCAAAAACTCTGCACAAAGGTAGCAATTAATATATGATCGAATAAGGAAATTATTATTTGTATTCGAATTAGTACTTTAGAGTTTGGGCGCAAATTACGTTTATATAATCCACGATACGTAGTTGTTGTCCAATATCAATCCGCGCTGTACGTACAAGTATACGTGCACCATATGCATACATATCTTCACTTACACACAATTCGTGAATACGTAACTATGTAAGCGTTTGTTTTTATATTTTATTAATTTTTGTATGAAACTGGTTCCGCTCTTTCAGGACCAGCATAATTTTGACTAAAACAGGATAGTTGTCCCTCGCCCGCATATTTATCGCTATCTAACTTGCATGAACAACTAGTATTAATGGAAAACAGTGTGTGCACTTAACGATTTTGAACGAATTTTCACCAAACCTCTTTTTTTTATAGTTTGAAATATTCCAAGATACATGACAGGATTAATCGTGAAAAAGCGTGTTTTCATTTTCAAATCGCACGCTTTTAAAGCAGGTGGTAAAATATTTTTAAGCTTTAAGCGATAATTATTGCATTGATCTGCGCCTAGTCAACTCATACTTATTTCCAACATGTTGAAGTAAGTGGCTTTAGTGTTTAAAGAGCATCGTTTGGCCGAGAAAGCGTGCCCTTGGGTTGAGAATAGTCTTTGTGATAAATATTTGTTGTTATTTATTGGTTTAATATGTTTAAAATATATATAGGTTGCACTGTGAAAGCATCAAATATATATATTTGTATATATGTACATATATACATATATCGTGTTGAAACAAAAGTGTAAAAAATAAAATATCGCGTATAACACAGTTTAGTTGCAAATTCCCGAAAACACATTATACAAAGGATTAAAACTATTTTTCAGCAAGTTCTTAAAGATTTATTTGATACAGACGAAAATAATTTAGACATTTCTATATGGCGATGGCGTAAAAAATAATTTTAAATCAACAAATAAAATTATAATAAACATAAAAAACACAAATTTTACAAAATAAACAAAGCTTATTTTGGATTACATTTAAATTTTGAGCAAGCAGTCACCAAACATTGTTTTTCCTTACCTTGAAACAAGTAAGGTGGGGCTAAGTTGGAGTGTAGCCGTAATTTTATACTTTCGTAATTTTCAAGGATCAAAGTCTGATAATAAATAATAGTCATAGAAACACTTAATTTCAATACTAGATTTTACTTCGCGTCTGGGATATTTACATATATTAAAATCAACATTATTAACTTATACGAGATATTTGTGAAATAAAATCAACCAAAGAGTCTGAGTGCGAGAGTGTATGCAAGAAAAATTTCCCCAGAGGAAGTTTTTACCCGATTTTATCCATTTTAGACTTAAAGATACATTGTTATTACAATAGTAAAACAGTAGTTCTCTCGTTTTTACTATGATGATATGTGGGTTATTGGGCGATATATGCGGTAGATATAAAGATAAAGTAGATATAAAATCTTGGTATTAGGTATATGGCATATTTTTGACTAGCCGGCATACTGTTATCAGCAAAGAATCTGGGTTTGCACCGAATTTCAATAACATGCCTCACAGGTTGACCGATATTTTCGATAAAATATTCGCTGTGGCTTTGAACAGTTGTAGTCCGATTTTGACAATTTTTGGTCATAAGGTTGCCTACTTTAAGCACACAATTCGGACAAAGTTTTATCCCGATACATTCTTTGGTGCTTGATTTGCATGCGACCACGTCCATTTTTTCAAAATTTTTAGGCCACAGGTGCCTTTTGCTACTGCGATCCTCTGCGCCAAATTATGGTTTTATATCTTAATTTGGAGCTTAGTTATGGCGTTTTGTGAACGAGGCAGTGGTCGATTACACCCATTCCTCATTTTTTCGCCAAGGAACTCGTGCACCAAATTTCATTACGAGATCTTAATTTTTCTCAAGTTACAGCTTCGACAGACAGACGAACGGCGGGCAGACAGACATCCGGATTTCAACTCGTCGTCTTGATCACTTATATATATATGTATAACCCTATATCTAACTCGATTAGTTTTAGGTGATACAAACAATCGTTAGGTGAACAAAACTATTATACTCTGTAGCAACATGTTGCAAGAGTATAAATATTAAAGCACAGTTGTTCCTCTCTATCTGTCATAAAACGTGTCTTAGTTGTAGCACTTTACATATATATGTTCGATTAACGTCATTTTGTGGGCGTGGCAATGGTCCGATTTCGTCCATCTGTGATGCCAACCCCCCTTTAGTACTAAGGAAAATGGGTATCAAGTTTCATCAAGATATATCAAGACAGACCCCTACAGCCACACATCCGAAATTGAACACGTCTCGTCATCTGGCCAAGGACAATTAATCGGCTTAGTTCACTAAAACTATTTGCTAATGTTTTATGCACTTTATCTTAAGTCAAAATGTAAATATTACAGTATCGCTAAAAATTATTTTCAACACATTTAACCACATACATATGTATGATGTGAAATTGTAACGTATCAAAAAGTTCGAATTCACATTTACATAATTTACAACATTTTGCTATATTTTTAGACTTATTTTACTTATGGCCATGGGTTTGGGTGCTATGTATATGGTACACTTGCTTGCACAGGACTACAACAAAATTCGGCAACCGGTCGCTGCTGCCGCTCGAGCAATTGTAAGTGCTAGCAATCTGATAACTCGTGCGAAGCGAGATACTTATGAAGATAATGTCAATGTTTATAATTTGTTACACCCAACTGTCGTAAATGTGACAAACACAACTACTCTCAATATTGACTGGAAAATAATTTTGTCACGAGATCCATTTGAATGCCTGCAATCGCTGATATGCCAACTAATGTCAGGTGCAGACACTCATTCTCGCGAGGCCAAGCTGTTAATGGAATTTCTCGAAAAAACGGTAGACTTGGCCCCGGTGGAAGTGCGATTTGCCTTTAGTAGAGGATTAGACCTGCATGGTTCAACCGAAACCTGCTACAATGTATATCCATTCTGCATATATTCTGCGAAAACTATGTTAAGAGTTTTAAGATGGTTTGCGGAGTCGCCGATAGAAGACAACCCTTAACTTAAGTTATAACGAAAAGAAATTTCACTTTCATAAGCTAATTTCTAAACGATTTCATTAATATTTTTTTGTTGACGCAAATACGTACATACAATAATATACTTTAAATATCAAATTGAAAGAAAAAAAAAATATATATACATATATATTGCGCTTTACCCTTATTTATATTTTATTTTATGTATGTATTTAAACCTGGCTATTAGAGTGTTTAACTTATATTGTTTTAAATGTCTTGAAACAAATCTCATGCCATTTTTCGCATGTTGCTTTGGTGACTTCAAGTGCACTTGTGCAGCAGTTTAGTATGAATTTAAACCTTAACGGATTTCTTAGTTTATTACAGTTTTATTTTCAGTATTGGTACATATGCATATCAAAATAATTCTTGTTGTTTTTTATTACATTTTATTTGTGCTTAAATTGAATTGTTGTATTAATGTAGATTTTTACTTCATTTTGATCGAAAACTTTTAAAGCTCAGCCATACACCCTCATTCCTTGCTGACATTAACCACATCGCTTGTTTGAGGTATGCCTCACTATTGTCGATTTAAAATTTTCGGGAAAATATTTCTTGAAGAAACTAGAGGTAACACAATTCCCATGATTTACAATACAAAGCAATTATGCATAGTAAAAAGCTTCCAACGTTAAGTTTGGTTGACATTTTTTTCGAATATTTTGTATAAGAAAAATAATATTTTTAATAAGCTACAATGGATCAGTAACACAAGTATATTTGAGACAGTTTTACTAATGGAAATACCTGAATATATGTCCGGCTAGCGATTGTTTTGTGCGATTACAACGAAAATCATAAAAACTATATCTATTACATGCTTTTTATGGCTACTTGATACAGTTCAGAAGATTACCATTATCTACTGATATAAGTAAAAAAATTAATACAATAAAAACATGAGTATATTATTGGTTTAGTATAAATATGGAAAAACAGCTTAATTTATAACTTTAAATTATATAAAAAAAAAAACTATAAAATGTCATTTTGCTCTTTACATTCCACAAATATTTCAGATTAACTTAACTTGGTCACATATCCGTGTGTTTAACATTACATATGGTATATGTACTTATACATGATGTTTCAAGTGAGTTTTTACAGTTACATTGCGTTCAATTTTTAGGCTCTTCTGAAGTATTGAAACATAAGCTTATGTACTTTATGTATACATTTACGAATTTACTGCCTATACAAATTTTTATTGACTGAAAACATACCTTGTGAGGCATTCTCTTAAAGAATTTTGACTAGCCAATCATTAATCGAGATTTAATAAGCACTTAAGACTTTGCAGTCTTAGTCTAAGAACTCCAAATATGAACTTAAAGTGCACAATCAAATTCTTTTAGTATTTGTTTTCTTTCTTGTTGTTAGTAGCTGGAGTGGAATTTTTTTTGATCGTGCCCTAAAGTTACACTTGTCACATCCTTAATTATCATTTCTGCAACTTGCCATGCAATTTCTTCTTGAACCTTTTCTTCTGGCAGGTGAACCAGTTTTCTCATTGCACTTTTAATCTTGTTGCCACTCAGTCTTAGTGGCCAATTTTGTCTACTACTACTCGCCGCCTCACCTCCTACATCATCAACTGCCTCGAAATCACGTTCATAGCGCCCTAATTCGTTAATGTGACCAAATTTAAGAGCTACTCCATCTACTGATTGCGATCGACGCCATAATAAGTTTGGATTTAGTAAATGACGAGCATCAATATGAATAGCAGAACCAGTCCCTTGTTGAATACCTTTTATTCTTGTTTGTGGCAATTTGTTACCGTCCATCGCCAATAAAGTGTTGTGTCTGAAAACTTCACGCCTACTTCCATCACTACAATCTGAAAGGGTTTTTCGATGAAGAGTTTTACTAAAACTCTTACCAGCTGTAGCAGAAGACGTTACTTTGTCGTCATCCGTTGTTCTTGCTGAAACATTCACTTCGTGTATTTTGAACTTAAGCTCATTTAAGTAGTTCTGAAAGAGTTGCGATTTTAGGAAGTCTTGAAAATATTTACGCTCCAAATATTTCGCTACCAACTGTAAAGCTAAATCAAAACAATACGCCACTCGATCAGCAGCGCAAATACGTTCTTCAACTTGACTTCGAAGCCGATCTGATAACCAAAAACGGTCCTCAGACTGCAGCGAGAAAAATTTTTCATAGATTATCATTGCGTCGCCCTGAGCTTCTAATTGAGCAATGTTTGGAATGTTTGATGTATCTGTTTTCTGAAGACTGGCATTTTCTGTATCTCTGTCCGCACTTATGTAACTTTTGCGATAATTTATGGCTGATGTCCAGAAGTCGAGGCATTCACGTTCATTGTGTTGTTCAAGAAATTCCATGAAGAAGAATAATGTGGCTTCACTATAAAGAATATCATATATGGACAACTCCGGGTTACCATTTTCTATTAATTCAACACTGTATTTGCCGTAAAAAGAGCTCTGCAAAAATTCATTTAGATACACTCTCTCTAAATGATCTAAAACATAACACTGTGCTTCAACGAAGCAAGTTGGCGGAATTGTAGGCATGGATTCAACTTTTGATTGATTTGGCGAATAAGTTTCTTTTTCAATTTCAGCTCGTTGACATATAATTAATGATATTTCAGATAAAATATCGACAGGTAATGAGATAAACTGATTTGCATCCGCAATTAAATATTTTTGATATATTGCAATTGCATCATTCACGCTAGCGGGGTTTATACATTTTTCAGTAGCAATTCGAGCATTGGATACATCAGAGCATAGTTTATTTTCACCGCCTTCATATAAGCAATCGATATTTTTCTCTTTTGAATTTTTTGTACGATTATTATTTTTATTATTTGTACGCGTATTTTCTGTACATTGATATATTTGCTTATTAGTTTCGGCGTAGATTTGACTTTTTTCATCGTCTGTAAGAGGCTGGCGCATAGATAAATCGAAAAAGCTTTTTAATTCAGGTACTTTATCATCATCTTGAGTACATGTAGCGTTTATTTCATCCTTATTTTCTAAGTCTATTCGAGCCAGTGTTTTAAAGTCCTTACATTCCTGCAACTCTTTCTTACTTCCTAATGTTCCTTGCTCATCACTTTGTTGTTCTGCTTTTAAGTGACCAAGTGCAGCAGTTTTAAAATTTTCAGTATCAAGGTAAAATTTTAGTAAAGGGAGTGCATTCATAGTGTCCAAAAATTGTACGAAATAAGTAAGACAATTTGGATCACTTACTATTGACGAAATTGACATCGCCAGACGAGATTTATATCGAAAAATATCTGCGAGGGCAAATAGACGTACAAAAATATAATTTTTATATCTGTCATAATTTATATATGTATGTACATATATTTACCAACACTGCTTCCCCAAGAAATTTCAATTCCATCATTTGCATCGACTTCTGCACCTATTTGCGATAGCATTTCGTCGCAAAAACTGGAGGATGAATGTAAAGAGTGCCGTTTATTTTCAATATCTAATCCAGTTACTGTTAGATCGCCACATGATTTTCCAAAAGGGACATGTGTCCCCGTTGCTTGGCGGCGCAGTCCTATAAAATTAGTGATACTTAACGAAAAACTATTAAAAGTGTGCATTTCTATGCTACCTTTTCGCTTCTTAAAATATTTCAGCATTTTAAAATGCTCTATCGGTATCCATACATCATCTAATTAATAAAAATCGTTAACTCGTTTTTTGATGCGAATCTTGTAATCACTTGTAATTTCCACTGCTTTTTTCTTTTGTATAAATTTCTCCAAGTTTGTTTTCATCACCACAAACGTCAACCGATCTAAGAGTATTCAACAAATATAGTGAGAAAGAAATTTACACAGATACACGGAGAGAAACCGTTTATAATACGAGGTATCGATAGTGAAATTTATTTATTAAAAAAAAATCTACAAATGGATAGTCGTTGAGGGTTGATACGAATTAACAAAAAAGGGAACATTTTTGAACGGGACATTTTTAAATAGAATAGATTTACGTAAAATGAGAAGTTGCTTGCTTATTAACCGCTGTTTGTGTTAACCAAGTAGTCTCGACTACCCTGAACTGCAATACATAGAAAGAATTAACATAACGTATTATTTTATATATAGTATAAATACTCCACTCTACGAGAGCAGCTACACAAAGAGGAAAAAGCCAGTAGAAAACGCCACTGGCAACTAGTGCCTGGGCTTCGACAGACAAGGATGTTTCTAGGAGAGTATGATATAAAACGGTTCAAGAAACTAACCGCTCTTCTCAGAGACAAATTAAGGGAGATTGTGGGACTTTATACATGTTACTGTAAGCTGCGGTGTCATCTGCACAGATTAGGATACAGTTCCACGGATCAATGTCGCTTTTGCGACCATAGAGCAGAGACACCAGAGCCCATACACCTGGATTGCCACGCAATGGCATGAAGAAGGAGTGAGGCAATCGAGCAATTAAATCCGGCGAGAGAACATATTACAACCATTAACCCAGAAGCCGAAGTGTTGTAGTAACAGGAAAGCGCACAATAGACCACAGGTCGCAGTGCATTCCTCAAATTTTATTCTAATCTAATCTAATACGTAAAAAAGGGATGAGCGAGGTTCTGACGTGTAAATTTTATTAACAGGTAAATAAATTAGTTTAAACTTACCAAGATGCAACAATATGAGGTTGTCGTTAGCACAAAAACAACAATTTCCCAGTTAGTATTTGAACATGCTGATGTGAAATCAGCCTTATTGCTTTCTTCGTGTTCTTGTACATAGCATGTAAATAAAAAGCTACATTTTGAAGGAATTCAATTTTAATTATTTTTTCTCTAAATAACTACGAAAACGTTGCCCAGAATTTAAATCGAATATATATAGTTTTTTTAATATTTATATTCTAAAAACGAAATGAAATCAAAATAATCACACTCATATCAAATTAGTTATGTAACTCCAGTGAACATTTGTCTAATTTAAAGTAATGAAGTTCTATTTATTTTATTTATTAAGTATGTATATATATTTCATTTAAACTATTTATCAATAATGTAAATTTATTTCAACGTACTCCTTATCTTGCATTCAAATTTTAAAGATAATTTAGTATTTACTTTACTCATTTCAACTTAATTTAAAATTTTTTTACATATGTATGTATGTATGTAATTCGAAAAATGCAACTAGAAATATAACGGTGTTGCATTATGTAATTCACTTTACAGTCATTATATGTATTAGGCTTATGTATGTATGTATGGTATATGGTATGTAGGTTAGTAAGTTGCATGAGGATTGCTAAAAACGTTGTTTATATATATGTTTGTACTTGTGTACATATGAATTTTTTATTCGTGATATACCCATGTATATAATTGTGTATTTATATGTACAATATAAACGGACACTAATAAATTTCTGCATTTCACAATTAAATAATGCAGGCATATGTTTATGTACAAGCAGAAGTATTATGTATTCATATTTGCTACGTGAAATAGTCGAAGCGATTTTCTTTTATTGTATTTGCTGCTGCGATTGATTATATAGCTTAATATGCAAATATATATGTATTTACATATGTATGCACTTTGAAGCGGGCTATGTTTGGGCGTATGTATGTATGTAAGTATATAGATATTTTAGTTATAATTTTATTCGATTAGGCTGCCCTAACACGACCGAACACTTTATGATTTTCACAAATATATAAAAATGTGTTTCCCCTTTACCATCATCAGATGTCAATTGTTAGCTATGTATGTACATACTTATGTATGTGAATGGGAACGAATTAAACTAATTTACCTTTACAAAAATAATCATAATATCGTTTTTTATATAAATTGACTTTAGTCTCTTATTTCGGCTTTTGAAAAAGTAAAGTAAAGTAATGCAATATTTCGAAATACATATACCTAATTCTGTTTTTACACGGTTTGAAAATAAATTAATTTTTTTATTTTTTTACACGATTTTATTCCGTTTAACACGATCCAAAATAATTTGGGCTTAAATTTTATTTGTCAGATTTAATTTTTGCGACATACTTATGTTCATATCACAAATTTAGAGGAATTCCCTTTTTGTATATACTTGTACAAGTAATTTTACTGGTCCGAGCAATTGTAAATAGCATAAATTGAGGGGAGTTCACTTTTTGTGCATACAAGCAAATTTGAAATGTGTTATTATTTTGTGAACTATCATTACTAACTAGTACAACTATGCTTATGTAAATACACATTATATAATATATATATGATTTTATAAAATAAAAATTAATACTTGTTCCTAAAAAATCCCTATTTTTCCTCTATTTTTAACATGTCGCTTTTTATTCGGCTTTTTCTGGAACCATTCTACCGTTTAAAAACAGAATTAGGTGTTTATTATGCTATATTTTCGAACGTTTCTCTTTATATACCTTGTATCTATGTATATGTATTCAGTTAGTTATATAGTTGCCGAATGAGCTTTTACATGCGTGTGTTTGTTAACAGATACTCATAATCTTATATATGAAATGATTAAAAAATTGACTAAAGTGGAAATTATGCAGAAATATGACAACTTTCTTGCAAAAAACATAAAATAATAATCAAACAACAAATAATTTTCAAAAAGTATTTATTTAATTCCTTAAATAAAATTGAAATAAGGTTCTCTTGGTTTTGTAGGCACACAAAATGGATAAAAAATATATGTGTGAAGAAAATAAAATAATTCATTTATTTTTCATACTTTCGCTTCAAGCTAAAAAATTAGCATAAAATTATACACATAAATCTTACATAACCCCTATAGAATATTTATGTATGTATGTATATACTCCTTTTTGTTTAAGAAGAAATATATATTCATACATACATTACTTTAAAGTTTGCTTTTAAATTTTGATAATTATTTTTATACAAACAGTCAACAAAACATAAAGATATACGAAAATCAATTAACTTAAATTTAAAGGCATATATAACATTTCTCTCTACGTATCCTTTCACACTTAGCAATGTTCAACATATTTATGTACATATATTAGTTACAATTTTGTATCTTCTGATAATGAATGCATATTTGTATTTTAAAAGAACATTTTGAATGGTTAAACCATGACAGGTGAAGCAAGGATGCATGCTAGGGTAACTAACAATTAAATAATTACCATTATCGACGAAATTTCTTTTGTCAAAAGATTTTACAATAACTATTTGTAAACTTCATACGCTGGGTACTAGACTGAAGCGGATACACACATGCGGTAACTTAACTAATGCGATGGTACTGAGCGCTTACTAATAAAATAAGATTTTTTATCATAAAATTAATAGCATATTTTTTCATGTGTACACCCACTATAGGGTTATAAAATGATCAGTTGTGGCCTTTATACTTTCAATATAATTTAAATAAATGGTTTTTTGAACAAAACTGTCTATTTAACGTATCGTGAATGCAAATGCTATTCATTGTGTATACATATGTAGCTATTTTTTGTACTTTGATATTTTTTGTATTTAGTCATTATTGTTTATTGCTTGTATAATGTAAGATATAGTACAAATATAGTCAAAATGGATAGATTTGGTCTGTACTTTTAAATAATGTAGTAGCCAGTGGTTTGTAGTTGACACAAAGAGACTTTCTAAAGGCTGCGTCACAATGCAACGAAGATTTTAAATTTAATTCAAATCAGCATACATATTTAATTTTTATTTCCATTATTTTTCATATACAATGCCATTGTATACGAAATCAAGAGAATTCCAGATAATTTACTTGAATTACAATGCAAAGCACTGATATGTAAGCCTGAAGCCATCACCAAAATTGAACTAGAAAGGTGTTTCATTTTAACTCATTGTTTATTTTTAAAAAGCATTATGTAATACGTTTTTTTTTCTTCTAATTTTTCGATCAGTTTCTTAAATTTCGGAATACATATTACATAACGTTATAAATTTTTGAAATGTTGATGTAATAATTTATCTAAATACAAATTTTTCTAAGACATATTTTCTGAGTTTATTTTTACGCTAAATAAGCTTACAAAATTATATGACATCTAACAAATTTCTAATACGGCTATCATAATATGAGATTAAACTTAGTTTAACTTCTGCGAAACAACCTTCATTTATAATAGTCTTAAATTTGCTGATTTATTCACTTAAAACAAATATATACATTTACGTATGTGCTCGTGAAACATTGAAAGTCTATTTGCATAAACTACATAAAAAAAAAAATCTGAATCTGGCAGACGAATTTTGTTGACATAATGAATGCATGAAAAGACGTAAACTAGTTGCAAGCATTGAAATGATGCAATTGGTGCGTTTCAGAAAGAAATTACGATGGCATTCATGTTAAAATTTGGTTCGAATGTTATTAGGAAATTATTAGCAAATCGTGACTATACATAGCTAAGCGAAGTATAATTTAAGTTTGGTTTAAATTCAAACACAATAAACTAATATTTTGCATTTCGTTCTAATAGTACTATGTATGTAGTTATATAATTATATACATACATATGCTTATAATTATTAATATATCCTTCTTTAATATTGTTCTTTATAATATATATTTATGTTTATTGACTAATAAAACGTTTCGCGCGAACGACTAATCAATTTCTTTTATTCCCTGTATCTTTGTTAGATTTTGGGTAGGTATTTGTTCTTGCATATGCATTTACTCGTATATTATTTATGATTTGATGTAATTTTTTTAGTATTTATTACCATTAGCAATTTTTGGTAACAATAAGATTTTGCTTGCTGACGTTTCACCACCTTAAGTAAAATATTACAAGAACTAATATTACTATTACAATTATTATTCTATTACTATTTTATATTTAAAGTAGTAGTTGTAGTAGTATTAGTAGCATTTGTAATTAGTGTAGGAGTAGTTGCAGTTGCTTTTACATTGACAGCAGCAGAGTTTCCATTTGAAGAGGTTAAATAGCGAATACATTTTCCAGATTTTGCCGCTGGACCAGCTGTTGGCAAAACATGAATAGTGGAGAGTTTATTGGTTGCCTTTGTTGGTGCAATGGCAAATTTGGTATTATGAGCAGTCTTTGTACATTTTTCTAAAGATTCCTGTTTTGATGGATGTGAAATTATCTTAGCAGTGTTATGGATATATTTGTTGCTGGCGAATTTCTTATCGACTGTTAGATTTATTTTTAAAGGGTTGGTCAAGTTTTCATTTGCAACTATTTTCGACCTTTGATTTGATAATTTTCGTCTAACGCTCAACCCCACTAGTCTTGTGACTAGATTGGTGGCAACCTTCGCCGACGATTCCAATTGTGACCTTTTCTCTTTGTATAAATTTTTCCTCAGGAAACCATCAGTTGCTACTGTATTGGACACTGCTAAATCTCCTGCCTCTCGTGACGCGTTAGCTGAACTTCCATTCACTTCTATAACTTTAGTTTTTATATTAGCGGTCTGAGACGCTTTTGCAGTTGAATGCAATCAAGACAGCTGCTTGGCAACAATGACACCTGGCCGGACCTGCTTTAATGCCGTCGTTGTGATTGTTACCTGTTGAGCACCTTGCCCTGTGCCTATATTACTCGCTCCCGCTGCCGTTGTTTGCACTTTGTAAATGGCGGTGGGCATGATATTTCCACCACTATCTTTCTGTTGATTTGGTTGCTGCACAATAGTTACTTGTTTACTGCCTTTAATTTGCAGGTAAGGACTCAATTCTGCCAAAGTGGCTCTTTGAACTTTTGTTGTCAGCGCTAGAGGAGCTTCCTGTGCTCTTTGATTTTGCTGATGTTGTTGTAACTTTTGTTCACTACCGTCAGCAAATAAATGATCACCTTCTAGATGTCTTATTGCCTCGACAATAGTTTCCAGATTTTGCCGCGAACGTGTTAAACCACTTGGTTGATCAATTTTTTCTGTTTTTACTTTGATTATCTCCTGTATACGTTCCACTTCTACTTTCGGTGTTGCCTTGATGGCAGCCTGAAGTATGGGCTGAAGGACAGCTGCTGACGGTGACGAACCCTCAGCGTAAGCCTTGGCAATCGCATTAACTTCTTGTTCAGATTCGGTGGACGATGTGGATGAAAGGATAACCTCTTCCTGTACATTGTCTTCAGTGATAATTTCTGCTGCTGCAGCTGCAGCCTCGCTCTCCAACTCTTCAATACTCGAACAAACAACAACCTGTCGTTGACCGGTCATTTCATCAATTTCAACGTACGACACGGCTCCAGATGGCAGTTCCTCCATAGATTCACGTACTAAATTGTCTGTGTGCTCGATAACTTCACGTGGAATGTATGTGGATGTGGAAGCTGCAGGCGCTGTAGCCACTGAATATAATTGCCGCTTTATCATTTGCAGTTCTTCCTCTAACATGGTGCGCATTCGACGTTCTTTTTCCAGTTGCTTTTTCATTTCGCTTAGTTCTTTGGAGTTGGCAACATTATGAGCAATAATCACTTGACTTTTTGCATTAACATTACCACCACCCGCATTCAGAAGAGTAGTCGGTTCTGGTGACATTGAACCCAAACCTTCATCGGAGGAGTCACTTATCGTCTGAAGGTTGATTATGTTATCAGTGAGTTTGCGCTTCTTTATGGCTACGTTACCGCTGTTCAATGTTTCACTACTGCCAGCGGTTGAAACTTCTCCGGCGCCAGATGACGCGCCCGCCGTATTCGACTCATGTAAACCAAGCTGTCGCTTCAATTGACTATTTTGGTTCAAAAGTTGTGTCTTCTGGTTTTCTAGTTCGTATATATATTGGGAAGTTTGTTGTAAAATCGCTGCCTGCAAAATGAGAAGACACAATTATAGATTACACAGATTGCGACAAGCTGTCATAAATGAAAGAAGATACTGACGTAAAATTTCTACCATTCTTAAGAATATAATGTTATTTTAATACAATTAAAAACGGATTAAGCTGTGAATAATTCACGTACGAACATAAGTTTTCTTCAAGAGCGTTATTCAATAAATTATAGATTAAGACGTAAATTTTTTCTAACTTATTATTAAATTGTTTAAAATTAAATATCAATTTTAAAACAAACAAATAAAAATACAAAGTATACATATACATACAGTGGTTCACAGCTTATTTTATGCAGCGCATACTTCCATCTTTAAAGCATTATAACTAAGCGACTATAATGCATATAAAAATTTTACTAGTACTAGTAAAGGGATAAAAAAAAAAAGTCTTCAAAGTCATTTTTACATAACTTAAATATTCGATTCTCGTGAATAAAGCGCTCGATAATTTTTGGTACTGTGCAATTCTCGTTGTTTCACTGACGATAAATTAAGTAACGAAATTAGACTATATCGTATAATAATTCCATTTTAAAAACAAACAAAAAGCATAGAAGAAGAAATTACAGTTGGACGGCGTTCACATGTCGCTTATTATCGGCAAATTTAATTTAGATGTCGCTCTATGCATTCACAAGAGTAAAAATACACCAGCAACTCGAGTCGAGTTTTTCTGTCTTCCTTTGCACAAAATGTTCACAAATGTGCGCGACACTTAGAGCGTGTTGCATATTTCATTTTTATGTTGAGATGATCATGTATGTATGTGATAGAACAATATTTAGAATACCCGCTATTAATATTTTTAAGGCCAAATTTATAATGCGAATTCCCCAATCCTCTCTATCTATCGGGAAATATATACCCTTCATATATATATATTTAAGCCATTTTTAATTTCAAAATAAAAAGGAATGCATATATTGTATATGTAGCAGCGAGCTGTTACGAACAAGAACACAAAGTGGGCAACTCGAGCACGTACGATACTCGTCGTCCCTTCATCTACAAAAAAAAACCGGTTTGGGCGTCAAACAAACCCGTGTGTGAACTGACACTTAGAGTGCGCAACGTTGATGCATCATTACGCAAAGAAGTTTCTGCATTTAACAAGCTGTGACTGGAATATTTACAATAAATTTTGTTTTTAAAGATTAAACTTAGGTATACATTAAATTAAAAATAATTAAAACATTCTTGTAAAACTAGACTTTTTTTATCTTTTTAATAGTACTAGTATAATTTTTGTATTCATTATAGTCGCTTAGTTATAATGCTTTAAAGTCGGATATATGCACTGCATGTGCTGTGAGTTACTGTATATACTTATGTATATACCAAATATGTATTAAAATTGGCATGTGCAACTGTTATGCCTTCAACTAGCCAATCGGCAAAAAAAAAAAAAAAAACGAATTGCGAATATACATACATATAAATGTACATACATTGTAACATTGTAACATTTACAATGTATGTATGTGTGCATTATCTGCAGCTGATTTAGTCAGCTGAAAAAAGGTAAACATCAACGATGGAGGCCTACCCACACCAAACCACTATGCATGCGAACAAAAATAAATGCTATGTAAACAAAAACAAAAAAGTGCTGTCGATCGACTAGTTAGTTAGTTGACCTGCCAATGAGCATGTAGCGAAATGCGGGAATAACGATACTCTGCTCTTATTCAAGTTGTTGTTATCCGGTCTTTGTTGTTTTGTTGCATACGCCTCGTTTAGATAGTATGCATATGTACATATGGATGTGCATGCAACGCTGCATTTTGCCTTCTTAGCCGTAACGATATGATAGCCACGACTACGCGACGGCTTACGTTTTTGTGATGACTGTACTTTTTTTGCCGCCGTCTCGTAAAAAATTTTTCGTCACAAAGTACCAAGCAAATTTACCAAAGAGCATACAAGCGAATTTTCTCTCTTTCCCTCTCTCAATTAACCTCTCGAGAAATTCAATATGTTTCGGTTCTCGAAACGTTTCGTTAGAAATACTGGAAGTGGAAGATGAAAAAATAGCGAATTTGAAACGGAAGTCCACACCAGAACCACATGTAAAAACAGCAAATGAGCGATTGAACAGCTGGCAATCAGTACTCTCATTTGCTAAAATGTACATACATTCGTATGGTGTTTGTCGAATTGAATGCTACTGGGAGCAGCTGATAGAGAGGACCAGTCAACTAATCTTCTATACGATTGTGGGTGGCAGCGACGCCAATCTACCCATTCATTCACGCATTTTAGACACAATCCAATCTATATATGTATGTACTTATAAAGATTGGTGCAATGCCGTACAGTGTACATTACATTGTAAGCATACTTATGTACACGAAATTATTTATCCTCCAGAAAAAATAGTACAGAAAAAAGGAATAATAATTTTTTAAGCTTTAACATCTGTTGATAAAATTTACTTTTAGGGAATGGTTACAATGCGAATAGAGCAAAACGCGCGAAATTTCTCGATCTTTGGTGTACACAATACATACTACATACATATTTAGAACAAAATCGAGAAATTATGAACTAATTTGCCATGCATAAATAGTTTTAAGTAGTATGTAAGTATGTACATATGTGCATCGGCTTGCTTAAATCAACATATGCGTAATGTTTAAATAATTAAATAAATAAATGACTTGCAACAGTGCAGCTCATTTGTCAATATTTAAATATCTATTCAAATAATTTGAATAAAAATCTTCAATCATATACACGTACTATGTATGCATGTATGTAGGCTATAGCTGCAGAACAGCTGATTTTAATTTGTTTTATTCGCTTCGGTGGTGTGACATTCACCTGCAGTATCTGTTTTGCTAAGATTTTACTTTGATTATGGGTAACTACAATTTGTTTGCGTTCTTTTCAGTTCTTGCTATCACTTTCAATTATTTCGCCTTGACAGCATGCTCTGTTTTTCAAAATAAATTCTTTTTATAGGTTCGTATGTGAATATCCAATAAAGAGAATAAATTTAAGGCACGACGCAAAAAGCTACAATCAATGAGTCAGGCAACCGCAATGCTAACTAGCAGCTGTTTCACAATTTGCCGGCGCTGTAAAAACAGCTGAGAGAACGAGTGGCGCGCACTTATACATGAAACCAAACACAAACAGATGGAAATACGAATGTATGTTTTAGGGCTGGGCCATCGCCACTGACTTTATCAGCGCCACATGGTTTTTGATGACAAACAAAACTACAGCGTTGGTAAATTCGTTTCAGCTGATCAGCTTGGATCAAACTTTAAACGTCAGCGTCTTTAAAATGCAGGTAAACACAAAAATATGCAAGAATGATAGAATACAACATTACGACAGTAATTTATCGTTACTTTTTTCGGGTGAGGCTGTGATAATTGTTACAAAAAGAAATTGCACTATGCCGCCATCTTGTGACGTAATTCTTTTGAGTTGAGAAGAAGAAGCACAGAACAGCATCTAAATTGTAAACAAATACGTAAGCACTTTTGTTAATTCGTTAAGTAGACTTAATATATGAGTTTATAGTGAAAAAACCGATGGCGGTTGTCGTATTATTTTATTCTATCATTCTTGATGATATTACCATTCAAATTCAATTCTAATGAGTAAGTAATTAAACAAAACAAATGCGCTGAAAATCGATCGTTTACACATGTGCTAAACAGCTGTGTATTTCTTTGAAAGCAGATTTGTGATATTTACTTCTAGGCTCTCTTCTGGTATTTTTTTTTTGGCCATCTTAGCAGACATTTTGCTAACTGTTGATAATAAGTAGTTAGAAAACATTCCCAATCATTTGTGCCCCACACTAAGCACACATACTTGAATCCTTATAAATACAAGTGGAAACAGCGTATGAATATGAGCGATCGTTGACAAATCAGCTGTTTTTGCAAACGAAATATGAGGATACAACACACATACATTAAAGTATGTATGTATGGTTAGGTATTGTGAAAGTTTTCAGGGATTGGTTGTATTCTCTTAACTGATTTCCGTTAACAAGCCGATGGAGGAGAATAATTTAAATGTATGTATGCACGAAATACAGATACTCCCACTACCAATCTAAAAGTGTATAATATCTGTGCGAATGCTTACAGATTAATACATTATTAATTGTCCCGATTTTTTTTATTTACTTTCGCCCATTTTGTATAAACGATCTAATGAACCATAAGTGTTTTGCGAGAATTCAAAAATTGTTACTTGGCTTCAACTGCTGATCAGTTTATATCATGAAATGTCATATATGTACATTAATTTTTATATTCTCGCATCATGTTACAACAGAGTATAATATTTTTTTTTTGTATTTCATGTAAGGGTTTTATAACATCTAAACCATTTAATTCAATACATTTAAATATACATATGTACATAATATGGTAAATAATCAGGAGGCGAGTTGAATTCCGGTTTACTGTGTCCGTCTGTGCAAGCGATAGCTTTGAGTAAAAATTAAGATAACTTGATCAAACTTGGTGCACGTGTTCCTTGAAATTAAAAGTATTGCATATGAGCAGACACGGATCATTGCCACACCAACAAAAATTGAAAACCTATAAAATGTCATAACTAAGCCGCTATTTAAGATACAAAACTGGAATATGGGACAGCGAATCGCAGTAGAGAGGTACAATTGTTGTTTAAAAACTGTTTTGAAAAGAAGGAAGAGAAGAGGTCCCGCTCCCTAGTAGATTTATTGTACATATTTCACCACTGAAGCATTATTAATCAAACTTGCTCAGGACAAATATTTTCGATATACAGCCTCATACAATGTGAAAATGGGTAAATTTAGATGATAAACACGTCCATCATCATTTTACCGGTTATGTTAAAAATACTAAAAATGCGGTAATTCATCAAAAAAAAAATATGTCAGACACATTAAATTTTACGTCCTACATGATATAGAAGGGACTTATAAGACACATTGTCAAAACTGGGAAATGGGCGAAATCCTATATCCCCCCAACATTCTTATGTTATATTGTGAAAATCCAATTACAATATTATGACGTAGATAACATGGGTCTTAAAGGCATAAGTGAAAGAATTATATGGAGTTTAAAATTGTGATATATGGGAGCAGCGGGCATGGCATCAAGCAGCCAAATACCGAATATGTTGTTGTTGTTGTAGCGGCAGAATTCTGCCGAGTTGACAGTCCCTGGCCGGAATAAATCCGGATCCCTTCCGGTTACGTAGACCCGATTGTCGTGGGAACGGTGTAACCGAATATTTGGATTCCTGTGCCTATGACTACCGAAAATATCGTTCAATATGGGAGGAATGCAATTCAGAGAGATTCTTTTCCCGATAATGTGACCTTCTGTCAAAAAATGGCAAAATCGGGACAATACTTTCCTAGCCTCAATATACCTAATATTAGAATTTTCGAACTTCCGGTTGACTTTATACATATTTATATTTTGTATAAGTATATGTTAGTGATTTCGCAACTACGCGGTCATTGACCTTTTGACATTTCCCCAGAAGTCGATAGTGTAAGGTAGATTGACATACTTATGTATGCACATACATACGTTCGACACACATTCTGCAAGGCTGCTGGGCTCCACAATAATAGTTTTACATATATTTACAATTCCATTTCCGAATTCCAGCAGGACATAAGCACACACCTACTGCATACTGCATTAAAAAAGAAATTTTAAATATTTCGGAATTCAACTAAAAATACCAAAAAAGTAAAATAATATAGAAATAATACAAGTGTGCGCTCAAATGCAACAACTAGTATGTGTGCCCAAGCTAACATAGTTCCACATAACTTATGTTTTCCAACGATGTTGACTTCTTTGTGGTAACGCTGAACGCTGAAGTGTGCCGCATAGCATTGCTGGAATATATCGATCCACTTTCCAGCCACCCTACGAGTATAAACTTAGGTTTAATGGAAATATGTGCACTCTTTTATTATACATATGTATGTACAAGATAAACACATAGATACATATATGCTTACGCATAGACCACTTATAGACTATAGTATTACGAGCGATTGCCCAGCAGCTTTCAGAAAAATTCTACCAACTCACTTGTCACACATCTAACCGACCAAAGTTATTTTGGAAATTAGTACACAGTACCCATATGATACAATCCAAGGAGTATATTAAACGAATAATTAATAACAATCGTAAGCCTTATAAAAAATTGTTTCAATAAACTACAAATCCATAAAAAATATACCCAGTCATGTATATCTATCCATATAAGATACATGCAAAAATATCCACATATGTATGTATGTACATATGTACTTCAGTACAATTGTCATAGTATAGCATAGTACGAGTGTATTATAGTACTGTGTAGTATAGTATGGTGTGTTGCGGAGTGGCGTAACTTACCTTACTCAACTTGTCGCCTTCGTGGCGCGGTAGGAGCGAACGTAAATTCTGAAAACCGGCATTGATACTCTGCATTCGTCGTCTTTCGTTGCTGTTGGCGATTTCGCGCCGCATACGTTTCTCACTCTCCAGAAGATTTTTACTGCCGCCGTTATTGGTAACGTTGCTGCTTGCTGTGATGCCCCCACTACCACTTTTTGTTGTTGCACTGCTCGTATTCATCCCGGAACTAGAGTGACGTTGACGCTGTGGCAGTTGCGGCTCCGCCTGGTATTGAATGTATTCACCTCCGGAATCTTCTAATTGTAATCTGAAAGAGCACAAACATTGGTTAATTATTTTAGTATCTAATATAAATTTAGGGACAAACATAGACTGTTTTAATTGCAATACTATAGTCAGCGGATGCAAATTTTTGTTGTAGGAGCACAGTAACGTTTTGTAAAAAGAGAAATACTGTTGGGGTGACATTCCATGGTCAGATAAAGATCCGGACCTGTTTTAGGTGCATAGACCCAACTACTAATGACCTTATTGTTTTAATTATACATATAATATATATTAGTAACCAAGTAAGAAAAAGGTTTCCACGAAATTGGAAAGACAAATTAGAAAAATACTTGTTTACAGTGAAACTATGTCTTAAGTTAGTGTTCCAATAATATATAATTAGAAAATAATTAAACTAACTAGGGCGATTTTTATAGCTAACTGAGTTTCTATATTACATAGGGATTTTCGAATTATTTGGTTGCAAAAAAACAAAGAGAAAGATATATAATCATATAAATATTGGTATTTTGCCATTTCGCTGTTCATGTTTATAAATAATACCACAAAATTTGCTAAAAACTAAATATTCGCGGCAAGTGTAAAGCTAACTTTTCTATCAACACTGAAATCGAATTTCTTTGATAATTCCTATTGGTAGACCCTTAAATATTTATAAATAGCCGACTAGGTATGTATGTTACGTATGGTTTGCTTGTTTAGATTCTCGCGCTCATTCATAAATTTTGCACTCGTTGGCGACTCGGTTGCCGTCACAAATTTCATTTCGTGTTGCTGACATTGGAATGCAGTTTCATTCACCTTAGTGTGGACTAGTAATACGGCCAGCTACATACGTGCTTATGTATGCATGTATGCCAGCGCAAATGTATTTAATAGCAGCAAATGTAAGTATATTTCCACATATTTTAGAGCGTACACAGATTTAAACAAAACCAATGTAAATGCATGTTTTCTTAACGTATGTGTTGTTTTACTTGTAAGTTGAGAATACGTTTACGATTGGTACTACACCCAAATACAGTCAAACACCAGAAACGAGTACCCAGAGTGGCTGCGAAATGCGCCCAATGTGAAAGGACTATTTGGAGCTTGGGTCAACTACTTGATGAGTTCTGGGTGCCGTTCCAGCACTACCTGATTCTAAATTACGTAGCGTTGTACAGATGGAGAAACAAGGTCCTTCGGGTACATGTATTCAGGAAGGGTGCACATTGCCTCGCTGGCACTTAGCCTTATCGTGTAATTTATTATTTATATATATAATTATACTCTATTCTGTAGCTAAGCACAAACGCACGATTCCGTATATACCGGCATTTTTTTATATTTTTATTTGTATATTGTTTAACTGTTTATGAGTTACAGATACATATATTTTAAAACCGGTAATATAATATTTGTTAACTATAGTTTTTATTATAGTAATGAGCATGTCTTTGATATTCGGTTTTTCTTTCAATTTACTGAAATTTGCATTCCATACAAATGATTTTGATCGAGTTAATTGCATTACAGCAGAATATTACAAAAAGTATGTATATTATCATTATTGTATTTCGTATCGAGCACCAGTCACTCAATGAACACCGGTAGTTGCAGCCATTGCAGATGATGATGACGCAAGCATTGACCTATTAACCAGAATTGGCATGCTAGCGAGGTTTACCTACATATTGAAATAAGCTCATACGACAAAAAAAGAACTTAAAATATTTTCAACAATTATAAACGTATTCAAAATTATATATAAAATAAATGTCACAAAATCAGTCAACGATCCGTTTTCACGACCAAATTATTAAGTTATTTTTGTTTTTTGTTTTAATAATTAAAGTTATAGTTAAGTTACAAACTTGGCATACAAATTGTGAGTTTTAATACACACAAATGTATGAATATTATCGATTTTAATTTTATATTCAAGCTTTACGAATTCGTCATTCACTGACGCACCATCCCAGCGCCATATAAACAAGTGGCTGCAACGTAAACAAACAAAAACAGCTGCTTGAAATAGCCAACAAGGGATGGTGGGAGGTACTAATAAAAAGAAAACAAGAAAATTACTTAAGGTGAGGGCACCTGTGCCGAAGAATACTTGTATGAACAGATGAAATACATACATAATTTATTATCTTTGTATCAATGCATTTCTTATGACTATTGCGATTTGGATTTTATAACTTTTGTGACATTTTTATACTCTTACAACATGTTACTACAGAGTGTAATAGGTAAACAAAACTAACGGTTGTTTGTATCACCTTAAATAATAGAGTTAGATATAGGGTTATATATAATAAGTGATCAGGTTGACGAGGCGAGTGTCCGTTCCCACGACAGTCGGGTCTACGTAACCGAAACGGACCCGGATTTATTCCGGCCAAGGACTGTCAACTCGGCAGAATTCTGTCGCTACAACAACAACAACGAGGCGAGTGTCTGTCCGACCGTCCGTGCAAGCTGTAACTTGAGTAGAAATTGACGTATCGTTATGAGTTCGTAGATGGGCGTAATCGGACCCCTGCCACGCCCAAAAAGTCTCATTTACATATAAAATGCCATAACTAAGCACTAAATTTGGATATAAAACAGTAATTTGGGACAGGAGACTGCAGCAACAAGGGGCACCGTGGGGCTAAAATTTTCTTTAAAGTAGGGGTGGCTCGCCCCCTAATAAGTTTAATGTTAATTTCTCCAAACCAAATTAGCTTAGAAAAAATTCTTTAAGAACCCCTACCGACACTGTCAACTTAAACAAAAAAGCGGCGACATTCTAGATTTAATTGACGCAAAACGGAATAAACAGAAACTACTGTCATCAAACTACGTTGCATAGTGACAAGTGATTCAAATCTATGTATATTGGTAAAAAGTCTTTTTGGGCTTTGAAAAATGTCAATGGGTTTGTCCCAATTATTTTTGCCACCAGTGTGTGTATACGCAATCATGTGTTTTTAATATACACACGAGCTGGCTTAACAACAAATAAAACTTTATTAAGATTTGTGAAAAACACCAGTTAAATAATAAAACAAAAAACCTAAATATTAAAAACACCTCAGCCGACACCCGATTCGGATGAATATGTATTGTAAATACATATGTATGTATGTAAATAGTATCGGCTATACTTGCAGTTCAACTCTCCACATATACATACATACGTATTTGTACGGAGATTCAGCTTCGTGTCAGCTACCTGAGTAGATATGTATGTAAACAAACACCTTCATCGTAGCCAAATTAAAAAGAGAGCGGAAAGACTACATGCCATGCTTACACATACTTACATGCATACTGTACAGTACATAGATATTCATGTGTACATATGAATTCCGAAGCGATGCTGCAGTCGTAGGTGCCGGTTGTGGAATGCGGCCCCAATCGTTAGCTCCGGCAATGTCGATTTCATTCGCTTTTAGCCCCTTTATGCACCGAAATGCCAACGAAACTCGCCGACATCGTAGAATTTTCTCTGTAGTGGTTTAGACCTACAACACAGAATACAGACAACAATTCCTCTTTGCTACCGCTCTCTTCAATTCGAAATTCGGTTGGAGCTCATTTACTCTGCTCCCAGTGTTTTCATATATTTACGAATGAAGTTTTGTGCTCTAGGATGCAAAGCGCCAACCAACGCATATCAACCTCCGCCGTTTCAGCTAGCGCAGAACAATTCCAATTGGCAAAGCAAATCCGCCGTTGGCAGCGAACACAGAAACAAGCAAAACGGAAATTTGTGCACAGCTGTACGAGACCATCATGTGGAAACGGTTTTGAATCGAAATCAATTTGTACAGCTGATATATTAACGAATTCGTTGCTAACGCCTTACCTTACAGTAGTGGTAAATATAAAATTCTTAAAATTTATTGTTGTACCCATGTACATATAATAAAAATCTTTGATTAAGAATATATCTCACCGATTTGTAATGATGGCACTGATCTTCATAAATTAAAAGTAGTTAACAAAATCCAATCCCGATTAATATAGTAAAAACTCTCAATTATTCGCGGGTTCTCGTATTCAAATGTATGGTGAGTCGAGGCAAAATTACGAGCGTATTTATTATTACTATTTTGTTTTAATATTTGGCTATAGTGCACTTAAAAACATGCGAGAGTCCGCGAGTATATAGTCTTGAGTCTACGTTAGACTTTTATTTAACCAAGTTTCAAAACTAGACGTCCACGAAAATTATCTTTACTTTCTAAATTCACACACTAAGTAGTTTATTTTCGCGACCACATCGACTAACCATCTTCGAAATGGCTCAAAATATTGCGGACTTAAGAGCAATAAACAAAACCGTAGTATGCAAAGGTTCAGTGAACACAGTAAATCAAGTAATGCTAAGTGGAACATTCCCTAAACTTACTCCAGCAACTTTACAACAAGAGAATGACGCGAAACATACCCATAGATCTTTAAAATGATATTTACATACAACGTAATATATCGAGTCGTATTTACATTCAAATTTAGAACACAAATAATTTGCTTCTCAAAGTGAAACTTATACAACACTACTTCTTTTTTTTAACGCATAAGAAGCTAATTCTGGAAGAGTTTTTTTCTAGAGATCTACAAAACTGAGCTGCAACCATCAAATTTAGGTCCAACGGTAAAATATGAAAAATTGTGTATCTTACTTAGCATTTTAGTTATGTTATTAATTTGAATTATTTTAAAATGAAATTATCCCCTCATGTTTAATATGTTCACTTTGACCCACTGTATGTAGAATTACACCTCTGCTTTGCATAAAACACGTTTATAAAGAAAGAAAGTTAATTTTGTTATATGGATTTACCCGCTTTAAATAAATTTGTAATATGTATAATAAATTGTTCTTAATTTCCATGTGTTTGACTTATATACGGTCTTCTATTGTTTAGGGTAGAATAATTAAATTGAACTCTACAAAAGCTGAATAGAATATTGCGCCGATACAACCAAGACGTACATACATATACATACATGCATCGTATGGACATATGTACATATTAATAGTTATTTGTCCCTTTAAACCTATTGAATAACAATGTTATATAAATAACCATTTTTGCACTCATTCAACTTTTCGATACAAATGTAAGTACATACACATGTAGCCGCAGAAAACTTAAAAATTATCCTATCAGCCTTTTATCACAAAGCAGCTGCGAACTCGTCATAACATACTATTCTACATCAGCTGCTGTACTTTTGCGCCAACAACACGTTTCACGCAAATCACATGTAGCTTGCCGACTCGACCGCCACTGTAAACAAAAAATCAGCCGTTTTCAATATGGACGCCAAAGGTAACGCGTCACTTCATTTCCAGTGAGCGTACGTGCCAATTTGCCTCCCGCTCTCGCTGGAATACAAGAATGCTGGCGCGGTGATTGGAAGCATTGCCGAACGGCCTGACTGAGAGAAATACGCCGTAAACGAGAACACAACTCATCATCTGTTATTTTTGTATTACGTCTGCTTTGTGGGATTTTCGTAACGCGTCAATTCCATTTATCTCTCCGCCCTTTCAACTCATTAACAAATTTATTTGCATCTGTACGACTATGCATACCTATTTATATATGTATATATATTAGACACACATGTATGTAAACACCGAGTTTCTATTTTCTACCCCCAATGAATCAAATGACAGCAACAGACGAGCCAAACTAACTTATTCCAATAGTCATCTGTGTGTGCAGTGGCTGACGCGACCTCAAATGTAAATGTGTGAGAAATACTCTCCGCTCTTTGTCACACCAACGGCACAGATGTTTTTCACCGCTTTGCTTTCGCTAATAATAAGGCGACGGACGGTACAGAAGGCACATTTAGATACATGTTTGTTTGGTTGTACACGCGTACGTACTTATTGAAATGTGTATATATGTACATATGTATATAGAACCTGTATGTACATATGGTTTTTATGGTCGCTTCAATGAACGAGTAGACGAACGTACACATATAAGAAAAATCAATAACTAATGTGGCAAAGGTACAAGTCTAAAAAACCAATTGCAATTCTCAAAAACAAGTGTTTACGAATTAATTTCCTGCGAACTTACTGTAGTTCCTCGTCCAATTCCTCTGCGCTGTTGTATTCGGTGCTCTCCAAAATGACTTCCTCTGTCTTGATTGCAACGGGTACAGACATTTTTGTGGAACGAAATGTTTGAAATTTTTGTGCGAACTGCTACAACGATGTCTCTTTTTCACTTTTTTTTTATTTTGATATAACTTATTTTTCGGCACACACAAACACACTCTTTGCAAAAACTGTAATTTCGCAAATATGTAGACACGTGTTTTAAATCTTTATATATGTATTTATATATATATTTGCAATAGAAATTGTCTGCTTAGACGACACTTTTCGGCGCCTTTTCTCACACCACTTACGCACTGCAAACTTCAACTCTCGGTCAAATTGCTCCTCACCTAGCTTTTACCTTAGTTCTGGACTGTTGCTAGATAATTGAATTTTAAGTAGTATTTACAATTTCACGAATCAGAAATAGATTGCAAATTGCAGCAAAGAAAACGATAAATCTAAAGCGCGCAATTACACGTACAAATATTCCGTCACTGACGTTTGTCGCCTTTTCCTGACTTTACCGGACTGCGCACTGCTAACTGCGAGCTGCGAATTGACAGCGACGCTACTCTCATCTTTTCTCTTTGAACAATATTGGAAGTCGGCATAAAAACGAACGATGAAGAGGGTTGCCAGACTTCAAAATGCAAATGTAATTCCACTTTGAGGAGAGTTTGGCTGTATATTACTCACGAATCGGTAAGCTTGCTGATGTTATAATGATGAAAAGACGCTTGTCTATTTACATTTTCTGCTAAGTTATTCTAATACTTATGAAAATTCATAATTGAATCATTTTAAAATTTTTTTTATATAAAGTATGAAAATAAGAACATTCTGTCTGATTGCTATTTTTCTGGTGTGTGTCTCGATTAATGAGTGTAGATTTATGGTTAGGAACATGAACTACTTACACTATCTGTCACTAGATGGTTCTAAATGCAGTACAGAGTTTTTCACTTTGTGGATAAAAACTTAAATAAGCTCGATGGCACACTGTGTCCCCCTATGGCAGAAGTTAATTTTACTTGTATACCCTGAACAGGGTATATTAAGTTTGCCACGAAGTTTGTAACAACCAGAAGGAAACGCCGGAGACCCTATAAAGTATATATAGGTATATATATAAATGATCAACGTGACGAGCTGAGTTGATTTAGCCATGTCCGTATGACTGTCTGTACATATACGAACTAGTCCCTCAGTTTTTAAGCTATCGATATGAAATTTTCCACCTGTCCTCTCCTCACTAAGAAGTTGCTCTTTTGTTGGAACTGTCGATATCGGACCACTATAATATATAGCTGCCGTACAAACTGAACGATCGGAATCAAATGCTAGTATGAAAAACTCTTTCATTTGACGAGGTGTCTTCACAATATTAGGCACGAGTTATTGTTTAAAGTAACAATGTATTTTCCGAAGAAATTGTTCAGATCAGATCACTATATCATATAGCTGCCATACTAATTGAACGATCAGAAACAAGTTCTTGTGAGAAACCTTTGTGTTTATGAAGAATATTATAACTTCGGTGCAACCGGAGTTAACGTTTTTTCTTGTTTTTTTTTTAAATTTAATTTTAAAATATTTGTGCGTCTTCATCATGTTATAGTATATAATATAAAAATATCTTGTTTAAGGTGAACAATCAGACATGAAAAGCTATTTCGACGAAGTTTGGAATTGAGAAAGTGGTTTTAATAAGTAGTTTTAAGGGGAAAAATCCGTCCGCAATCAGTGGTAGTTCGACTTTCAGATCATTATTCGCGGGGAAAAGGTTTGTAAAGGTGTGGTGCAGCTCTCTCTAATTGATGGAGATCCAGGTCCCGTGCCCGAAATGTGTTGCTTATGGTGTGAAAGAAGAGTAGGGGTTGTGGCCCAAGATCTTCTTTTTGTTATCGAACATGAAAAACAGTCTGTGGTCAACGAGCTAAGCTGTGCTATACATACATATGTATATGTATGTTTTCCAAAAGTGCTAACGATACTTGTAATATTCATTTCGAATTACGAAGATGCATTCAGTACCAACTGCTATACACAGAAGGCCTCCACTCCAAATGCATGCAAATGCACACGTAACGAGTATATACATGCACCCATACATATGCATATATACTTTTTGTTTTGGATTTGCTCTGCTCATTTGAATCAAATCATTTCAACAAATATTGATATAGGTACATATATGTATATACATAGATTGTGTGCATATAGTACGTATGTTACAGTTGTTATGTATGGAGTGGGGCTCTAGATCTTGAATCGCAGAGCAGTTGAAATCAGCGCAAATAAATTCGTGTTTTTTGAGAGGCTTTATATGTAAATGTAAATTCTCACAAACAACATTATGTGCGGTAATAAAATAAAATTTATAGCCTCTACTGTTGACATTCATTTTATGAGTGTACGCACACATAAACACATAAACACACACTGGCGAGCACTTGTGCTGGCGGATTGAAGCCTCTGCATGTATGTGGGTCGTCTGCGTGTGTGAGTATGGCCTACTGCACGGTTGATTGAAAAAAAAAAAAAACGGCATCAAAATTATCGTTAGCATCCTTTTAGTCCAAATGGATTTTTGGCAAAATGGCTGCCTATTTGCAATTCTGCTGATTTTGCTAAACTGAACGGAACTCATAAATACTATAAATCGCCGCAATGCACGACAAAAACGATACATGTGTTTGTATGTGTGTGTGGTATTCGCGGCAATTGGCAATAAATGAAGAAGCAATCCTAAAAAACAGCCTGGCGAAAGGACAACACAGTACAAGAGCTACAACAATGCCGGAATGATTGCTATTGGCTATAACCGGTAAAAAACAAACAAACAAACACAAAAACACAAGCATTTTGCAATTTCCATAATATTAGCATTTCAATTTATCTCTCCTCGATGGCAACGTCAATTGCTTTCTGTTACATACATACACATGTACATATGTATGTAAATTCGGCTTCAATTGATTTGATAATATACGAAACTATTATTAATTCTATTTTTTAATTGCACAAACACATTTAAGGAGAAAATTTGATCTGAGATGGGACAATTATGAAAGTAGAATCTTGTGTGAGTACAAACATTTATCTTTTTTTTACCCTTCAGGAATCAGAGATTTTCGATAGTTCCGCAATCTCGTTGCTTTTCTAAGGGTTTTCAATTTCGTGCGCTTTTCCTCGATTCTTTTCTATAAAAGTTCCGAGTGCAGTTCTGCTCCCAGCTGGACGCTTGCCTAACCAAAGCAGTGGTACACCAGAATTGCTCATTTTCATGTGTATAATTCTGGTTGTGGAGGAGGGGTCGTTTTTTACCAGCAAATGGCAATAATAATAAAAGTAACGATACCAGCAATAAAGATGATTTGAGTGTCTGATGTTTTGCGTATCTCTGGGTTGTTGCGCCGCTTCTCATATGTAACCACCCTGAATAAAGACAATACCACCCTATATTTTACATATACATATTACATATATGTACATACGTAAGTAGCGTAGCCGTATCCATATACTTGTGTGCAATATATATATACATATGTATGTACATACATAGGTTTGTGACTTGGCAGGCCTGTAGTTATGCATAAAAGCAGAAAGCTTGTCGAAACTCGTCAGATTTACGTAGGCAAGAATATAATCGAAGAGAGTAGCACCTTTCAGTAGAGGCTAATGGTAAGTAAGTGTGAAAGGACCATGGTCAGACATATATGTATGTATATACATAAGTATGTATGTATGCAGATAAAGACATAAAATGTGAAATGAATATTTGCAAGCGTGTAACCGTAATAAAATGAAATATATCTTTGAGTCATCTCAGCTTCCACGCGCTTGGTTTGAGTGAATTAGATTAAAATTGTTTCATTCCAATAAAAAACGAATCATATTGTAAACAAGAAAAGTGCTTTGACTGAGTTCCTCCTTTAATTTACTTAAGCTACATATACATACATACACTTTATGACTATGGACGATATTAAAATTTTGAAAGAATTGAGAGACGCTTTGAAAGGATTTTTTTTATTTCTATCGGCGCGTGAATACCGTTCGATCGAACTAAGCCTGTTATGCCATCCCAGAGCTAGAAATATAGTAGTAGTTAGCTATAAAGCCGGTTTGGGCGTAATAACTAAGTATGCAGTATATCGCTAAAAGGTGGTAATGATCGTCACTTACGCTGCTCTCTAATGCACCTAATTCATATTTGAATACTCAGCCTTTAGTCGATTTACCGATTGTCAAAAGCATTTGTCACAAGCATACCCATATGCGACTGTCAACAATGTATGTACGATGTTGGCTGAATGCAAATCACACTTACTTGTATTGTGTGTGGGTAATGCCAGAGTTGCGACTAAATATTTGCCATATTTACAATTGCTGTAATTTCCCACTGGGACATTAGCTGGAGCTAGGCAGGCATGAGCTTGCATAATAAATTCAAAGCTAAGCCACTTATCTCGCACCGCTTTTCGCCTGTTCGGCTAGTTTCCCTCACAGGGTGTCATGATGGATGATGGAGCAATTGTCGAGGACCGCATAGCGTGCTGGCCTGGCCACCCGCCCATTTCTCCTCAAAGCAATATCATTTTTCATCGCTTTTACACAGACGCAGACAATCGTCCACAGTGGACATCGAAAATGGCAGAAACACAATGAATCTGCATGGATTCAAGTTTATTTACATATACACGCATGCTTATACATGTACATATTATATGTGTGTAACGGTACAGTAAATGTGTTGCTGTGGTCTTGTTCACGCTTGGGACATATTTTGCACAGTTTGTCTCACATTCGATCCCATTCAAAAATATAATTTGAATTACGCATACACTCTGTAGTTGGACGGAAAAGTGGTCGACAAGTGGCTAGTGTCATCAACATAACATACTTCATCTTCGCTTTATGGAAATCGGAGTGACAAACACTTTGCCAGTGATGTTAAACGGTCAAAAGGTGTGTAATTCGTTGATTTCCTCGATGATTGATGGCCACATTTATTGGGGATTGTGTGTAGATGAATAGGTGAATGCGTGCTACATACAAGTATGTACGTAAGTACAGATATGTGATTATTATATTATACAATTCAGTCATTCAATCCTGGCTCAAAAGAATGATGAAAATCGGCTTTTCTGCTTTCGAAGCGTTTGGACCGAGCTCTGTGTACGGTACTTTTCTGATTGAACCACAATAATATTTTTCCCATAACAAATGAACTGAAATTTGCAATTAGTCGACACGGTTTTAAATTATAGGGAATGTAGGCGTATTAGAGAGCAGTAATGTACATAACTCATACGATATGGCATATCCTTAGATAAACATACATACGTATCTGCATATGTAGGGGTGTGCAACTGCGCGATTGTGGATAACTGAAAACATACAAATACAGTATTACATACAAAATAAGTGTACATTATTCCGCTTAATTGAACCCGGCTATTAAATAAAAATTATTAAATTAAATATATAAGCGTATTGTTTAGTTTTTGTTAATTATATTTTGTCCGTATAAACTAAAAAATATTATTTAAATATCATTACTAAAAACTAAATAAATACTTAAATTTTTTTAATTGATTTGATTGTCGAATTAAGCGGGATTCCTGTAGTTGAACGAATTGTTCAATTAAACGAGTATCGGTTATTTGAACCAAAAATTGTGCAATTTAAAAAGTGAAATTATCCGGGAGATAATATATTTTATTTCAATTTAAGCTGAACTAATTACCTTTTAAAATGGAATAAATAAAAAAAATTTAAAGAATTGCGAGCTTTCGGCAGAGATGTTCATATGTGAGGGGCTTTTAATAAAATGCGCACATTTAAAATCAAACAATCAAAGTCAATCAAAACTCAAATTAGTTCTGGCATTTTGACTTTTTCTAATCAACGTTTTCCAGTTGCCTCATTTGGCCCAACTAGAAAGAACGTGGACGTATTGCTTGCGAATGCCAGCGATATACGAGTATATGCGTATATCCTACTGTATACTTCAATATGTACATACAAGTACATGTTACACAACTGTAATTTCAATGAAAATTGGACATTGCCAAAAGCCAAAGGTGTGTTCTGTCAAAGATAACACGAACACAGGCACGCGCCAATTACACACACATATAATACCGACGTAGCCTCCACCATTGCGAAATTTTGAGAAAATGTACCTAATCTCCTTCACCCCTGTCCAATTACTAGCGGCGGCAGGGCGGCAGGGCGGCCACAGCAGCCGTGTGTCCACCCTTACAATTTTACAACGCATTTTTATATTTCGTCTGAAGCTTTCTGTGAACACACTAAACACACTTCCCCACATGCAAGCACATATATGTATATATATGTGTGTGTGTACAAGCACGAGTGACCATCTATACGATACTCAGTTCTTTGCAGATGCTTGTCGCCTCTGATGTCCACTGACGCAGCAACAACAGCCCACAGCTCGGCCATTTTATTTTAAGGCTGAGTTTAAAATTACACTCACACGCGCACATACACATACTAATACATATTCTTCTATGCCACATCTATTTTATGTGGGCGAATTTTTAGATACCAACGTACATATGTATGTATATACACACATGCATAAGTTTCTGGTAATGTTCATATGTGAAAATGTAAAAAAGTTCTACGTGAGTCTTAAGAAGTGAGTTCAGAGTGAGCGAATGCGTGGAAGTAAAGTAAAAAGTAATGAGCAGACTTCCCCAGTCCCTAAAACGGTGGAAAGAAATAACTTTCAATCTCGTTTGGAATTCTGTTGATTCTTATAGTTCACGTCTCATTCCACTTTGTTCAGCTTACTTCGCTTTTTATCGCAATTGAATTGGAAATAAAAGATTTGAAGTTGATTTTTATTTCAGTAAATTGCTACATGTCAAATGTATGTATATGTATACATATGTATATGTAATATATAAAAAGTATGTAAACTTTTACATAAATATGTGTCGACATAAATATGTATGTACATATGTATTCAGCATGCATGTATAAAAAGTTGTGTGCAATGAAATTTAAAACAATTTGAAAAATGCACCGAGTTTGATGAGAAGTTTCTTTGTACAACCAAACGATTTTCTTCCCTTCGAAGTAAGTATCAATCTTAATGTTTACTAAAGTGCGAAGCTTGTCTCAAGCCGCTTCCAAACTGCTGATGGATTTTATAAAAAATAACACTAATTAAGTATGTTGTGTGGGGATTCGAAAATCTATAATACGTATTTAATGTTTTTGATAGGAGCTCTGATCTCTTCTCAAAAATTTACGTGTGGAAAAAAACAAAGTTTAATTCGGTTGAATACGCTACAAGAGAGTGTGTGAGTACCACTTTAAAGTGGTCAAAGCTATTTCTATTTTTTTTTTCTATTTGATCTTGCCATGGTTTGTTTCGTCGGCGAATCAAGTCGTGTATACAGTCTAAAATCTTTGAATTGATCTTTCGGACATCTATTGAGTCCTCATTCAAATCATCAATTTGAACAGGGTGCCAATAACTCATTTCAATTTTCTTTAACGTGTTCCTTATCACATATTTTCTTAATAGGATAATTCGTACACTCGAAACGCTGAGAAATAACGAATGCAAAGTGGGTATGTATGTACATAGGTACATACTATGTGTGCGTGCACATATGTATGTATGTATATTGAAAATAATTTGCGAGGTGGCTGAGACACAATTTTTCTTTTCCAAGCCATTTCATATTCAAGACAAAACTCAACAGCTTTTCTCTGAAAGATTTCGGAATAACCGCAGTCGTAGTTACTCGTATAATGGCGATTTGGTTGCCACATTTTTTCATGGGACACTTGTGTACAGTAGTATCGGAGTAACCCCCGAATGACAAAAAGTTTTCCACTTGCCCATTCTCTTCTTTGTATATTGTATTTTTCTTGTTTTCTAATGTCCTGTGGGGATAAAACGGTGTACCAATAGCTAACGGATGATAAGCACGTGTGTGCATGGGTGTGATGGCTCATGTGCCAAATTGCTATGCGCTTGTGAACGCATCAGTTGGTCGAGGCGACCGCGTTCCAAATAATGAATTATTCTTCAAATACAAATATAAATGGTTAGTAAGGCTTTTTTAATGCTGTGTCTGGTATTGAAAATGCATCAAAATGCCATTTAGCATGTTCTCGAAAGGTATGCTATACATCTCGAGTGTGTGCATACTACATGTGTACATATGTACGTTTATGAAAGTGTAATACATGTGATACAAGTGTTATGTACATACGCGAGAAAGTTGCTAAGTTTTCTCATGGATAGATTTTGTAAAATATCTGTACTAAAATTGTAATGTTGCTAAACTGGTGTTCGGGGAGCTTTTGATTTATGTTGAATTTGTTTGGATATTTTGCTTTGGGCCATTATAAATAGAATATGCGAAATTCTATGCCTTTGATCTCTTATCGAAATTGTTATGAGGTTCCAGTTTTCAATTATTTTCCCTGTGGTAAAAAGTGAAGCAATAGAATCTGACTACATTTGTAATATTTAGGAATCGCCGCTTCACTCACTTCGTGTTTTTTTGTAAACGAAATATTCAATGACTTACCTCTAATTGCATTTTTATGGTCATTTGTGGGAAAAGTATTACAACTTCGATGTCCTTTTAAAGGATTACCGTTGTGAGTTATGAGCAGTTATAATGGACTAACGCCTAACGGTTTTAACAGAAGGAATAATGTTAGCCTGGAAATAAATCTCAAACAACGTTTACTTTTTAAGCTAATTTGATTTAATGGGCTTTACAGGGCAATCGAATTTATTTAGCTTCGTTTCGTTTCATCTTATTTGCGACGTTTATAGCTTTTTTGATTCAGCCAGTGACAAAAATTGCCGCTTTAATGGTGATTTATGAATGGATTGAGAAAATATTGAATTGCGTCGAGCTAAAAAAAAATATATACAACGTACGTACGTACAAATATACATATATGTATTTAGATAGATAGATATGTATTTATATGTAAGTGTATACGAGTGTACACTTATATTTATGGGCGGCAGTTATTCCTCATCTTGTGGCAATTTAGATCCACAAATGCGAAATGATTGTGATGCAGTGAATTATCCGCAATGTAGGCTCTGAGGCTGCTATATGTATTCGTGGTCTGGAATATAAATATGAAATTACAGTAAGATTTCTGCTGCAAAATTAAAATAGCCGAGAATAGGTACTCACCTGTATACCATAGCTCTACACTGTAAAGTTTTTTGGCTGCTGACATATGAACTCGTTGCTCGAATCTTGAAAAACTCAATTTTGTCTCGGTTCTTTCATGTAAATTTGGATTATCAATCCATAAGTGTTATCAATGATAATTTGTTATTTGTGTTTTTAATTTTGAGCGCCAATAACTGCCAAGGTTTATGTAGCTATTAATTGGGGACCACTGTATCACAGAGCGTAGTACCAGTGTGCGCCAATATTGTACTGTACCTATTGCTTAGAATGTGCTCCGTAGTTCGGCCTTAGTTTAGTGTTTCGCTCTAAAATAAGGTGAAGAAAAAAGTTTTTCAATTACTAAAAACGTTATTGACCTTAGTTTGCACACCTCTCACGTTCTCCAGCATAGGGTGTCAAATACATACACCCTCTACAATGACAGTCAGACGCCGAGTCGAGTACTGTTAGTTGCGCATATCATTGGAGAGAACATATTTTTCTTCCAGATGATGAATTTCGAGCTACAACTACTTACATACAATCATTCAATACATACGTACAACTTTCCAAATTCAATTCTGACACAACGACATACATGTTAATCTCCATATTTGTTTGTACACATTATGCAATGCTAAAAAAAAGGAATTCTGTTCCGAAATTTTTATGTATCCATTAGTTCACATTCGCAAGTTGTGTCAAAATGAAAAATCAGCTTTCCGAAGCATTGTTTGGCATAACAATGAGCTGTCCACACATGCACACTGCAACTTGCACATACATACATACATCAACAGTTGCTTACAGTTGTATGTGCACAAAAGGATAAATAATAAATTTGCTCTAGCCCTGCTCCATATTTTTTGTTGAAATGCATACATACATATACATATGTACATGGCTAGCGAAAAAAATGCGAAAAACACAAATTAAGCATTTTGCATTATTCATTTGAAGTTATTATTTGAAAGAGAATATCAATAATATATTATTTAGTGAAGCTCTTTTCCAAACTAATATCTATTAAATAGCACATGATATAAGTTTTTAACCACTAATCTTAAGAGCAAGTTGCGAATAATTTACGATTTGATATCAATTTAATTGATTTAGATCTAATAACTTGTCGCTTAACGAATTTACAATGTTATTATGATAAGTTTGTCACAAATAACCGTGTATTTTAATCAGATATTTATAAGCAATTAACTAAATTATCCTTGTTTTTGTATCGTAAATGAGCGTGAACCTTGTAACCGCATAAAACGATCCACATTCAAAAACCAGCCGATAGTTACCCAGCATAGGGTATCAAGCTGATGAAGAAAACTTGCTGGTTACATTCGAACTGGTTTGAAACCTTAATTACTTAACAAACAAGTAAGCTATTGTTTAGACTTCAATTTGGTTATATTTATTAAAACAGAATGACTCTAGTATACTTCTAACCGAAAGTTAACAAGTGAAATCTCGCAGGACTTCAACAGCAGAAGCGATTACTTTCTTGTATGAAGAAAAAAGAGGCTGACTGACTAGTTGAGCTTGTGGTCATTGATACTATAGTTGTGGAAACTGCTCATAACTGATTTGATTTAACTTCAGGGTATATAAATAAAGGAGTTTTTATCGAAACACGTTTACGAGAATATTTACTTATTAAGTTCTTTTCATTTAAAATACAAGTTTGATGATTTTTCCAAGAAAGCACAATTTTTGCAAATAGAGTGAGGAAAAGCCAAAGAACATTAAGCGTAAATTGAAACTGCATTCGTTAACTCTTTCTCGTTCACGCATACTTTTTAATATTAATTGTGTAATAATTAAATTTTAATTGATCATAACCTTTTAAACTCTAGCGGTCATTTACTGCCAGTCATTGTAACTAGTCATTGCGGACAAATTTCAAAATACATATTATGGTTGAGGAAGTTTTTGAATATAAGAAGAATCTCTAAATTAAATTTTAAGCATCCTCCCACAAACATTCATTCATTTGTTTTAATTTTATTTCTCACTGTTTTGAATTTATCGAAAAAACTGCTGATATTTTCTTAAAATTACATATCTCTATAATGGCAATTTGGAGGTTAACCGCATGCACATTCCATTATATATGTATATATATTCACATAAGCACATCAATATATAGATGTCCACCCTCAAAAATTCGGACGTTCGCACTTTTCCCCCTTAATTTGAAGAAGTTTTGTTGTGTTTTCATTTTGCAGTCGACCGCATGAAGCTTAACATCTCCTGTTTGTATGAAAACATGAGATAGGAAACCTTTTGACATGCGGATTCTATAGAAGCATTTATACAGAAGGCAAAATTGGAATTCACAAAATTGTGAACAACTTTATAAATATGTTTATTTTTTGCTTTGTTGGTGAATTTTTACAGTTAAAATATCACAAATAATAAAGCACCCTCTGCCTTACGCCCACGGCTTGCTGAGAAGCTTTTGTGTGCAAAAAATTGCGAATTCGATTACAATATGAATTTTTCAATTCCGGGGGTTGGGGTGAAAATGTGTTCTGCGGATGTTTTTTTCCATGTTCTTTTGAATGAATAAGCAATCATAACAAATGAATGATTTCATAATTTACTACAGGAGTATTATACGATTCACCACCTATGTTTATTTTATATTTGTCTGACATGTATACATACACATAAGTCAAATTTTAGTTTTACTATTCTTCGTTTATTAATCACTTCGAATTACATTGCTAAGCAACTGCGTTTTCAACACTATCCTGGTATATCCATTTCATTTTGCTTTGTCACAATACTTCAAATGCACAGAACTGTAATCCAAGAAAAGTGCCTTTTAGAAATAAAACCTTAAAAGGAAAATTTGGGAAAATTTCTGGGACGACACGACCTAGCAATAGCACGGACGCTGCTGAATGGAATGCGACAGCGAACAAACTCTCTGGTATTTATAGCTCCATTCAAATGAAATGTCCGACTAATCTGTTATATGTATGCATTTGTGGGTGTTTTCGTGCTTTCCAGTCATTTTCCAATTTTAAAATTTGAATATGCGCAGCATCTGCAATCAGCAAGTTGTTAGGGTGGTGGAATGCATATAGAGAATCCTGGAGTTGATGACAAGCAAGGGTTACTACTGCGCTTTATTCCACCCCCTTTTATTGTATATTGATCAAACGTTGATGGTAGTTCTTCAACCCTTTGAGATTTTGTGTTTGCCAAAAAACATTTTAGAACTCAGTCCAGAGTTCTAAAAATTGTATTACTTTTAACAGCATTATTGGAAAGTTCAACAGGGAAATCTCCAATCATAGGGTGAATGTGACCGATTGACATCACACAGTAATCTCCATTTAATATCCGGTTAGTGAAAAGAAACACAAAGGAAAAGTGCTGGAGAGTTCTTACCTACCAGATGTATATGCATTGCTTATGTAGGAGTTTTTTTTCTGCTGATTCATACCATTTTAAAAAAACATATTAAAACTTTCCAAAATCCATAAGCATAGCATAGAGCATAAAATCATAAAGTATCTACATTTTTACGCAAGTTATGGCTCACCCGGATAAATAGGAGAACAGACAGATCCAGAATTTAGTGGGCAACTCGAGATTCTTTCACTTTGAACTCCGTCATAGTTCCAGCAGGGGTTTTTGATATGCCATTAGTTACTGGCATTTGTGATGTATCAATGACGTTATGAATTGAGCATCATGATCAACTATTTCGTTTGGGGATGAGCAATTATGGTCATTGCTGCTATACGTACATGCATATCTATGTGTTGTAGCGTACTTGAAAATAATGTCGAAGGCTTGTTGTTGCCGCCGTCGCCACTCTCCACAACGAGTTAAAATGCAATTCAAATTGAATGCATTTGAGTTATAATTCGGAATTTTTTAAAAACTGCCATCGATAATTGCATTGCATGCATAAATGGCTCACTGTATGTCGTTGTGTGCTTGGCATGAATATGTATGTATGTATGTGTACCTATGCACATACGGCACTTGTTTGCCTCACTACTGAATGCCACTGCTCATTTCGAATTGTACAAAGAATGCCGTTGCGAATTCTTATGCAAATTTCAGGTGATTGTTCGCTTTGTCGCACGTCACGCTAAAGTCAACAAGTTGCATTCGCCAAGCTAACTGCAAGTTGCTACAATATATATCCATGTATATATTATGTATATGTGTGTAGCATGATCATGAAAATTTCAATTAATTTGCATTGAATGATCGTTTGTCTGACATTTGCATACTCTCATATCAAAGATAAATCACAAGAGAATATAAATACACAAGTACATAAAGAAGCTCATATGCCACACATATACTTAACACGATATTAGAAAGTTTTGGGAAGTGGAAATTTTTTGGGTTGGAGAATTGTTTGGATGTATTCGAACACTGTCCGTGTGAGTGATATAGCGTACTTTTGGCCAACATGGTGGCTGCCATCAAAACTAATTAGAACAACAAATAATGGAAGCATTCGTTACATAACACATCCTATCGATCCTGGTACTATACGTATATCATATGAACAGTGAGTAGATCGATTGAGAAGATTTGCATTTAAATTAATTTTCTAAATGATCTTCCCTTTTGCAGCGACACATTTACAAAAAAGTTGGAGTACAGGATCTACTGTACAGATAGACGCACGCGTGCATTGATGCCCGCGATGTTATGAAGCACATAACGCTTGCCAATACATTCGCACCATATTCCACGCACAAAATATTATATGTGTGCATGTGTGCGTATTTGTATGTATATAAATATAAATGAAACAATCGATCAGTTGATTGCAAGTGCCAGTGCAGGAAGCGACTTAAATTCCTTGCAGATCATAGTTAAATGCTCACGAACTATGTGGCTGTGCGTGAGAATTCTTTCATCGGCTGACCGTGTAGACACACTGAAAAAAAATTAGCAATAATTTACAAATTAAACATGAGAATCGTCTTCGAGACTCCGAGTCTTCGAACATCACATAAGCGGTTCAATGCATTTAATCACACATTTATACTCGTACACAAACACAATCACAAACATATGTACATTGATGAAATGCGCATAGATGCGTATATACAAGTATGTATGAATATATTGGCATTAGTATGCGTGTATGCATGTGTGTGTCATGCAAAAACTGTTAACAAGATGATGCGAGCATATTTACTCGCTTATACAAGCAGCGAACATGCATTGCTTCGGAATGATTTCCAAGAAGCCCACAATCGCAACTTGGCAATTTGCAGGTTAGCTGCCTAGTGAGTGGAGTGATGTTAATAAGGCGTCTCATAAATTACCGCCATTTACACGAGATCACAGTTGAGACGCCGTAACAAACTAACCGCGGCAACGGCACTCGGCCAGAGCAAAATATAATATTATATTAATGCACACACACTTACAAATTAGTGCTTAAGCACATTGGCGACATTGTGTGCACCAGTATGTGCAACATGCAGTTGCAGTCAGTCTAAGTCGATGAGTTCGTGCAACAAGCCCAGAAAATGCTAAGGCATTTGGCGTCATCCTGTTGCAGTGCAAGCTCCTTATTGCTATCGCGAGCGTTTTTGCTATTTAATTCTGCAGAAGAATGTTTCCGCGTTGATGCGCGCTTTCAAATTTACATTGCACTTTACATAAACACATAACATATGTACATACACATGTATGTAGGTATACGGGTTTGCTCACGCGCATTAATAAACTTTTGCTGAATAATTGTTTATCATTGTTGCAAAGCTTTACTTTATCAGGCATAACTTGGAACACGCGGATTCTCGGATTTCAAATCGCTAGCTCTGCAAGAGGCAAATCGATAACTGTAAAAAAAATAATTGAACCCTTTGGAGTACTAGATTACTTTAGGCAACAACAGCAGCTACATCTAACGGGAAATGTTTCTGCTGGAAGTATTCGATTTCTGGAAAAATGGAAAATGTACGTCAGTATGTAGAAATATTGCCGTAGAAAATGTACTAAAGAGACATTGAATGTTGTTGTGATATGAAAAGGGGTGAAAAATGATTAAAATAATGGCAGCAAAGGGTTGTTTCCTATTTGAATGGAGGAGGGAAGTACACTACGTACCTCATTGCTGCACTGAATTTCTCGTTGTAAGGTTGTTCTGGAACTTTTAACACAAATTACAACGTTTGACGTATTAGAAATATACTAAAGATTTGAAGTTAATAAGAAAATTAGAATATATATATAAGATGTATACTCATATAAAGGATCTGAGAAGTGGTGTGATGCGAAAATAACGGCCTACGGTGGTATAACTTTTATAGATGCATGTGAAACAAGAAATAAGAAAACAGCGAACACGAAAATGCATTCCCAATCAAAGAAAGCGGCTGGTGTCAACAGACAGGAACTGCATAAATCTATTTTTACTACATTTAATAACTGTATAATACATTTCTTTGCTTCGTTCCAGGTATGTGTGCTCTGGAATCCTCCGTTGTGGAAAAGAAGTAAGAAAGAATTTGGAATTAATAAATATCCGTTGAATAATGATTAGATAGTATGATACCAAAGTGAAGATATATTTTAAGACTTGTCAGTTATTTTGCATGGTATGTAGTGACATCAGACGAGTATGAAGGATTAATCTAAAAAGACCTCAGCTATCGATAACATCGATGAGAGCTAATACTAAAGTTTTTCCACTCCCGAATACTACTCTGTAGAGAGGTCATATCGCCGTCAAAAACACTTGTAAAATATATACACATACATTGTGGAAAACCGACTAATCATTTCTGCATTCTCATACTCTTATTGTAGAGAATATACTTGCGCAAACTTGTTCATTGACTGCCATGATTTCTTTATTGATCTAACGAAAACCATCCAGATGTGATGAAACTTTGTAAACCGGTGAGAGCATGTGGTTATGTTGTTTTTTGTAATTAGATCCTTTGTAAAGATAAATTGTTTCGACTTTGTACGCACATAGATTCATACAAACATACATATATATGGTTAACCAACATATGCATTTAAACTCATCGAGGCCTAACTGTTGTGAGCATCATTATCGGTGCCATCACAATAATTGTAATTATTTTTACTTGTATCACCATAACTTAAAGCTAATCAACATACCCGTATACTACGCACATTGCAAGCTAACTTGCCAACATACATACATACCATACATTCTCGTGTATGCGTGCGAACTCTAAATAAGGCCTTTGCAACTTCTTTGTGTTGACTTTTTAGCAAAATGTGCGTAACCATTTAATAAGAGACAGTTTCACAAGCAGCTGTGTGCATCCATGACTATACCATGCTTCTTATAATAAGGAATTAATAATACTTCCACAAGCACATAAATGCGTTTTGAAATTAGTTCTTGAAAAAAAAATGCGAAGTCAAATTCAAACACAATCAAATTTGCATAAAAGCAGAGAATTTCTTACAATTTAGTTGCTGACCATGCGTCCGAAGCTCTTGGCGGCATTCTAATACATTTTGGTTCTATCAAATGTTAAAAATAGTGTATTTCAAATACTGTTGGTAATAATGATCTACTTTATCTTCAACTGGGTACCAGTTAAAACAAAAAATTACTTAAAAAATCGATTAGTCGTTCAGCAACTTGTTTCGGAGAATAAAATATATAATCTTGAATAAAAGCTGCAAAAAAGGGCAAAACCTGGTCACTTTGTTTCATCCATGCCTACGCATCAATATTCATATGTGTATGTATGTAAAAGTGTGCGCATGCACGTAACATCAATGCAAGACGCAGAAACTATTGAATTGTAGAATCATTTGGCAATTCATCGCCAATGCATTTTTGCGGCGCCTGCGATCTCCCTGCGATCACCGAAAGCTGCGGCTATGAATGGAATTTCCTTGCATTCCTCCAGCCTACAAAGAATTTAAATAATCGATGCATTCAAATAAAGTCACATTGAGGCCACCGAAATGTGTTATTCCGAATGGGCACATCTGTATTTATGCGTACAGAGAGTAGGCATCGGATTTCTCAAGCAGACAGTTTGGAAGCTCGTGTATGCAGATGCCTGCAGAGGGGAATGCGAAACGAGCGCGGCCTGGAAGTATTTTGGCCATGGTAGAATGCGCATGTTGACAGGGCTTTATCCATTGTTGTGCTCGTAGTCAGTGGAGTAAGACTACATTGCATATATTTTTATATGTATTAGGGCTCTTAAAATTATTCGAATAACCTGAAAATCGATTGTTCGAATATCCGGTTTGTAACCGTTTGTATAAATATTAACCAAATAATACCATTAGAATAGTCGTTCTACTGCGACTGTTCGAATAGTTGCTCTGCTGCGAGTATTTGAATTAATGAAAATTGTTTGAAATCCAAGCAGCGTTTGATTTGTGCACAAAATTTTATTATTGAATGTTTCACTTTTTTCAATAAAAATTAAAAAAATTAATGAACGCTTGCTATTCGACAACGAACGGTTAACGGGATATTCGAAAATGAGCCGAAAAAAGCCGAATATTATTATTCGAATAATGCCCTATCCGGTTAATCCGGTTATTCGACTAGTCGAATACCAAGAGCTCTAATTTATATATTAAGAAAAGAAAACAATCATTCATATCTGTGTGTACGAACATTTATACATACATTAATGTGGACATCCCTCACATATATTTATACATACGTCCATGTACTGTTAACGTCACCGTTTACAGCAACTGAAACGTAAAAATTGAAGCCACTTCGCTTACCGTGATTGCCTTTATCCCTTTGAGTAATAACTTATATTTATATCTATACATATGTATGTACATTAGGGTGTTTCATTTGCAATTTGTTTTTTATTTCTTCTCGAAAACATCAAAATTTTGTTTTCTGTGTTGAAAAAAAAATTCCCTGAAAGCTTGAGCCCTTTATTTTGACTTTAAGTTCTTTCTTTTTGAGTTTTCACAATTTTAACATATTTTTAAAAACAATTTAGTGAACGGCTGGTTTTATGGAAAAACTTCCAAATCAAAAGTTGTATGTAATGAAATTTCTGACAAAAAAATCTTGACGCTCATATCATAAAAGAGCTTTGCTTTAGAGATATAAGTGATTTATGTTTTTTTTTATTTAAATCTAAAACAATTAGATTTAAAATATTTAAATTTGAAATTCAACACCAATTATTGTATATAACGTTTTTTTATCGTCATGTTCGGCTAAACTCATTTTTATGTCTCGCTTAGTTGAGATAACCAGGTGAACACAAGTACTCCCACGATCACCAACATAATCTCCAAATGAAAGCATACAATTCGGCGCAAAGCACGCATTATATAAGTTTTACACATATAAACGACATATAAACGAAAAATCTCCTGCTTCAATTATTATATTTTGTTTCAGCTCTAGATATACTCTAATTTATTCATTGTATAATCTCAATACGACATGTATGTATTGCGTTTATAAACAGAAGTGTGTGCTAAATTTTAAGCCTCTATTGGTGATCACATCAATTTACTCTTTTACTGATTTCAGCTCAACAGAGAAATGAGGAAATTGATCAAATAAATAAGAGAGCACCAGACCAGCTCAGCCACTCAAACCCCAATTGGATGCTGATAAGGAAACGTGATTTGTGCTTAATCGACTTTTTTCCGAGAAGCCATCTCAGTAGCTGAGAACGTCTAAAGTCTCCACCCACTGGATTGCTAACAAATAAACAAAAGGAGATTAATTGGATTAAAAACAGGGGCGTAACACTACAACATTTTTGTAGGGCTGAATAACCGTTCCAATAATAACATTTTGAGCAGAAAGAGCTTGATGAAGTTGAGTATACGTAAAACACAATTGAAGGCTTTAACGAAAGCACAATTGACTGGCGAATGCAAAATAATAAAGAGTTAAGCTAACAGTAAAGAGTTGGCGTCGCTGTGAGTGCCCAACGGTTTCTCAGAGCGCATAGATACTGCAAACATCTCCTAGTCGGTAGGTGCTATCTCGCGAATTATTGGCGTTGTGGAACCTATTGCATATATGCTTATTTATATTGTGTTTTTAAATAAATATGCTCGTATGTACACTTGTGCTTTTGTAGCAGTCGATAATTCTCCCAGACTTTTTAGCCGCCTGCTGTTTAGAGACAATTTTTTGAAGCGTTCGCTTTTCTTTCAATATATGGTAGTATTAGGCAATGGACTTAATACGTATGTTCGAATACCATATGTATATATTTGCCATTGTTTTGAGTTGGTATTTTCCTAATGATGGTAGAGAAGATCGGCAAGCCAACAAAACGGCGAGTACTCGATCGTATCCTCGACACAATTGGACATTTTCCAGCAGCGATGTGCAGTGAAGCTTCGATTCGAACGCAATTGGAAGGCGGTCGGAGTGTTCACTTCATTGTCCGATTGTCTGCCGGTGCGTTTGTTTGATCGGTGCACGGGAAGATCGCGTTTGTGCAAACAACTTAAATGATATTGTATATGTAGCGGCACTACCGTGTTCAAAAGTTAGCAAAAACTGGAGAGTTTACAAAGTCACTCGATATCTTTCATTGTGCTTCTTAGTTGGCAATTATTATTAGTTATTTTGATTTTTTTCGCGTTGTGTGTGCTCTTTACACTTCGGTAGTGAAATTACCCTGCGTCAGATTGTAGAAAACCATAAGCGTGGGATCAGCAATCCACGACGGCATTTCTCAAAAGCTACGGCAAAGAGTGTTTGAATAAGTGATCCGAATTTCTGTAGATGCATTTGACGAATTACGACGCTGGTGCTTCGAGAGAACTGCGCTAAAGTTAACCCTTAAAATCATATCAATCAAATAAATAATTTTGAATATAGACACGACTGGTTTTAATGCGTTTAAGATTCCTGATTAATGCAAAAGTAAAAAATAAAAAAGGTGTGAGTCTAATTTATCATAAAACATCAACACACGCAACTTGCTTAAATCTCTCACCATTCAGGAACACGGCTAAAGTTACATATACAAGAATATGGAAGTTGGAGAATTTGAGTTTCTTGAAGCAATTGTTTATCATAAGTTGCCAGGTTGACCATTTTCAAGTTATAGCTTGTGGGCGTAGGGGGCAGCCTCAGGTAGAGATGGCTCAAATTTTGGTAATTGTTGGAAAGCCAACTATTTTTCATGAATTCACTAATAGCCTTCCCAGTCACACTGTTCCTAGCAGACACTTTAGACGCACATATGTAAATATGCAAGTGTGTATGTATGGTATGTATAGGCGATATGAGTTATTGAACGATATGATTGCGTTCTGATTTGCGAGGTAAGACACATGTACATATACACATACATACAAACACACATATATGTCACATATACAAACACACGTTTATGTAAATTATTGTTTAACTGGCAAGAAATGCGCTTAAAAATGTAGTTTAAATAAAAGATAAGCATTCAACCTGTGTTGTTTATATTTGACACGATCGAGATATAGACAAATGTATTTCTCGGATAAACAAACGCATATTCGATATCAATTTCAATTTCAATTTCAATATGTCGCTTATTTCCTTCACTTTGATAAAAGTATTTTATTATCATTTATTAACAAAACACTTGTGTGCATGCACTGCACATGCGTGTGTGTGTACATATGTGTTGGCAACTTACTTATGTATGTACATACCAATAAATCATCAATACATAGACGGGATGCATAATAAATAATTACTCACATGCACTTATGTATTCATGCACATGTAAAATGCATATATATAAATACAACTGTACATATGTAAATATGTCATACCTGTAATGCCATCAACGCACGTTTTATGTGTACAATCACCACACCGAGGAGCATTTCACCGTTTCACGGGTACAGCCCCGGTATGTCTTGCGCTCTTATCACTTTAATTGTTTATTTGGTTTTTATTTGCTCTCAAGTGTTTGCACTTTAGTTACAATATTTTTTGTAAGTATTTATCTTTGAGTTTTTAGTATGAATATCAAAGTGCGTTGCAACCCGAAGCATAACTCCATTTACAAACTTGTACTGAACCTGTAACAGTGTCATTAAAGCCTTCGACACTTGCATTCACACAGATTAAATGCATAGACAAGTTCATCATAATCTCAAGGCGTACGTATGTATGTGAAATTCATTATTAAATAAATTATGGAACAAAAAATGTATTTTTCATATTATTACGCTTTTGTTATAAGTTAATAATTATTTGTTGTAAGTTAATGCAGCCCAAAACGGCAAATAAGTGTCACAAGTAATTAGCTTTTCACAAACTCGTGATTAAAAGTTAGGCACACATCCTAAATGCTTGCCTTAAATGAGAGTAATACTAAAAAAACACAACGTTCTGACTTCATATTTATCACTGATCTCGAATAACTATGTACCATATGTCTATATGTTTGCTAACTTCATTGAATTTATGCAATTTATAAGTTGGAATAAAAATAAGAATTATTTTTTAAGTATTCTGCTTGAAATCGTTACTGAATGACTTTGGCGAAAGCCGATCACAGACACTACTTGTTGTGTTATTTTTTGTTTTCGAACTTCGAAATGGAAATGCAAATAAGTGCCGATATTTTTATCACAGTAGAGTTGAAAGTACTCACAAATAAATATAAATGTCTTCTATTGAGCTTACCAAGAACATCTTTTTATTCTCAAATGATAATTTATTGCCATTAAAGCTCGTAAGCAATTAGCGTGTGAATGTGTGTTGAATAAACGAATATGTTTGCATGTATTTAAGTATAGTACTAGGGTATTTACCTGTTTGAAAACAACAGGTTCCTTCAGAAAAGAAACTCTTCGATAACATAAGAATGGGTATTTGATAGATAAGACTTTTATGAATAAATTTACATAGTATTCGTCAGCGTAATTCATCATGCATACTTGTATGTATGTATGTTGGTATATTTTCGCAATACTCATTCGAGAACACATACCATGGACACATACGTATGTATGTACACATAGAAGCAAAGGTATAACAGAGTTTTAATTTTTTGTTTACGGATTTCGTTATCAATTTGCATGATACTTGGAAATTGTTTCCTTAATAAACACTAACTAAGTGTATGTGTATAAGTATATAAATGTATCTATGCAGGTATTTGTTGAAATTATCGATTCGGGTATTCAATAAAACTAATCAGAATAGAAAATTAATCAGAATAGAGCATTGGTAATAATTTATCGAATAGTGTAAAATATTTGTTTTGTATGAGCTTGAGTATGGAATAACTACATTCAAATATGACATAAGTCGAGATTAAAGAAAACTCATTTACACTGAATAGCAAGACCCAGACTCTTAATCGGTTCACGGGGCGGTGAGCTCTCACGCGTTTCGACGGCTAAGAATAGGCTGGGTCGCACCTACTCAGCAGGTGTAAGGAGTACCTGTCGCCAATGCTTGCATATTCAATACACTTTTTTCCACAGTAAATCCATTGTTTAAACTTCAATAAATAAAACGGGAATGTAATCAGTTCCGTTCGATATTTATATGACTTCCATTGAAGTTCATATCTTTGCCCCTCTTATCGCTATGAATATTCTTGTTATAAGCTTTCTTGTGCTGAATAGGTAATATGTATGTATGTATGTGTATGTGTGTGTGTATATTTACTTGTATGTAAATAGCTATAACTATACGAGAATACAGCAATATATTTTGTATTTATATTTATTCCTTTACCACCGTATTATCATGTTATTTGCTTACTTACGTTGTTGTAATTATAAAAATAAAAGTAATATGATCACGTATGCCTAAATGGATATTATTGTTAAGATTGTTCGTCACTGTTGCATACAAATATACATACTTCACTTTCTAGCGGACTGTATTGTTTGCTTTCTGCTTAAATCATTTTTATTTACATACATACTTACACACATACCTGTATATGAGCACTATATGTATCAGCTATCAATATTTACATACAATGGTATAGTTTCAAGTGGTTCGAGTAAATGATTCCCAATTACCTCAGCTCATCGATATTGGTAACAAAAATGTTAGCAAATGTGAATTCAAACACATAAATATATTATATAATATATGTAAATGTAGGTGTATCCAATAAGTAAGAGACTGATGTTTCGGTAAGTAATTTTGATGTGTTGCCTTTCAAGTAATTAAGCCAGACTTTCAACCAACTCCAACTGCACGCTCAGTCTAATATACTCAAAATCATTCATTCGATACCATATACCATCTATCTGCCTTTTAATCAAATCCACACGAAATGGTGGTTCTAGAGCAAGGAACTCTCGATGTTATAAACATAAAGTATGAGGAGCGCTTAAGAAGTGTGAAATAAGAACTCTCCACCACATGTGTGTATATTATTCATCAATGTATTGAAAACTGTTAAAGAAGAAACTTGTGCCTAGTAATTGACGACACCGAAATAAGTCAAAAGTAAACGTTAATTTAACTTGACTACTGTGCAACATTCTTTATTGGTTCATCAGTAAAATGCGATAAACTTCAATGTACACAATCATAATTACGATGACTCTATATTTTCCGACCGTTAAGAATGCTCTGTGCGATGCCTTCGCCTGTACCGATGTTCTGTACTCATACATGCATGTGACTGAGTGTGTTTGTTTACTTTTTCTCTGCATTTTACAGTTTTATGATTATAATTTTGTTGTTGTGTCGTTATTTAGAGTTATGTTTCAGGTGTTGAAGTTATCTCAAAGTGTGTTTCCTTACTTTGGGACACGTTCAATGCCTTCTTAAATCCCGAACTAATTAAAATGACAAATCGTTCGGTGAGAAATGGGTGCACAAATACAAGCGTAAATACTTAAATATATGCAACATAAGTATATACTTACATGTATATACATATGTACTTGTATATGTATATTGAAAGTACATGTGCGCTTAATGACTTCTTGTCAGTATTTGTCCGGGCGACGAACTACCTAAGTATTTGCTGGTAACTAAAAAATTAGCTGCCTATTCTGTCGGTGCGGCAATGAGTGGACATGTTTTGGTATTTAATTCAATCAGTCTTATATGGTCTTGTCATCTCCTAGAGGCACTAAGCTGGAAATACGATTTGAAAATTTAGAGGTGTCATGGAATTATGTCCGCAATAGAATATAGATGAACTATGAATTCTCAAAATTAGCTTAACACACATATGTACATATTGGTATGCATGTATATATGTATGTAAATAAAAACATGATTTAAAGGTATTTAAATATCATTACTAATTATGTACATGTAAGATTAGGTCTTATGTAGATCATTTACCTTTAACAGACAACACATACAGTCAACCTTTTGAGCGTGGTTGAAGAAAGAAAACAGCTTCAAAAGTGTTTGCAACATCCGTGAAATTTGCGGTTTAAACATGTTTTGTTCACAGATAGGTTAGTCTCTAGACTGCTCTCAAGTATAAAGCCCAGAAGGTTCATGAACAGACATTTCAAGCTTACGTTTTTCCTATCCGTGAAATTTTAGGTCGATAGAATAGTGGAGGGTTCATTGTTCAAGTTATTATCCTCGAGCTTCCGTAATGATTTTTCCGTGAAATATCTTAATGAGCACAATATTTGTTTTTTTTTAGTCGAAGATGTGGTTGATGGTTATCCAGATAGATTCAGTACGGACGCTCTCTTAAAATAACTTTTATAAATGCAAGGTTGTCTACTTACAAGGAACACATCTAGTCGTTATGGAATTTTATTGTGCTAAATTTATGTTTGGGTTATTTCGTAAAAGGTACGAATTTGGATATTTTCATATTTATTGCAATAAAATTTCAAATGCATACATATATCTATAATATCTAAGTTATAATCACTAATCTCACTTTTAAACCCTTCCAGACTTACGATGAATGTGGGCTAGGAGTGGTTGTTATAGGATCGGAGTTACTTATGTCAAATAATCGTGGAGTTAAGTTTCGGTATGCCATTGTTGCTAGCAAATTATCAATCGGGTATAGTTGTTGCTCAAGTGGCATACGGCATGTTACTGGATTACAATAACATTTACGTGATGAATAGAATAAATGCTGATGACAAGCACAACCGCAACTATCTCCTCCAATTACCGACACACGACTTGCTGGACGATGAGAAAATGTCATTAGCGGCTGTTGGGTCGAGAACACGGTCGGCCACGGAGACATTTTCATATCAGCAAAACGTTGAACTATACTGTCAAAAAGAGTCACAACAACAAATAATCGCTCAATGCAATTCCATGCCACCAAGTGGCAGTGGCCCGACACCTCTTCAGTATTTAAACAATATTTTCGGGTTAACAGCTCCTTCACAAACAGCGTTCACTTCGCCAAATCTCACCTCAGCGGATATTTTTAATTTGAGAAGTTTTCAGTATTCAAATGTGACAAGGCATTCCGAACCCAACTATTGCGACAATCAATCTCACGAAATATGTGGCAGTAATGTGCCTCAGAAGCAACCTCGCTTTTCGCTACTGTCAGCAGGTATTGCAGCTGATCTGTCGAGCCAATTCAATCAAGCGCCAATAGGAATTACCACTACTGCGTCTGCGTTGAAACGTGAAGGTAATACGAATGATTCATCAATGAATAAGAGTCCGCAGCGAGTATCTTTATTGGCAGCGACGCTGAATGAAATAACATACGCTATACCGAAAGGGCCTGGAGCGACAGCAAACGCGATCACAACAGCCTCTGTTGCAGCGGAAGTCAAAGCCAGAGACGGAGTCGGCGGATCAGCGGTAGCTGAAAGTTCAGAAGTAGTAGCAGTTGAGGCGGCAACGACGAAACAGCCGTCAGCGATTTCCAGTCAAAATAACCCATCCATGCGCGGCATGCAACACATTAACGGTCAGTACACAATTTGCTACCTAAATTTATCTTAATTTTTTTTTAAATATGTATGCTTGCTAAAAGTCACAAGTACATATATACTTATGTATATCCAATATTTTTTCGCTAATATCGGAGTTTGCTGTTTAAAGGCTTTAATTTAAATGATAATATTAGAAAGTCATCTGTTGACTTAGCCATGTCTTTCTCTTTCGAGGATAAAAAACATGAACCGACCATGAATAAGTATGCAAGTTTATGTACATATGTATTCCTGTAGCTATTTCCAAGAAGAGGGCAAGTTTCTTTTTGTAAAATTCAAATAAATTCCCTTCGGCCCTGAATGTTTAAACTTTTGACCCAACCCTGGCCGTTATTTACTTTTTTAGTTATTTATATAGTCATTCCCTTAAATTAACAAACTAGAAATCAGAACGATGAGAATATTATTTATTTACGGATATGTTTATAAGGACATACTTAATGTATGTAGAACAATCGATTTTGAGATTTTAATATGCTAGACTTTTTTGTTCTTGACGAAAATTGCAATTATACATTCACCTAAATTAAGGTACAATGCAAGAACGCTTGCCAAAGTAACGGATAAACTCGTTTGCACTACAATAATGTAGTGGCGTACAAATATTATATTAACCGGTTACAATGCAATTAAATCTTAATGTGCTTAATGCGCTATGTAAATGATGGCAAGTTAGTCACATATACTATATAATTGTTCATACATACATACCCTGCTGGAAAATCAAGACGCTCTTCCACGCCACAGGCTGCAACTCAGTGTATACTATGGATGGATTTAAACAGATCTATAGTTTGCTTACACCCTTCTTTTGTTTCCACAAATGGTCAACATGGACCCTATAGTTTTCCCTATTGGGCATTTATGTATATATGTATGTACATGTATGTGCGTGTATTGCTACCGCTAAGAAGTAAAAATAATTGAAAATATCAAAATGGAATACGATACTTTGGTAAAGATAGCGTGTTTGAAAATTATTAATATTATGCCATTCCTACCATGGCGGAGAGGGGGTTTTGACCAGCGCACCGAAGAATAGACAATGAGCCGGTGATACACATTGAAGTAGTCAGAGACCTTAATTAAGCAACAGTCTATTTAGTGTGATGTCCGGTCTGGTGAATCCATCTGTATGCAAAAGATTAAGCAGATATGAATATGTATTTACACATACACATACATACATATGCATGATAGTACATGCATGCTATCAACGGTGTTTGAGACCCCCTGCAAATACCCGCAATCGCCGATACGTAAGCTTCCTAAGTCATTGGCCAAGTAGGTTTTACCTCAAAAGAGTGGGTAAATATACATACATACATACATATATACATATTTAAATGCTTTCACTAAGAACAGAGGGCATTAAATATACAAAGTGTGGAGTAGGAATTGGCTAGCTATCTAAGCGGAGCCATTGTCTGTCGACGGTCAATTGCTAAAAGAACAAACTCTTTGAAATTGGTCGTAATTGGGATTAAACCCAGAACTTGAGTAGTGAAAGTGCGTGCTTATAACCGGTATAGCAGACAGCCACCAAAGACTTATCATACAATAGGATACTATTACGCTCACATAGTACAAATTTGGAATCTGTTGGAAAAGTCACTTTTGTGTTATAAATATTGAAGATATTTGGGGAGACAAAAAATGAAATTTTTAGGGGAAAAGATAGATCGTTATTAGCGATTGGATCAGCAAAATGAATTGTCGATGGGGCGGATGTTATGGAATGTTCTTATCACTAGAGATTTAGACGCGGGTTTATAAATGAAATTGGTCTGCCAGATCAGGACAACCCATTATATTTGTAAAAATACAATGTAAAATTTGTATGTTTCTGAAGTTTTATTAGGCTTCCAGTTATGGCTGATGCTTCAGTTATGGTACAAACAGTCACCGACGCAAAACCGTTAATCGAATTAGCTGATACGACCCATCTTATGAGAGCGGAATGTAAATAAACACACACCACTGCTTCTATCATGCGCTTCTACCACGCGTGCTTGTAGATATCCGTTATTCCCGTAGAAACGAGTTAGCTGATTGCTCTCTTACAACACAGGGTTACCAGTCTCGAAATTTTGAAGTAATTAAAAAATAAACTTGAGTGTATTTAATATATTTTTAAACTAACACAAAATCCCAGTCGAATACTATTATTTATAAAGAGGCAGACTATTTTTAATAGTTGGTTACTAGTTTTGGTCTTTTATATTATCAAAAAATATAACTTGAAAGCTAGATGTGTGTATAACCTAAAAGCTACATATGGAGCAATGACAACATTGCTCAAATGAAAACAAAAGAGAGCAACTGATTTCTACGTTGTCACTACGGGCATAACTGTTGACAAATTTCGGAAGGATGGAACGTCGGCCACTAACTAAAGCATGAGGATTCATACTGATGATGTACGTACAAATATTATACATATGGTTCATACGAGTGCTTATTTCGATTTCAGTTTCAATAAACTACCGTTCATGAAAAATGCTTGGCCTAAAATCATTTTCATATTCACAATTATGTACACACATACCAACCATATACATACATACATATAATATTGAGCATTTGAAATAATTCTGAATAACTCATATACATTTGTAGCGGCATACTGGCCAAATCCAAATCAGTCTTGCAACTCGAAAGCCACAACGGTGCGCAGAACAGATGTATAATGTATGTACGTGTGTGTATGGGTGCATTTATATATTTCAAAGGAAACGTGCGTACACGACAAATTATCTTCATAAATAATAGCGCCAAAATAAATGGCAAAAGAGTTGAATGGTCCCTCCGTCCATATGCAAAGGTAGTGCGCTTGTAGCCACCGGATGGCTATTAAATAAAATCGAGCAGACCTTGCGAATGAACGAGTATTGACGGCGATCAAGCGGTGATGTTTGCCAAAACCTGTTATTAGCATTTCCGCTTTTTATTATTATTATATATTTTTCGAACAGTTTTCTAGAAATAAGCCAATCATTTCCAGAGCCAAAAGGAGTATTTAGAATTTGCAGCAAATCTAGTTGTGTAGTGTTCACGAACTGTGCTAAACTATCCACTAAGAAGACTTCTGCCCACAATAAAAATTGGTATTCAAATTAAAATGGAAAGAAAATTGTAATTGAGACAAATAGCTTACTTGTACTTGATTATATGAACGGGAACACCATATCATTTGAGATATATTTTTTATTCGCTTAAATACTTTAAACCTTTATATATACACACTTATAATCTACCTACTGTAGTAATCTGAATGTGTCGGCTTTTATGAGCGCTTTTCAGATAGACCTTGATGTTGCATCAACAAATTAGCAAAGGTGCCTTAGTGTGTGTGCGAGCCGAAGGACCAAATGCCATTATGAATATTGTACCTCAGAGTAATTGTAAATATGTATACACTGTGTACCGCTACTAGGCGACCGAAAGGACCGCACACCACAGCGATGAATTATGATGTTGGCTTACATTTTTGATGATGTTGCCGCTTGCCGCGGCGCTGCGGTACTTTGACTCTAATTCGCTGCGTTGCGCATGCGGCTAAGCACCGGCTAACTTCGAACGCCAATAAAGTCTTCGCTTTCAACACATCCAACCGGTTCTGAGTCTTTAGATTTTGTTATGTCATGTCATGACGTGGTCCTGCCACGGCGCGCAGCAGAAGGCACAATTCATTTCAAAGTTGAAAGCGGCGCCGTGTAATTAAATTGAGTAGCGCGCTAAAAATAATGGCTAATTTGGTTTTGACGTCTCCTCACATCTACATATGTATGTTGTGTGTGTGTTGCTTTTGCCACGTCCTGTGCCTACGTACATGTGTACATACATATGCATTTGCCCACTTTCGTGTTCATTTAAGGCTAATGGAATGGCGAGACACCTGTTTCAGGTTCGCAACTGTTAACACATGTCATGCGATTTTCAATAAAAGCTTGTGGCAATTAGCATTTATTGAATGACCTCAAGAAATCATATTACATATACATGTGTTCATGCATATGTATGTCCATATGTGGCTGCTTGCAGAGCAAAAGACTCGAGCTTGTCTTCAATCTTCAAAAGCATCCAACATATTTCCTCGGCATTTGCTGACGGCTAACTGCCCTGCGTTTACACATTTTGTTTTTGCTCTCTGGTAGATGCCCGATCTGCATTTGGCTGATTCAGTGATCACTTCCCACACTCTGCAAAAGTTTGTGAAATTAACTCACACATTGTTAGCCGCGAACGGTGCCGCCTCCAAACGAGTGCACGATGTATTGATATTCATTATATTATATTTATATACAACATACATTAAATGTACGTCTAAAATACATATATATTATATATTTTATCTTTTACACATATGCATGTACTCTTGCAATTACGTATTGAAATTAGTAGTGTAAATCAAAAAAAGTTTGCATGGAAGCAATACCGAAGATTATTTGCATTCACTGTAATACCACTCGCCTGCGATTCTCGTACCTATTTGCCTACATGGCATCTCGAGATGTGTATATAGTTACATACATACATATATAATGAGTATTTGACTTTTCGAACGCTGGAGTCTGAGTGCGGTAAATGTACCAAAGGTGGAGGCTTGCAGCTGGTGTAGCACAGTGTTATTTGCTATAGAATTTCAAAACTCTTAAACTTATACGCACTAATTCTTCCAAAAGCTCTTGATTTTTTTAATTTGTCAAAATTTATCCTCAGCTTATTTGCCTCTATTATACTTGTATGGTATTTAGTATTTTAAAATGAATATGCATAGTTAATAAATCATCTCAAGCTTAATATATAATGAACTAAGAAATTTAACATAATACGAGGCTTCATAGACCTTACTATTACTATCCGATAGAAAAGCGTAAAGCTTCCTCAAATGAATAATTAGATAAGTCATACGCTTACATACATACAGTTACTTAGAAAGGGTGAATGTATTTATGCGTATTTTTAGCATTCC